CGACATAATGATTTTGAGATAATTTTGTTATATCAAAGTGTCAACAAACGATTGGATAGCAATGGCAAACTCCGTTGTTCAGGATCAGCTAACCACATAAACAGTAAGGTAAGGGCTTTAAGGCCTATACAAAAATAATTGATTTATCAAATAATGTAACCTTTTTAGTGATTGGCACTTATTTGTTGATTTGTTCTTTCCTGTTTTTAGAATCATTTCCTTTGGGTGATTTTAAGGAACTAAAGGTTATTATGTGCTAATATAATTTAAAACTAGCTGTATACCCATGCTTCGCAACGGGAAGAAAACTGGAAAAGAATAATGTTGTTTGGAGATTCTGTATAAAATAGTAAATTACACAAAATCTATTATTAATTTTAAAATAAAAACACAATTTTACAACCTAGTTAAGTAAAATTATTTTCTTTATATATTTTAAATAAGGGGTTTAAACTTCCTAGACAGCCATTGCAGTGTATAAGTAGTGCTGGCGTGTGTTTAAAAATACAGCAACTCTATGATTTAATTTGAAAAGATAGACTGATTAAAAGTGTCAACCTACTTAATTTCAAAACCCTAATTTTGATGTGAACAGATCCAAAAGAATATGAATACATACCTTAGTGTAGCAATAACATCAACTACTTGATATCGATGCTTCATGCATGAGATGTTTTACAGTACCATAACTCTTCAATTTTAGTTAAACGTCTTTACATGAAGCTTAGGCTTACAATATGAATTGCAAATAAAATTGTGGGCTATAATACTCTACACAACTTTTACTAACATTCTTTAACTAAACATAACCCTGTTACAAAACAAAAAACACATTTCGTCAATCTATCTATCTATATATTAATAGGCAAGCATGTTTCTTTAAAACCTTTTTTCTCAGCTCGTGTGCATCGCAGGGAAAATCTACGTATACTGTTGGAAAGATATTTTCCTGTAGATGTGCAGAATGCCTTTAAAAATTAAAATAGGCTAACAAATAAGAACAAAAAATGAATTTGAAAACTTCAAAAAATTAACATGGACCATATGGGTTGCCATGATGGTGACGAAATAACAACAAAATGTAAACAGAAAATCAAAACAAATGGAGAAATTCCAATCATATGTTTTATTTACAGTGTGGGGAGAAAATAGAGAAGTCTGTACATTAATTATTTTTGGTCGAGTTTCGACCACTGGACGACCTCTAGTCTATATATTAATAGGCAAGCATGTTTCTTTAAAACCTTTTTTCTCAGCTCGTGTGCATCGTAGGGAAAATCTACGCATACTGTTAGAAAGCTATTTTCCTGTAGGTGTGCAGAATCCCTTTATAAATTAAAATAGGCTCAAAAATAAGCACAAAAAATGAATTTAAAATTTTGAAAAATTTAACATGGATATTATGAGTTGCCATGCTGGTGACGAAATAACAACGAAATATAAACAGAAAATCAAAACAAATGGAAGAAACTCCAATCACATGTTCTATTCAAAGTGTGGAATGAAAATAAAGAAGTCTGTACATTAAATATTTTTGGTCGAGTTTCGACCACTGGACGACCTCTAGTCTAAATAAAGCACCACAAACATTATTTTTGAGTAAATAAACAAACACCAGTTGATTGCATTGACCAGCTGATCCATTAAATAAATTAAATTAAATCATTTTTAGCGAATTTCCCATATAGGGAATAAGCTATTACCGTAGTACTCATGGTTGGACCCGGGACCGATATATTTATACTAGTATATATATATATATATATGTGTCCGTTAGCACGATAACTCGAGCAAAAATGATCCGATTTTGATGAAATTTGGTACAAACGTGTAAACCTACATTTATTTGAATGAGTTCGCGAACCAGCATGATCGGACTATGGGAACGGGGGTTTTATGGGGTAAGAATAGGGTTTTCCCATTTTTGACCCTAAAAACACAAAATTTCACAATTTATTTCTGAACCATTTTGTAGAGCTTAAAAAACAAATAATTTAGTACTGTTGATACTTTTAATACTGTTAATACTGTTCAATGAAATGGCGACCATACATAGTAGGTATTTTAAGCCAAGTATGAATGGAGATGAGTGGCGCGATCTTGTAGTCTTGTTAGTGACTAAGGCAAGGCCGACATTCCTTAGACACAGCTGTTAATTAATAGCCCATACAGCTAATGGCAACTAAGGGACCTACAGTTTATAGTGGAATCCGAACCACATATTGAAGCGTTAATATGCGCCTAATTGTTACGGATAAAATTCAAAAAAATTTTTATTTTAAAATTCCCATGTTATTCTTATGGAGAATAAGTCAACTGTTGTAGTTTGCTTGTTTATGAACATATTTCGATAAAATTTTTGAAAATACATTAATTTCTTACTAAATTGCAGTACCTTTTAACAAGTTTTTAAAAAAACTTGTTTACCCTCCCTGTTGCAGCAAACCTAAGTACTCGTTAAACTAATTCTTTTTAAATAGGGAACAAATGTGATATTTTTAAGGGGACATTTTAGTGTAAATCCAATCAGGCAAATGGAAATTCGCTAAGTCTGCAGGTTTGCTGCGGCGGGGGTATTTAAACTTTGGAAGCATGTCAGGCGGCTCTTTTGAAAATTGACCTGTGGGGTAGAGCCCTTAGGAAAGAAATTTAAAATTTCATTGTATTGCTTTTATAATATCATAGAAATAGACAATTAATAGTTAACTTTCGAACCATTCAAAATACCTTTTTAAAATCTCTGAATTAAAAAAGAAAACCTTCAAAGAAATAAAGACTCCCTTCACATATATAAAAGTAGATTCTCATTTGGGGAAAATAATTCTGCTTTGTTAAATTTTAAAAACCTTCTTGCAGAAAATTGGTTTTTATTTACAAAACCGAATAATATTATAAATATTTTGATGTATGATATTCTTTTTCCAAAATAAATTATATTTTTTTTTTATTTGAGAATTGAATTTTTGAATTGGGTTACTGAACTGATGTTTCAAATACAAAGTGGTAAAAAGTCTTGGAACGGTTAAATAAAAATATGAATAAAATTAGAGCTACAAAACATAGAACAAAGTTTCTATACTTCGTTCACAATATTTAGGCAGTGTGAGGGGAAGATTCCCCACCACTTTTTTGTATTTTAATGTATATTGCTTAATGAACTGTTGAGCTATTATTTTATTGGTAAGGTTGAAGTGGGGGGATAGAATTCTTCCCCTAAAAAAACCCTCTAAATATTGTGAACAAAGTTTAGTCATAAAAATCATTTTAAAACATTATTCAGTGATGCACTATCATTTAAGGTGGACGGTCCCTTTTTGAAAGATAAAAATATTGGTATGAATAGGTTACATTAAATAGGTTACAGTTCCGACACCTCATTTTTTTTTTAATCTTTCACTCCCTACGACTAAAATAAATAGTACAACGATGCACAAAACATAGTTATTTAATATTATAATAATAAGCAGTTCCATGGCAGAAACATTTAAGATTCTTATGAAGATTTTAATATGCACATCAAATTAAAGGTCTTTGTCAGTAATATAAAATGCCACAAACCCAAAGGGACAATTCAAAATTGTTAGCCGTTCAAATAATACTTAATTTGCTATGCCATTATACACTACCTACTCAGAGGAGCGCCCGCTAGAAGCCGGAAGAAAATCGTAAACCTAACGGTTTTACAGATTTTAAGTTTAGATATGAAGGTGGTTACCACAGTCTAAAGAGTCCATGTCAACCAAATGTTGGTGAGTAACAGATTAATTTTGGTAGCACAGACTTCCTCTACTACGCAAATCGCAACCCCTAGTTTTTGTGTTAAGTGTTAGTGATAAAGAGTTTCTCTATAGATTTTTATAGGGGTGAAGTAGGAGTTCCCTTATGTTTTTTTTTAATTTGTCTATCAAAATTATTACTATTAAATGATCACCCAATATAGGGTGAGTGCACCAGTGAATGACCGTTTAAGGGTGACTTTCTACTTAAAAACAACATGGGAAATATACTACTAAGCTACATTGTACGAAATCGTTTAAATGTATTGCCCATATTTCCCTGTACTTTCCAATGATACAACTTAATGTATTATGTTAAAAAAAGTGTCAAAAAATACAATTTTTTGCACATAAGTCATCGCACCAGTGAATGACCGCATATTATATAACAATTTTAAAAATGTATTGAACATCCTCCTTTCACCAAATAACCCCCGTTCTAGATTTTTGCATGGAAACTGAACACCCTGTAGTGAAAAATAACGATATCAGGGTCGTTAAAATATAGGTTCTAGTGAAAGATCACTTTTTATCTAGGAATGACCATAAGATTTAACTCGCATTCAAACTTTAGTTATAGTGCATCCACATAATTTCTAAAAAATTTTTTGTTTCATAGGAATTTACTTGCTCTATCAGAAAGCATTTTCATCAATATCAATAAAGAAAGTTGACCTAAATCCAGTTAATGAACGAAACGGTCATTCACTGGTTATACCCTAAATTTGTGAACCAGTAATTGACCAGCTGTTTAAATATACAATTGGTTTGGATTTTGATCTTTAAATGAGTACAGAGTTGTACCTTAACATGTTAACTATGAATTAAATGTAATATATTACAGTTTCAATCAATAATTAGGGAACCGTGACAAATTACAACTAACTATGTTTGTGCGAGACGCCATAGTGGGAAGCTTAAAAACGAACTGCTTGAAACATCTAATTTTGTTTATGTTACATAAGGACGATTGACACTTTCTTTTTGAATCAGTCACAAGGTAAATTTTTATAAGGCCCCAAAGTTACTTTGAAACACGTTTGTAACGGACTAGGAAATACAGAAAGCCTGATATGAGGGTTTTTATACGAAACGGTCATTCATTGGGGGGTGGTCATTCACTGGTGCACTCACCCTATTTTGGATAATTTACAATTTTATTACAGATAAAATATACAGAAAAGGGTGGAGGGGGGTAATGAAAATACACCATTTATGTAACAGTAAAACATTTCTATAATATAAATACAATTGTAAACGATCATTCCCACAACAATACTTATTCATAAAAATATCTCAAGCCAAAGTAACTCTGAGGTTAGGCATGCTTTCTGTTGGTTCTTGGTTAGGGCTTCCTTTCTGCTTCTGGAAGTTCTGATAGCTGAAACCATCGTAATGAAAATAAGTTAAGTACCATTCGTTAAGTAGGAAAATTAGGATAAATTACTTTTTTTTGTGTTTTCCGGGTCCTTTGGTGATTTTAGGCCAATTATAAAAGAGGTATAAATTATCAATGGTCATTGTAAAACCAGATTGGATATTTTAGTGATAAAACTTACTGATGGGAAGAGGCAGACTCTAGGTCCAGTTATGTTAACCACAGCTCATTGTGCATTACAACTTGCTACAAGAGTCTTATTTTGTGTCTGCAGGTAATCAAAGTCAATGCTGCATCATCCACAGATCTACTCTTTAAATGATACAAAATGTTTATTGTGGTGTATAGGTTCAATTAAATCAAGTAATTAATATTGTGGCGTTAAAGCAAATTAAGATAACTTTTAATCTAGATTCAGTTTTGGAGATGTCAAGATTGAACCGAATGTCTAAAACTTATTGTATCTTATCTTCTTATCCTAGCCAAAATATACCACAAATATTTCTATTTTTACAATTATATATTTACAGCAATTTGGCAAACACATCATTGGTGCTTACACAAAAACTGTATCATTATCAACTGTACCAATCTATCATTTTAGTTTTTCTAAATCCTAAGTATATAGCTTACATTTGTTGAAATCTCATCCTATCCACCAACTTTAGAGATGGATTAGTATCTTGCAGAGCGGCCAGCAAGTTTGACTGAGTTACTTCCACCTGGAATAAAAAACAGGATTAAATATCTACTTTCAATTAATAATGACTTTCTTTAAAATCCACATTAGATAACAATTAATTGACCTGCTATACATTTTGAAAACCAACCCCCATTTATAACTAAGCTGAGTACTGAGATAGCGCATACTCAGTCTATACATTAATGAAAATGTAGTTTTGACAATTTTCTTGTTCAGAGTATTTCAACCACAAACTTTTGGATGCGGCCAATAGACAAAGATTTCAACCTACAGAGTGTATTTAGTAATACAGTAGACAACCTCTTAGCCAACCTCGCATTAACCAATAATCGGATTATCCACCCTCGCTCGTAAAATATTACAGTTTGTTTTAACCAACCTTGTTTTGAAGCAATTCGGTTAAACCGCCGCTTTCTAGGAATCTTGGCATTTCCGCTCCCACGCTTGGCGTTGGGAACAATACGCTAAACTACAGAGAAGTAAGATACAGAGGATAAATTCAATGGTACACTTAAGTAGTGGACTAGCACCATTCGCTGCTGTTAAGAGAAAATTTCTTTTGCCGTCCTCTTCCCCTCTCCTTTCCCTTGCCATCACCCACTCTAGCGCTCATGCTGTAGGAAGATCCTGTGCGCTACAACTGCTGTACTATATGCTATGTGGCCATCGCTGTTCGGACTCTTCCTTGCTCAGGACAAGTACATTTCGGCCCCACCATACCTGGAGCTAGAGGTGCACGGTTATCCCATAAACTTGTATCCTCTGTATCTTACTTCACTGTGGCTAAACTCTACAGGATGTTACTGAGAGTAAGTTATTTTGTATTTAACCTAAATTAACATCCCATTTCATAAGGAAATTATTGCTTGTATCTTTAATTTCAATAATAAATACTGTGCTTTATTACGATAGATTTGGAATGCATCAAGTAATACTACTTAAGGTATTAAAATAAGAATGTTTATAGACTCTTGTCCATGACTATACTTGGATTAAAGTATTTGACTTTACCTTGGGTTTATTTGTGACTTTTCTATAAGAAAAAGATGAGATAAGTGTAGTTTGTTTTTAATGCACACACGAAAACAGAATAATGAATTCCAATATAATAGCTTTCCATTTTATTTAGTTTTTAGGGTTTGCCCGTTTTAACCCATCTTTTGAGTTACCCGTCCTACGTCCTGTCCCGTTAGGGGGTCTACTGTATTGAACTTCTAATTTTTTTTATGGTCAAAGATTTTTTCTACCTCACAAAACTTCAATCTACAAAGTAATACCACGTCCAATTCTTTTCATGGGCCAGTAACAAGGAATCTAGACAAAGGTATTGACAAAAATTTAGTACTGTAACATTTAATAGTTATTTGTGCAACTAGTGAGCAAAGTGAGCAATTGACTCACTCGAGAGAAATGGTTTCTCGAGTGAGGCAATTGCACTTTGCACTCGAGTTGCACATTATATTTTTCCTACAGTTACCATAAAACAAATAAATTGGTAAAGAAACGTAACATATTTTAACACAGAGGTGAACTTTTAATATGACATTTAATGATACAACAGTACAACAGCTGACCAGCTGATTTACAGCCAGTGCTGCCAACGTATTTCGCGTGCACATATGACCTTGTCTGCATGTTACACGCTCACTATTTCGTGCCTTCACGTTGCAAATCTGGAGTAAGACAAAGTAATTAGAGTGAGACAATGTTAACATTGTCTCACTGATGAGCGAATTGGCCACTTTGCTTTCTCAAATCAGTGAGAGAACATGTAAATTGTTAGGTAACTGTAGGGAAAAATAATTAACTCAGGAAAATCTGAGAATAGAACATGGAGAGTCAAACATCAAGGAATGTATTTAAAGGGCCAGACGTGATTGTCAAGGTAAAACCAGTAAAACGCAGGCAACTGAAATGGACCAGATGTGTAGTGAAGAGGGAAGATGAAGCTATGATAAAACAAATATGGAAGGAAAACAAGGAAGAAACGCTCTGGGCGTCCAACAAGAAGTAGTTAAAGTAGCCAAATACATGAGATTATTGGGAGTCAATGAAGAAGATTGAAAGAAGTAGAGGCATTTAATTGGCAAGGCCAAATATCTTCTTCGGTACAATTGACCAAGAGATAAGGACAAGGTGATAAGAAAGTTTATGAAGTTAAATGTTATGGTAGATAAATAGGGATGCAAAAGCTATATACTCAACAAGCTAATAGTGTGGATCATAATTTTGTCGACTGTTTGTTTTTATTTGACTTTTTTGTACCCTGAGACAAAATTTAGAACCCAAACACTGCAAGACGATTGCTAACTGATTACAGGTGTACCAACTAGACACACAGAGATCATTACACTCGGAGTATCACAAGTTCCTGTTGTTATCTCCCGCATTAATACCTCCGTTGCAGTCATTAGCACAGCTGATTGTAGACTAATACGTTCAGACCTAGCAATCGCAACAATCAACTCTACACATTTCTCGACATTGAAGTGTCTAATTACTGGATTAATTCTAAAGGTGAAAACTTATGGGAGCAAGAGGGTGTCAGTTTACAAAAAATGTCAACTGAACATAATACTGAAATTGATCTAAGCTGAGAAACTTATGATGCCTTTTAATCTTCAATTGTTGGGAGTTGAAAAAAACAAAACGCGAGATTAGAGTAAAATGTTTTTACCAACCCTTTAAATCAATTAACAGTCTAAATCACCTGTGTTTATAAAAATTGATTCACAAACCTTTGGTCTCTGTAGTGCTTAGTAGTTATATGGGAAACAAAAAATTTCTCTTTTGACGCCTGAATCATTGAGGGTTTTTAATATAGGAACGAAAATGATAATTCAAATTGGTTTGTTTGTATGAAAGTTAATTTACAGTTAATTTTATTTTACAGTCCAAACAACATATTTAAAAGAATAGACATATCACCTTCTTAAAGTAGCGCATTCTTATTACACTAAAAAAAACTAAATCATTTACAACTCACTCATAAGCCATTATCGACCTGACATTTTCTAAGGTAGAAAAAAATAAATCACATTTTAAATCACATTTTAAGTTTTTATATATAGGCCTACGAGAAAGGGATAGCATAGAGTTATTTTTTTATTGTTCCTCATAAACGATGTTGTCACCTTTAGGATATATTTTAAATAATTTTATTTCCAAATGGGGAAATAAGACAGCGTGGTTCTTAACAATGAGGGTTGGTTTGTTATTTTTTTTTAGTCACGATTGATGTCTATGTAATATATGTAACTTATATAAATAAAATTTTACTTTATTAATTGTAGCATATTTTAATCACATTAGTAGGATTTTTGCCAATACTGTAAAAATAATTGTGCGACAAAGAAAATTTGATTTCTCATTTCTGAACGTACATTTAATTTCCATGGAATAACAAATGAAATCCCTTAAAGCATATTGCAGAGTAAACATGCACGGATTCGATAAAATATGCCATGTTGCAATAAATAAAACCAAATGAACCGGCTTATTTGTATAATCAAAAACACAAGACTAAATCGTTGAATGGGGAGGGTCGTGTGAGAGGGGATGGTGAAGGTAATAACAACTCCCCCCGCAGTTCAATTAGGTTCAGTTTTAATCACAGCGAGTTAATGAGGGGGTGATGACACCTTGCTGGTGATCAGTGTAACACCGCAAACAATCACACCATACCACCGTACGACTGATAACAGCTAAACAGCTGAGGGTTGTTACTGTTAACAGTGTTTCAATTGATTTAACAGCTTTGGAGGTAATAGTCATTTAGGATTGATCACTAATTTAACTTATGTGTATTAGGTATATAACAAAAGTTTTGTCCAAAGGTATTTTCGATACACCTGTAACCTAGTTTCTGATGTAAATTTTTGATAGTGTTAAATAAGTTGTATCAAAGTACTGTAATATTATCTGGTGCGGTCCCTGACTATTGAGTCCTTCGTCCTGGCTATAGAAACAGCTGGTAATTTTACAGGTCATCTTATTCCACTATACACTCATATGGGTTAAAATATGACCAAGTAGCGTCCTACCCTCGATTGGTAAAAGTAGTGGTAATAATTGAGAGAGGAAACATTAATACAAACTAGTTAATTTAGTTAGATTAAAAGAGAAATGATAGAAATACTAATTTATTGTAAACAGTGTACATACAAATATTACTTATTCAATTATTAAATTGAAGGTTTCTTCCAAAGCGTCTTGGCAGTTAAGAACATAACAAAAGTTTTATCCTAAGGTATTTTCGATACACCTGTAACCTAAGCCATTTTATTGATACCCAGATAGTAGGTAAGATTAATCGGAATACAAAATAATTACACAACTGAAAAGGATTCGTATTTCTTCAAACCCGAGTGGTAGCAATAATTTGATTTAGGGATTTTACAAATGAATGGGCGTTCCCTGGAGGCTCGAGTCCGTCATTGTCACTTCCAAACACTGAACATTTCAATCTTTCTCTCCTGGTGACAAGATATTCTGCTGAGCTTATTTACATAAAGCGAGTCTGTCGCTAAATTAAAACTTTTGGAAAGCGTAAATTGTGTTTTGCGACAGCACCGCAAATCGTCACTTGTTGTGTAACGTTTTTAGTTCCACAGAGCAAACAAGCCAAATGAGAATCCGAATCGAGTTTGCAATTATTTATCTTGGACGCTCTTTGGATAAAATTAACAAAAAGCAAAACGGAGATGCATTACAAGTGTCTCTGGGGTAAATTTGTTTATGTAAGCTTCATTGTCGGTTATTCGTCGCTATTGGAAATCACCCATTGGAGCTGATTGATATATTTTTCCCAAGGTATTTACCTTGTCCGCCCCTCCGGATCACATCAAAGTCCCACAAACCCTTTGACGAGTTTCTAAGTAAATGAGGTTATTAATTTAATTTCTTGTCAGTGTTTCAATTTCCCTCAAAGCATCTTTTCATGTATTCAAACCATTCAGTTTAGAATGAGATATTTAATTACTTGATTTGGCAAAACCGATTCCGTGCAGTCTAATTGCATTTCTGTTTAACGTTTGAATGAAATAACAAATCTGACAATGTTTGATATGGTTTCATAATTAATTTGCAAATTTATAATAATGTAATTAATTAGTTCACTTATGAGCTGTGTTACTGCTCAACTGGTGAAATGTAAGACATAATTCAGTTAAATTAATTATTTATCAAATTTATACCAGTTTTTTTTTAATTATATTTTTATAGGCTTTATTTTGATAAAAAATATGACTCTGTCAGAAAACCCTAAATCAATATTTATCTCATAAAGGCTAATATTTTTAAGATATTAAAAGACACTCATATATGATTGCAAGGGGAATATAAATCCAAATATGATCCCCAAAATATCAAGAAGGTAACAATAATAGTAGGTAATAGTATTAATATTAATATTGTAATTAAAGTGGATTACAATTTTTTAATTTTTACTTTTAGTTTGAATTGTATTGACACTATTCATTGTATCATATATTATATTATTAAAGTGATACAATCAAATTTTATGTAAACGGTTAAGGCCATTTATAGTCTGATTTTTACCGGAGTGCGGCTGGAGCTCAGCCTACCTGCGAGGGACCCGACTCACGCACGCACACTCACCACCGTCCTAATTGCCTGAAAGCCCCGATCCCCTATTCACTAAGTAGAAATATAACATCTGTTAATGATACCTCAAAATTGCAATTGATTTGATGTTAGATATACAGTAAAATGGTTAGTGTTAGTAAATTTGTTGTTTAATTCAATGAAAAATGAGTCCAAACACGAAATAATTATGACAAGTAGCTAGCTAATAAAAACGTGTTAAAATATTCGTAGCTTTCACACTTTGTAAGCAAAATATATATTGTTTGGTATCATTTTACTAAGCATTTTGAGCTGAAGTCAAAAGCGTTACCATATTTTATAACAAACGTAAAATTAAAAAAAATCATAGTTTAATTTCCGTGAGCCACCGATGACTTGAGTGGCAGGACAATGGTCCGTCCCACGTCCGTCCTAATCCCTTGCGTCTGTGTGTGTGAGGCCTGCGTGTGTGTGAGTAGGGTCGACCCTTCAGCCAGCCGCTTTCCGTCAACAATCACACTATACCAAATAAAAATATAGGCATATGGCTCATCAAAATGAAGCTCAGACTGTGTGGATTTGCCGAAAAGTATTTATAAGGACGAACATCCTTCGGGCTCTGCCCCACAGGCTGATTTCCAAAGGGCTACGCCTGGCATGCTTCCAAAGTTTACATGATTTAATTTAATTTATTTAATGAAACAGCTGGTCAGTACAATGAAGTGGTGTTTGTTTATTTACTCGATAAAGATGTTTGTGACGCTTTATGTAGATTTAGGAGGGTTATGTTTGGTTTTAAAGAAAGTTTGTATACGTTTTTTTAAAGTATTGCTCAAAGTTTCATTTTGTAATTTATATAGTAAGCTACATGTAAAAAGGCTTGACTAAAGTTGAAGAATAAATTATGGTAAAACGTGAAGCATCAATATGAAGCAATTTATGTTATTGCTACACTAATGTATGTTGTCATATTCTTTTGGATCTATTAACATAAAAAGTAGGGATTTGAAAGTAAGTAGGTTTAAACTTTTAAATCAATTTATATTTTCAAAATCATAGAGTTGCCGTATTTTAAAACACATATCAGGATTACTTTAATAGCTTTCTAGGTCGCATTTTCTTCCCGTTGCAAAGCACGGGTATAGCAGCTTGTGTACATATAAATAGAAATAAGATGTTTGAATATGGATTGTTAGCTATTAACAGTACAAACTACATTCGACTAAACCATCTGACGTAAAATAAAACTTTAAACAATCTACAAACAAAGAATATACCTGTATAGAATATTACTTACATCATTAACTAAAGGTGCAGTAGATGGATTTTCATCATCAGAATCTAAAATAGAAAACATAGTTAATATAATAAATGTAAACGGAATAACTTTGAAGGAGCGTTTAAAATCAAGTAAGGAAGCTTAGAAAATAAGTGCATAACTAAAATGTTAGGTTTTAGCTATAGACAAGTAGCTATTACCATAGGTCTCATGGTAAGACCCAGATCCGGAACCGGTTTACGTTTTCATTTCAATGTCCCCAGAGGCCAATAACACTAAATCCCATGTTATTCTTATTGAGAAAAAATAAACTGTTGTGTTGATTATAAAAAAACAAATTACTAGTTTTTAATGGATATATTTTGATAACATTTGTCACCCTTATTCATTTCATACTCTTCTATTAACATTTTACCAAAGTATTTTTTCCTTCCCTAAAACAGCAAACCTAAGTACTCGTTAAAACATAAGTTATTTCAATGGGAAATATATCTGCTAAGTCTTCATGTTTGGTAGGGGTATCAAGTTATTTTTGACATCTATACTATTATAAAAAAGAGGTGGTTGCTGTATGTGTGTATGGGAAAAGTAAACTCGAAAAATACTGGTCGGATTGGGCTGAAATTTGGCATGATGATAGCTCACATTCCCGATTAACATATAGGCATATTCTTATTTCAAAAATCCTTTCGGGCTCCGCCCCAGTGGCTCTGGAGTTTCCCATGTTAACCTTATGAGAAATGGAATTATTGAATCTTAACAGCTGTTTCAATTAAACAAGTTGGTTCTGTTCTATGATGTTCAATAGCATTAAAGTTACAAGGATTACCAACAGGGTGCAGCACTATTATTTCTTTTACATTTATGACAACAGCTAATTTGCAACCAAAAGGTGAGTGAGCGTAGCAAACGAACTTCAACCTGGAGGCGAGTTAGCGTAGCGAACGAGCTAACCTGAAGGCAAGTGAGCGCAGCGAACGAACTTCAACCTAAAGGTGAGTGAGCGTAGCGAACGAGCTCCAACCTAAAGGTGAGTGAGCGTAGCGAACAAACTTCAACCAGGACGTGATTGAGCCATGCGAACGAGATAATCTTGAAAATTAAGAAGTTAAACGGGGCAAAGCCCGCGGGTTACAGCTAGTAAAAGATAAAACTAAAAAAAAAAACTAAAACTAAAAAATAGTTCTTTCACTTTGCTTTGATTGAAAAGTTGGATTCAATAGAAATGTGTAACTGACATCAGCAGTTTCCGTTTTTCTTTCACGATTTAACTACGTAACTTTTTACTTTATCTCCACATAAATAAATAGTATATAGAGAAAGTATTGTTTTCGTCCAAATTTTTTAGTTTGAGTTGTGAGTGGATATTTCCGTTTTGGGCCCCCCTGAACCCCAAAAAGTGGTCCTCGAAGTGATGTCTGTCCGTGTGTGTGTGTATGTCTGTCTGTGTGGATGTGTACAGAGCTACAGACCACACCTGTTGTCCGATTTTGATAAAATTTTGTTTGTAGCTCCATGGTATTTCCAGGAATGTTTTTCATTTGTTGGAAATTTGGATTTTTGATGGTTATTTCCCATAAAAATCATAAAATTAAAAAAAAATTACTTTCTTGAAAACGGCTGGAACTATTTTGATAAAAGCTTAGTATGTTGTAGCACTTTAAATTCTGAATGTAAAAATTACAGTTCAAAAGTTAATGACATTTTTGTGATCTTACCTATCAAATATCGTAGTTACTATGATCGCCCATGATGACGGTTGTTGACAAGCTCATGGGAGAAAGTATGTGTCAGATTGCTGATACCGTTTATTATTCTAAAACTAGTTGCTATTATATGCTATAATATGGTGTTGGAATGTCTAGTCTTATTCATAGTCAAAGATACTACACTGCACACTATACAGTATACAGGTCCTACCTTGATGTAGAGTGTCGTATGCTATCATCTGAGCACTATAGAGGACAGCCTGCAGGTCAGCTCCAGTGTAGTGCTCTGTTTGAGCCGCAACCTTTGCGAGATCTACATCAGCACTCAGCCTCAGCTGGGCACCCAGGGTCTGTAGGATCTCTTCTCTCTCCACCTGACACATCACACAACAGACAATCAATAATAATTTATGATGTTGAATTTATTGGTTCGGGCCGTAAACAATATTAAAGCAACAACAATATTAACAATGTTAAACAATGCTAAAGTTCGTGTTAGGCTGATCCAAGATTTCATTTTCACGATGGAAAAGTCATCGTGATTGTGTGCAATACAAAATTTACAAATTTGCTGCAATCATGGAAAAAGATGATGATGTCGCCTAAACTGCAGAAGACATTTTGTCATTTTTGGTCTAATATAGATTACCAAATCTGAGCTTGGGCCAAAACTGATTTCTGGCCTGAACTGATCCCTAATGCCAATTACTGACAAGAAAGATTTTAACAAGTTCGCTGCTGACCGCTAGATGCCGGGACGGCGCCAGGAGCTGAACTAACGCTCGTCGCTGCGTAAACATTGCTGCCGATACACTGAATTACAGTAAAAACAACAATAGTTGTACTGGATGGCAATGTTCTGCAATAAAACTGACTTTGGACATAGTACCATAGACAAAAAGAACTAAATATAGACTGTCAGCCGTGCTGCAGTTACCATGGTTACCATGAGTTCGGGCGCACACCGCTGTAGTTTACGTAGCGCGTACGCTGTAACTACCGTGGCGATCCCAGCGGTGTGCGCCAGAACCTATGGTAACCGCAGCACAGCTGACGGTCTATATTTAATTCTTTTTGTCTATGATAGTACTAAGTGATTCTGATAGATAGCAGCACTACCCAGGTTGCAGTCGGTAAAGTAGTGTCTCTATCTAGCAGGAAAGAGGTGGGACAAAGCCCTGTTCTAAACGACCCTGGTGGTGATTTTGGGAAACTACCTATATTTTTTATTGTCAGAAAAGTACGTCCCCACGAGCTGCAAAGAAATATAGGACGCTCGTGACGAGCTTGCTGATCCATGGTAACGTTAAACATCAATGAACGGCGACGTTCCGGAACGTTCCTAGCTCCTGGCGCCGTGGCCCGTTTGACGTTCCGGAACGTCCGTAGCAGCGAACGTGTTAAGGACCCACGGACCTTAAGGAAAAACATAATATAGGCATAATCATATCTATTAGTAATCCCTGGAACTCCAAAGGTTAACACTATAAACTAGGGTTGCTTTCAGAGAGGTGAAAGCCAGTTGAGCGGAACAAACGTGATTTGATATTTGTATAAGTAACTAAATGTAAAAAGGTCAATAGATTTATTTACTAATGCTGGTTTTAAAGATTAAAATTATAATAACTCAAATTTACCTCTTCGAGAAGTGCATTATGGTAGTTTTGACCAGGAAAATATTACAGTAGTTGGAATCTGATATTAACATCCAAAAAGTAAAGTATAAAAATGAGAAAGGTAATTTAACATTCAAATGCAACTGTAGCCTACAACAAAAAAACATTGGGCTACATTTTTCACCCTTACAATCGGTTAAAGTATTTAAGTATAAAAAAAACAGTAACTATAAAAAAACGAGTATTAAAGTATAACAACAGGAGGGGAAATTTGACATTAAAATTCAACCGTGCAACATAAAATGGCTGAAATGGCAGAATAATATAATAAGTAGGGAAGACATGCCTTAAATATACAATGTAGATAATATAATTAGAAATTAGTAGCCTACTTCTGGACAGGCCTAGACAATTATCCATACCGTGGTTAAAAGTGTACTTCTATAAGCCCAGGTTTACTTATCAACGGTTGTAACTGGACGTATGTATAGTCCGTGGCTTGGCAATCAAATAACAGTATTTGTATAGGATGGGCTACTGTTATCAACATTTGAAATTACTGAATTGTTACCAAATTACTGTTTCACAAAATGCAGATTCCATTTTCAGCCGAGCCATTAAAATGAGGATTTGCCGAACAATTATTAATATTACAGAATAGTATATAATGATATACAACTTTTCACATTCCATAATTATATGTTAGTTTTGCTATGGTCAAAGGTACAAATCCAAATGTTCTCTTTTCTTTTGGTCAGTATGTAATAATTTGCTAGAATCATTGACTTTATATAAAGTCAAAGCTAGAATACTGTAGATGGTTTGTTAAGTTAAGACCATATGCAAGCATTTTTGAAATCGTTTCCCCGTTTAACCTTAACCAACTATTCCATTCCAAAAGTTAAAAAATTATATGGTGCAACACAAATAAACAACCCGATCGCCTACCTATAACCTACACTATACCTTCCTAATCTAACCTTACTTCAAAACACTTAATGTAGTCACGAATACTCATAAACCCCGACCTACCTCCCCACATGCCTAAATCAGTGTTCAATCTGCGTTTTATCAATAAGTGTAATAACTTACTGTACCGTCGATGTAATTAAACATAATATAACCTATGAGGTATTATCGGATTAAATACCGATTTCGATGCGGTTCGATATATCGCTTATTAAATCCTGATTTCTAATCAGCTGGCAACACAAATAGGTTCCCAAGAAAGTAATCACTGGTCCGTATCCCTCCGCTTCTTGTTTATGCTCCGCGCATTGAGAAAGTAGTTCAGTATATTTTCTCGATTTTCAGTGAATTCCGTGCCTTAAAAAAATGTTTTAACGGCATTTTCTTGTTTATTAAAATCATAGGAATGGTTTAAAATCGTTTAAAAGAAAAGTATAGAAAGTTCAGAAATACCTTATGATTCTCTTGTTTACATTTTTCTTGTAAACAAAAAAACTGTCATAGCTACTTTAGTCCCATAAGCCCAATGTTAAAAATTTTAAATTTTAAGTTTGTTTTAAATTGCATTAGCATTATCTAATTGAAATTTGTTTGTTTAAAAACCATCTCATTATTAGTCTAAGTAGTCTTGTTAAGTTTGGCTGAAATGTGTTCAGCCGTTATTGAGTGATGGTGTTATATTGTTTGCATTGAAGTTGATCCCAAAGAGTTTCGCTCGCTTCGCTCGCTCCGCTCAATAAGCTAATCCTAAAACCCCCACCTGATCAGGAGTGGGGCAGTGTATGAGGTTGCCAATTCGACCGGGTCTAAGCAACGCTGGGTCTAGCAGGTCGGGTCTACTGGCAGCTGCCACGACCCACACACCTTCCAGGGTCTCTACCCCATCCATCTGGGTAAGCAGCTGGTTGACGACTCTGTCAGTCACTCCTGTGCTGTCATGACCACGTCTACCAACACAACATCCGGGTAACTAAATAGCGTGAAATAGAAGTAGTAAAAGGACCGTTCCGTGATGTGATAGCCTCAGGATCGTTATAAAATAAGAAAATAAAAGGTTTATTTCCTGTGCAACAACACAACAATTCTGTGTAACTAATATTGTTTTCAAACTGAAAATATTTTACATACTCATGAGTACGTCATCTAGCCCAAAAACTGAAAGTTATGTAGTCCCTTAAAGTCGAGATCATGGTGAGATCACCTGATTGTAACTGTCAAATTAGTATGTATTTGTTTTGATTTGATTTTGATTGTTTTTATAATAACAAAAACAATAACAACCACATATACTACATATACTAATTTGACAGTTACAATCAGATCTTTTGTTTGCAATCCGAGTGACGTCAGAATATGTGGGAATAGCACACCTATGGTTTTTTCCTTCCACCACGATCCTCAGTAGTAGTATTAACTTATTTTGACTCAACTGATTTTTACTGATAATTTTTCAAAACAATTAAGAGAAATTAATAAAATCCACAGCAGATACATGTACTTACCTGGGAGCTAGACTATCAAATTCATCAAAAAAGAGAATGCAAGGCCGAGCACTCTGTGCCCTAGAATCCAAGAAACCAATGATTATTTTAACAGAATCAAATACCAAAGAGAATTAAATAGACATTTTTGGAAGGGGGGGGACTTTCTTTAAAAATTATTGCCACCACCACAAATGCATAGGCTTATAGGATGTAAAATACAACTGAACACAAACTTATAAACTAATAATCTAAAGAACTTGAACTGACATACAAAATGGAATTTGAACTCTTCATCCACGGTGAATCTGGCCAAGGGTCACTAACCACTACCTGACCTAAAGGTCAATCACTATTTATAGTCCATTCACAAATGCTTGGCGATTTGAGAGGAAGTTTTTATGGGCTCCTCCACAACTTTTTTAGGTTAATGTATGTTGCAGCTGATTGACGGCTTGAATAAATGTGTATTTATATTCAAACCTTTGTGTTTACTGTTTGATGTTTTTTAACATGCCAAAGGTAAAATGACAAGTAAGCTCAAATCACATGTGAAGTGTTCCAAGAATAAGGAAAACCACAAGCAATGTAATGATGATTAAGAAAATGCAGAGGACTAATTTCCGTTATCTAAGAAAAAATAACACAATAAGAGGATCACAGTTACTAGAGGAAGCTCTTGAACATGTTCCAAAGAAGATTAGGTTACTTGAGTGTTGATTGAAATACTATTTTAAAAAATCCAATGATTTTGCTAAAGATATTTCTGTGAAGATACAATCACATGATGATAAGATCACTAGGGGGACTTAAGGTAAATAAAAATAAGAAAAGAAAAGGACTTGCACTGAAGAGCACCCCAATTACATAGTATTGAATTACATAGTATTTGTATTTGAAACTAACAATAACTGTACACTTGTATAAAATTTTTTACGTACATACCATTAAGTACCTATTTAGTTTTTGTAGGCTTTATTTTGATATTTTGAAGATATTTCATAAGTTGCTTCACTATAAAAATACTCTACTGTACTGTACTAAAGAAATCTCAAAGCTTGCCAGATTTTTTAAACTCAACTCTACCATAAATTTACTACTTGCACAATGCACACCCCTTGTAATTTCAGTCCAGCAAGCACAGACAAAACAATCTTTTGAGCAGTTTATTAGCTTATTGTTTTGTTTACCCAGAAACTAAGGTACTGTTATGCAGCCAACGGCTTGCTAAACCTCAGTTTGTTTTTAACTTGTTGTTTCAAAGGTAGAGTCACTTGGAGGGTATGGATTTGCTTCTTGTTAAACCCCCGAAATGTTGTGAACAGAGTATAAAAACAATGCAAGTAAACCACTTACAAACTAGTTCTAAGTTTGATGCCAGGTGATGTACATTAACTTTAACATAACTATGCTTGTATGTTTTAAGTTTTGTTCGTTAGTTGAGTTATCAAATAAATTGAGCATTGAGAATGTTGAGATTAAAGGGCCTTAGAAAATGGCTGAACTGAACTCTTGAAAAAAGTTTTAACATCTACTTACTCACTTTTCAAAAACATTTCTCACAGCCTCTTCACTTGCTCCTATGTATTTTGACAAGAGTTCTGGGCCCTGCAATATGATAGACACTGTTTAAAATCACATCTACAGTAACTCTTAGTAATCTGGGGATAACTTATTGCATAGCAATAATCAAAAACAAATATTATTATTATATATATATATAAAATCCAATGTATGTTTTTTTGTTTATTTGTTTGTTTGTCCTTTATGGACTCCAAAACCGCTCGGCATATTGTAATGAAACTTTCAGGATTTATTAAGCATTATTCAAGGATGGTTCGTGTGAAGTTTGGTGCAGATCCGTCAAAAGGGCTCCGCCCCAGTGGCTCTGGGGTTTCCCATGTTAACCTTAAGAGTACTCATATTTAAATGGAATTAAAGAATCTTAACAGCTGGTTCAACTAAACAATTTGATTCTGTGATGTTCAATATCATTAAAAAGTTAATAGGTTTACCAACAGGGTGCAGCTCTATTTTTTTTTTTTTATTTATACCAACAGCTAATTTGCAACCAAAAGGCGAGTTTGCGTAGCGAACAAACTTCAACCTGGAGGCGAGTTAGCGTAGTGATCGAGCTAATCTGAAGGCAAGAGAGCGCAGCAAACGAGCTCAAACCTAAAGGTGAGTGAGCGTAGCGAACGAACTTCAACCAGGACGTGATTCAGCCATGCGAATACTTATAAAGTTAAACGGGGCAAAGCCCGCGGGTACAGCTAGTCTTCTATATATATAAAATCCAATGTATGTTTGTTTGTTTATTTGTTTGTTTGTCCTTTATGGACTCCAAAACCGCTCGACAGATTGTAATGAAACTTTCAGGATTTATTAAGCATTATACAAGGATGGTTTATCTGAAGTTTGGTGCAGATCCGTCAAAAGGGGTCCGCCCCAGTGGCTCTGGAGTTTCCCATGTTAACCTTAAGAGTACTCATATTTAAATGGAATTAAGGAATCTTAACAGCTGGTTCAACTAAACAATTTGATTCTGTGATGTTCAATATCATTAAAAAGTTAATAGGTTTACCATCAGGGTGCAGCTCTATTATTTTTTTAAATTTATACTAACAGCTAATTTGCAACCAAAAGGTGAGTTTGCGTAGTGAACGAACTTCAACCTGGAGGCGAGTTAGCGTAGCGATCGAGCTAATCTGAAGGCAAGTGAGCGCAGCGAGCGAGCTCTAACCTAAAGGTTGGTGAGTGTAGCGAACGAACTTCAACCAGGACGTGATTGAGCCATGCGAACGAGCTCATCTTGAAAATGAACGAGCATTTGACATAAAACCACATTAGGACAGGACGATGTCTGTCGGGCCAGCTAGTACTGTAATAAACGTAAAATGTTTGTTTACATAGTTGGTGAGACACACCTCAGAGATTTTGTCTGAAGAAAAGTTATTTGGTTTTCCCTACTTATTACTCAATGACTAATTTATTCAGCCATATTGGCAAAATACATTGCATCAACCAGGCCAACATACTTAAGTTAACTATTAACTAAAGAAGATGAATACAAAATAAAATTTCATTGAGACTGTCGTCAGCAAAAACTGATAAGACACTGTAGTAGTACTTTCTTGCGGGAAACAACTTTTAATTGCTTTTTTAAGCCTCCAGGTCTGATATGAACGTGATCTATCAAGAGGAACATTAAAACATTTCATAGCACTGTAAGTTAGACGTTTTAGGAATGAAAAGGGAGAAGGTTGATGTTGGAATGAGCTGGTATTCTCAAGTTGGGGTTATTACATAAGCAATATGAGTGATAGTATCGAGAAAATTAGCAAAGATTTATATCTTAATTAAAGTGATTGCCTCAAAAAAAAAAAAAAAACAAATTGAAAAAGTTAAAATTTTCATGTAAATACATCTCTAACCTATTAATTAATACCCATATCCTAAGTTGTCAAATACCATGAATCCACAGTGTTTCTGAGTTATAAGAGTAGCAACAAGACTTGGTTTAAAAGACAATTGAAATCAATGGATGGTTGATTCAAACAGTTGATGTTTCTAGTGTACCTTGACAGTGATGAAGTTGAGGCCACTTTCCCCGACCACTGCGCTGGCCAGTAAAGTCTTGCCTGTACCAGGAGCTCCGTACAGCAACACTCCTCGCTCCAACCGCAGCGGACACTGACTGAACACTTCAGGATACTACAAGAAACAACAGTAAACAATCAGTCTCAGTAAATGCAGTGCTTTTGCCCTATACAGCTGGCAAAATTTACATTGACCTCAAGAACAAGGCCACTAAAAAAGGTAACTAATATAGGTTATACAAGTAATTGGAACTGTCGATAGATAATGCGAAATCCATACTATGAAATGAGTGTGTAATGTCTAAATAACTAAATCTACTAAAGCAACTGTTAGTAGACAAGACCGTAATTTGAATCTGCAAAAATCACTATTAATTCTGAGTGTAATTTTACTCAAACACAACTACATCAAAAGACAAAACTGTACCTTATTTGGCCAGATGAGCACCTCACTGAGTTGTCTCTTGGCTTCACGCAGACCTCCCAAGTTAGAGAAGTTGATGCTAGACTGACGTGACACTGACACATTGGCTAGCTCACTTGGTACAAAGTCCTGCAGTGAGACACTCACATCCTCTGCTGTCACCTCAACTGTCTGTACTGACAACACGATTATATCAACCAATGGTGAGTAGCGTGATGAAACACAGACCTTGAACACAAGCGAAGGTATATCACGCTGGGCATGGGCAGCTGAGTGGTTGTAATGCTTGCGAAATGATCAGTGGGCCGGTTAGTTCATGTGAAAAATCAAACTAGACCCTTCAGTGTTAAGCTTTTTATAAATCATACGGGCTAAATAAACAATTTATCTTGATCAGTAACACCGTGAAACAGATTTATTACCTACAAGAGGTTAAGTTATCTTACTGACCAAGTACTCCTGGAGTCAGACTAATGACAACCACTTTTCATGCCTATGGCGTCATTTTCAAGCATTAAAGCCCATAAACCATCCTTTTAGATGTGCTATGTATTACTTACTCATCGTCTCAGAACTTCACCTCATACTTCAATTACTTTGCTATAAACCTCTCACTCTGGTGAGTCGAGAGTATCTAAATTACAGCGAATCAAATCCATACCCTTATAAGTGCAATACATTTAACATGTAAAATCATGTTGCATTATGTTGGTAGAATAGTGAAATAACAATAGCCTACAGTTCAACACAGAAAGTTCAACATCTGTGTTCTTCTTTCTCTTGATTTACTAAATGATACAGAAGACTTTAGGTCAAACAGTTACCTTGTCGTTGGCAAGCTCTGAATATTATCTTGTCCACCAGTCGGTGCAGGTCCCGAGCCACACAACCCTCAGTTCTGACAGCTGCTGAGTCTAGCTCTGGCAGAGTTTGGCAGTTCAGCCTGGCACTGAGCAACTCACTGACAATATCCAAGCGATCACTCTGTTGACAATGTCACAAACATTATCAATGCCAATATTTTCTACCCTGATGATACACTCAGAAGTAGTAAACTAAAATGTATGTAGTTAAAGGTATATTTATGTTCAAACAAATACCTTGTTGAATTTGTAAGAAAATGGTATGACTCGTGTCCACAGGGGAATTTTTAAGTAAGGGCAGTTTGTTCATATTGCTCCATAGTTCGTGTTGGTGCCCTATGAGATGGCTTGCCCCTTACAGCATCCTTGATAACAGAATTGAGCCATTCGCAGCTCTGTGACTGATGTGTAAGCTTTGCCGTGCGTCTAGAAAATGTTTTAAATTTTTGAATCTCCCGCCACATGTGAGATAAGGTCAGTGATATGTTTTGTTACTGTAAGAAACATATTTGCTGCATATATTTGCCAGGTAACTGAAGTTTATGGCTCTAATGCAATTGAGGATAAAGTGTGGAAATGGGTAAGGGACTGTAAAAATTGCCACGAGGAACCACTATCAGCTCGATTGCCTACTACTTAGCTCATAAGGAGCTCAACAGAGCAATCTGTTGCTGCGCTTGGGGTGTGCCAAAGTTTTGTTAAATAAAAGCCAACACTACAAACTGACCATAGACATTATTGATGTGATAGATTAATGTTATGAATGATATCAGTAAACTATATAATGAGAATGATGATGATGATGATACATTTCTAAAGAACTGAATGCGGTTTGCACTATAATGTAAATTGAAACTAATAAAACTCGTGAGAGGGAACTGCCCCTTAACTCCAATAAATCTGTGCCGACTAAACAATCAGATGCTCCTCAAAACATTGCCAAAGACATCTCCCTCACCTCAGATTAGTGTTACGAAATCCCAAGTATTGGGGACTCGGGAGGGATGGTTGAGTCTTTTGCAGAACAATTTATTTAGCTCTGTGCCAAAAGCCGACAAGTGGCTCTATTACATGGAGAGTCAACAAATACCTTGTTGACATCTACAGCAGTCATATAAAATTTTTGTATAGATTTTTGTATCGGGCAATGTACAAATGCGTGCATAATTCCCCATTTTCATGGAATTACTGGTCTGTGGCCACTCTGTTGATAGCTGGAGGTATTATATTACCTTTGAAAGCGGAGGGATGTGAAGAAAGGTGGTGAAGCAGTGTCTACCTCTAGCAGCCAGCAGCTGAGGATGTATCTGTGACCTTGTCTCAGCTGTGGCTATCACTACAACACCAGTCACGCTCAACTGCCACAGTAACTCCTTCAACACTGTAGTCAACCTGTACAGTAGTTATGTGTGAAGCAGTGTCTACCTCTAGCAGCCAGCAGCTGAGGATGTATCTGTGACCTTGTCTCAGCTGTGGCTATCACTACAACACCAGTCACGCTCAACTGCCACAGCAACTCCTTCAACACTGTAGTCAACCTGTACAGTAGTTATGTGTGAAGCAGTGTCTACCTCTAGCAGCCAGCAGCTGAGGATGAATGTCTGAATGTGAACCTGTCTGTAGTATGTCACGTAAACCAGATAGATATCATTAACTACTCAAGTCCAGTATTTTAATTATGTTTAGACATGAAAATAATTCAAGCACATTGCATAAAATAATTATATTATAAAATATCTTTTAGCTCATATTTTAGCATGTGCAAAATTATCTGGAATCGGATTACTTGTTTGACATATATTATCTGTGAGTATTATTTGCATGAGTTGGACTGAAACATTGTCATTCTGATACAATCACTAACCGCAGGAAGTAAGTGTTCTCCTGGGAAGGTTCAGAGTTGTTGGTTGGAGCTGAAGCGATGATGTGCAAATCCTCCATCACCAACACTGCAGGCTCATGGTACAAGCACTCCTCTACTTGTTCAGCAACTATCTTGGCTATAGACTCGGGTTTCTTACCTGAAAATAAATCACTACAATTACCCCTAGCTAATATTAGAACATGTTGACCACCATGGATTCCAAATTAAATACTTAGAAAATTGTTTGCATATTAATTTTACATTTCATATACCTATTTTTGGATAACAATAAAAATGAGCTAGTAGAGAAAATAAGGGCCAACAGGATTAGAGAAACACAGGAGGCCTAAAAAGAAAATTGTTTAACCTGACATTTTCTTTTCATTCTACCTACTTTTTGAAGAACTCCTACACATGGACGAAATATCACTGTTTGGTTGTGAGACAACATTTACTTTGCTATCTGATGTTTTGGCCTTGCTGGCTCTCTTCAGGGTAATTGACTCCCGCAGAGTGTTATTTCAAGAATAGGAAAATTGAAACTTGAACACAGGAGTCAGGTCACCTTAAAAGTCACTCTCCATCGACGCCGAAATAGCAGATCGTAGCCATATTTTTATGGTTACTGTTCAAACACTTTGACTCTCCAGTTAGACAAAAATATTCAAACAACACTTTTATAGATACTTAACCAGCAAACAACACTAAATCTTTTATTTACCACTTACCTTTGAGAGGTTTACAATCTAACACCGACACAAACACGTGATACGGTTCTCCACACACCGATGAGTGAATTGCTTCAGCCAGTCTACTCTTCCCACTACCTGACTTGCCTGACAGCAACAAACACAAACTTCAATTAGAAAAATCTCCCATGATCTAGCAATTCCACTAAATTTAAGACTCAAAAGTTGGCTTTCACTAACAGAGTATACTGCCTAATCTTGGTGCCTGCCTTAAGGTGATCATCGTGGCCAAGTTTGTAATGCTATTGTTTAAAAGGTTAGGTGATCAAAGAGTACACCTAATTCTTATGATGAAAACTATCCTCAAACAAGAACTGTCATATTCTCCAACAATTGTTAAAATTAATATTATAATTACATTTATTCTCCTAAGAATGACTTCAAGTTTTAACTTTGTACGCTGTGGTTGTAGCCTAAATTTTATTTTTCAAATTAATTGTTGTATCAAGTAGGCCTACTGTTCAAAACTGTTTTAATTGAAATCAATGAAAATTAAAAGGGAAGCAGAGGGGCTTTTCTCTAATCCACACAAACACGATCATAGGCTAACGTTACATTTAAATTACCTGTGATCAGAATGTTTGCAAGACCAGATTGACTATTTTTCTCCATCAGTTGCAAGCCAAACTCTACTGCCGCAACTCCTTGACTCACCAAGTCCTTAAAAACACTGAAAAATGATCAAGATAAAAGTATGAATAGCAGATCTTGGCTAAAATTATTTTATGTTGAGATAAACGTTAAATGTAACGCGATCAAAGAAAGGACAATCGATTGAGTGAGGGAACTCTCACACCAGAAAATTAGGTATCTAGCAAGCCTCCACTACCAATACAGCTGCAAATAAATTTACAAAGAACTCAAAATATCCACAGTAACATCCCGTTTTATTAGTTAAGTAATTAAATACGTGGCTTCTACTTTCTACACATTAAACCCAACTTCAAGACATTTTTCTTCACACAGCATGCGCAACTCTACAAACTTTGTGCTCACACTGCCTAAGTTCAGTCTAAACGGTAAAAAATCTTACAAAGGAGCCCCATGTGTACTTTTTATACGCTAAAAACAGTAGGTTATAGTGGTTTGCAATAAGCTGGTCTATCCGATTTGGTAATAATCCTTACAGCCTTTTTCTAAATGAGCAAAATTTCATCTACAAGAGAACTTCCTCCCCACAGCTAATTGCCATAGCTTAGAATTGAATGAAAAATGCAAAAAAGCATGACGTAAATAACAAGGAAGTATGTTGTTACTCAAACTCTTAAGTAGATTAACAACTCTAGATAGTTGTGAACAAACAGATTCAATGTGTGGTAACCATGTCAAATTACAATTCCAAGAATTTGTCTATTAGTAGTTTCATTAGAAATGTGAGGTCTATTTTTTGTTTGACAGATTAAATGCTGTGTTTTATTATCATTAATAACAAGACCGTTTGCACAAAACCATTGCTTAGCCTCAGTTAACGTTCTTTCAGAAAAATGTGTGAAGGATCATTTGCATTTACACCTACGTTAATAAAAGACGTATTATCAGAAAATATAGTTGTTGAGGAAAGAGATACATTAGCTGGCAAGTCGTTAATTAATAATAGAAACAATAATGGACCCAAAATCAAACCCTGAGGCATGCCTGTTTTCACTTCCACACAGGTCGATCGCTCACCCTCTGCATCAACAAACTGTGTCCTTTCAAACAAAATATGATTGATAAAATGTCAAAGGCACACCTTGAACACTGTAATGGTTAAGTTAAGTTTACTTAATAGAATGATCAATTAAATCTTCAAAAGCCTTGCTCAAGTCACACACAGTGATCTGAGCAATGCTCTTGAGCTCAAATGCCTTTATCACTCTGGACAACATTGAGTCTATAGCGTCTCGTCTACAATTGACAATTTTTTCCAAAAACAAAACTTAGTTTCACTAAAATATGATTATTTGCTAGAAAGGAACACATTTGATTATAAACAACAAGCTCAATAATCTCTTCCAACAAAGGTACTAAAGATACAATTCGGGAGTGTACCAATGAATGTTGGGTTTGATTTGAAATTTTAACAGTTTCTGCTTTCTTTGTAAGAGTTTCCACAGGACAGCATTAGTTAAACATAAAGAAAAATACCCCCGCCGCAGCAAACCTGCCGACTAAGCGAATTTCCATTTGTCTGAATTGATTTTCAGTTAAATATATTTTAATAACATTAGGTTTAACGAGTACCTAGGTTTGCTGCTACAAGGAAACTAATAAATAATAAATTTGCCAAGTTTGATCAAAATATATTCATAAACAAGCAAACTACAACATTTGACAATATTCTCCATAAGAACAACATGGGAATTTTAAATTTACAATTTTTTTAATTTTCTCCGTTACTAATAATCAAACAAAAATACTTTTATATACTAAATTATTTGTTTTTTTAAGCTCTTTAAAAAGGTCTAAAGAGAAATTGGGAAATGTTGTGTTTTGAGGGTCAAAAGTGAGAAAAACCAATTTTTACCCCATAAAACCCCCCGTAAAGCCCCGTTCCCATGGTCCGATCGTGCTGGTTTGCGAACTCATTCAAGTTTATCCCGCTTTACACCTTTAAACCAAATTTCATCAAAATCGGACAAAAATTACTCAAGTTATCGCGTTCACGGACGTATATATATATATATATATATATATGTCTATATATATATATATATACATATATAAAAATTTGAACGAATAGTGTTTTTGGCCTCTGGGGACATCAAAATGAAAAAGTAAATCGGTCCCGGGTCTAGGTCTTACCGTGCCACCTACGGTAATAGCTACTTCCCTATAGGGAAATTCGCTAAAAACGTTTGAAACATTTGATCTTCAGTCCCCTGAATGTATGAAATCAATTTCAGATTATTGATAATCTAATCAATTTCTGATAAACCACAAATATGACTGTTCATAGACTAAATCATCTACCAGACTACCTCAAAGATAGACCCATCAAGACAACACTGACCACATGGTTGCTAAATAGACCATATTTTAAAGAAAGGTAATTTCTCATGGACCAACACTACTAATCTAATCCAAGACTTACACATTGTTTTAACGATGGTACTGTTCTCAAAGAATGGGCTATGTATAGTAAATATCATTGTCTGTTAGCTCTATACCTGGATGTTATATGGATTTTTTTCTGTTTTTGGTTGTAGCCTCGTAAGCTCGTCAAGCTCCTCTCAGCTTCTGTAGAGACAGTGGTTGATATAACTTGCAGCTGTGAGTGTGTGAGGGGAAAACAGTCCAGACCATCTATAAAATAAACGGTATCTGTAATCTGACACATATTTTCTCCCAATAGCTTGTCAACAACATATCATGGAAAAGTTGCAATAACTTTTAAACCATATTTTTTTCTGCATTTAGGGTTGTAAACATAACAGACTAACAGTTAGTCCAAACCGGTCAAGCCGTTATTTTTTGAAATTAAATTTTTTCATTGTTTTATTGGTTTTGTGGGGAAAATAACAAAAGTTGTAATGAATTTTTAACCATAATTTCTACAGGTAAGGAGTTTGTACCATTTTCTTAAGAGTTATAAGGGCTATGGTAAGCATACTAAATTTCAAACAAAATCGTTTGGGCCATTTTTGAGAAAATCCTATTTTTCCATTAGTTTATGGGTTTTATGGGGAAATCACCATTAAAAATCACAGGTTTTGTTTGTAGCTCTGAACACATCCACACACACACAGACATCAATTTGAAAACTACTTTTTTGGGTTCAGGAGGATCCAAAACAAATATTTCCACCAAAAAATCAAACTTGAAAATTTTTACAAAAACAATACTTTCCCCATATACTATGTATAGTGGGAGAAAGTAAAAACCTATATTTACATTAACAAAATATTTATTTCTAGTCAAGCATCCTGCAAGAAAGAACTAAAATTGCAATTGGATTCAACAGATTTTAGCACACAGCTGTAGAATTTGTATCAGTCTTTAACAAGTAACTTTATGGGAAACTTAACACAAAATAAACAGGCACTGGACAGTGGAGAACAAAACCTGTACTTCAAAATTCAGAGTAAAAGCTGACGGAAAACACCTGAACATGCATCACATTAGGTTGAAGAACGCATCAAAAGTGCTGCTTATGTAAGAATATCCCTCAACAAAAGCTAACCTCACACAGATCAATGCAAGGAGTGATGTACAATACTGGAGGTATGACTCGTTTCCTGAGACGAGTGTGACACTAAAGAATCACAAACAAAGCATGCCATAGACTAGCACACTGTATAACCTCAAAAGGCAAATCCTGTCCTTCTAAAAAAAATAGTTTGGCCAGACTAACCGCTAAAAATGTGCATAGCTTTACAGCTACATACGATGCCATGTCAAAATGGCACGCTCTAACACGACCCCCCCCCCCATAGGTGTTGGTACCGCATACTATGTGATGATAAATAGTAGATTGACAAAAGGTATGTAACCTATCTATTTTACTTGTCAAACAAATTAAAAAATGATCGTGGCAAAAGTGAGTTGCAAAACCAATCATCCCTTACCTGGCAACAGCACCACCAAAACTGCAAAGTCTGGGTCATCAGGCATTGGAACTGGGAGCGGACAGCAATCGTTAACAAGAACTCCGCTTCTGCATGACACTCTCTTGTGGAATTGTGTCACCAACGTTTGCGACTCTCCTACATCCTAGGCATCAGCGATATTTAAACAACCTTGTTTTGAGAGCAGTTCGGTTTAACTGCAGCTTTCTAGGAATCTCAGCATTTCCACTCCCACGCTTGGTGATGGGAACAATACGCTAGACTCTACAGGATATTACAGCCTATAAATAAACATTCTGTCTCATAACGAAATGGTGGTTTGTATCTTAAATTTCTAAAAGTTCTGTACTGTGTTCAAATGTATTACTAAAGGTATTGAAATAACTATTTTTCTTAACTCTTGTCTATGACTATAATTTATTCTACTGAAAGTAATTGACTTTAGGCCTACCGTGTTTTGGATTTATTTGTGAATTGTCTACAGTCAAAAAGAACTTACTTTAAAAAATTGTATAAGTGTAGTTTATTTTGTAAATAATGCACACACAACTTCAGAATAATCATCATATAATTTAAAATGAATAGCACTTCATTTTTTAACTTTTTAAGGGTCCGGTCCCCTTAGGGTCGGTTAAGAATGGGGGTCTAATGTACACCACTTACTTACCAATTGTTTAACAGGTACTAGAGTGACTTTTGCAAGTGTTTTATTCAGAGGTGGTTTGTATGCTTGTATCCTTACTCTACTTCCAATATTCAACTTCAAGACTCTTCGAAGAAACTTAGAGACGAAAACACAAGAAATGTTTATATTTTTGTTCAACACACCGCATGATTCTTCAATCCGACACAACCTAATACAAACACTAACTAATTTCTCATTATCACTTATAGTTTCTTTGGTACTCTTTGCTGTTCTGGACTTTGGTTTTTGAGCAACATTCAGCCTACAAACAACTACAGACTGGTTTTCACTGATAAGGTCTGACACAAATGAGTTGTTTGACGATGCAGCTATTTTCTTCAACGTCATTTTGCTCACAAATACATTAAACGGATGTGTTTGTTCATCATGAGCACTATTACAACATGTTGAGGATTCACATGCGATTGGGATAGGATGGACTCTGCAGACAATTTCAGATGAATCTGGATGATTAGTATTTGTTTCTTGTTTGTTGTTTTGTTCCTCGCCTTTTAGTACTTCTAACAGACTGGTTGGGAGGAAGTTCCAATAGAACGGTTCAGGTTCCACACTATTCATGGTGTGTGCTGTGGAGCTTAGGTTGGAAACAGAAGTCGTGTTGATGTTCCGTGTTAACTCATTCCTACTTTCTGCAGCTTTTGAAACATTTTGAATAACCAGTTCTGACAAATCTTCTAACCTCCCATGTGATACATTTGGTTCCAAACGATCTAAAACATAAGTTAAAATGTAAAGAAGAAAATGAGGTTAGATTTTGTGTTTTCATAGGATGTTTTATTAGTATTTGTATTTTTTTCTAAGATGTCTGAAAGAGATCACGCACTCAATGAAAATAATAGGGCACGCAATACAAATAATAGGGATATGATGAAAATAATTGTTTTCACCCTTATCAATCGCCCTTAGCCATGGACAATTCAGTGAATTCCCTTTTTTTTTAACTTGGACTAATGAGTGAAGTATGTAGTTTTTGTGATGCTTTATATTTTAGACGTGTTCACTTTTTTATGCATGGTTTCATATTTTATTAGAAAAACTAATTACAAAGCAATGTTTAGGGTTTGCTTTAAAAATTACAAGTCAGGATATTTAAGTAAATGATTATCATGTAAAACAATAGATAACTTTCAACTTTTTGTGATTGTTTCAGGTCATGGCTAGGGAATGTTGACCATCAGTCTACTACAAAAGACATGCATTACTAAAATGGAGATTGTTCACTAGGTTAAATGAAGGAGGATTCCAAAGTTTCTGAAAATTTGGAGGAAGTGGTCTGTAACAAATTCGCTCAGAGTCAAATTTTTAGGTTACAGCAGATTTTCAAGTTCTAATATACCAAGAGACAGAGTACCGTAGTGAAAAAGGCTGCAGCAAAGCTTCGGTGATCAGTAAGCGAGAATCGTCTAGCTTGAGGTCTAAAACAAGGCCCCAGTCACCTTTTCATTGAGAATGTCTTCATATCCATCCCACTCTAAAAGGTTCCACATGAAGGAAAAAATTTGTCATTAGTCGCTGTTGTCAGTAAAAAGTTCCTCCCCAGGTGGCTACAATCTAGTATATGCCTCTATATATTGTAACGTTAATTCAATTTCATCTTATGTACCTAATTGACCAAAAGAGGAGTTCAAAATAAATTCCATCATGAGTTCTAAAATTTTATTTTATTAAGAATCAAATCCATTCCTTCCTAGACAAAGTTTTCTAAAAACATTAAGCGAGATTATTAAAGGACATATTAAGGTTACAAAATTAAAGTAGGAAACTATGTCTCTAAATTGTTTGGATTAGCATACCATTATTTGTATTTCATAAAAGCCGAACAAGCCCCTAACTCAATTCTGTCTTTATAAAATTCAGATGTTTGTGTGTATGTCTGTCGTTAACACATAAATACATTTATTTGCAAAGCATTCGGTTTGCATTAATACTGTCAGATAATGTATCTAAAAAAGGTTATGTGAATTGTGTATTCTTATTCTATGTATGAACCTGAACTGAACCGAACAAGTGACACGTTAGGTGTTTGATACGTGGTTAAGCATCATGAATAATGCACACTTGATATTTAAATAGATTTCAGCTCTGTATTAAATAAGGTTTAAACTGTCTACAAGATAATCCATTGAACGGATTATTTGCTAGTTTGTTTATAAAAATGTTATTTTTGGCTTTGAAATAAAAAATATATAAATAATGTGAAATTGGTTTTACAACTTAATCAGCCGGTACATTCAAAGTTTGGTGTGACCTGTTATTTTCCTTGCTTCTGCAACATATCAGTGTAGCCTGGTCACTTTGTTTTCTTTTATTTCCATACAAACAAGATTAACTTACAAGAATTTTTACTCACCAACTTTAAGCTTCAAATGTATGGTTTTTGACACCCAAACCACCAAAATTTGATCAATATATATGATCCTTATTTGATTCAAAAATGAAACTTCAACACTGTCTCTGCTCAGCTCCTGTAAGGGTAAAATCATTATTCATTGATAAAAAAAATAAAATTTGATTACCGGTACCTACTGTAACTGTAAATAAATCATGAGTTTTTGCATAATATCTATAATATTAAAACGAAACAGTGTTTTTTTATTTCACGATTCTGAATCAACCACTCGACGGATTTTCATGATTTTTGTGTTGAAAGAAAGATAATTTTGAGAACTAGGGAATGTCGAAGCCATAAATTTAGTTAAGGGTCCCAGTTTTTTAGAAATTAAGTTTTAATTTTTAAAAAGTCTAGCAGCCGACGCTTGGATTCTAAACTAGCTTTTGGCATAAAACAGTTTGCTTAACATAACAGCTGTAAACATTCAGCTTTTGTGTCACAAATTCAGCATTTGGTTAAAAATGTAAAGACATACTAAGGGTTGACTTATTTATACTATGTGTAATGCAAATCATTGATACGTTCAATTCTTCTGTAAGAGGATGACAGATTAATTAAATTATACATAGTAAAATACTAGGATGTTCAAATTATTTTATTAAAGCAATCTTTGTAATCTTCGATTTGTTTTAGAGCAATATAATTTGTTTTAACTAACAGCTGGTTAAATATAAACTATGGAACTATGAGGTTATTTTATTTACTCTTATTTTGTCATTGATTATAGGAAATAAGTAAGATTAGTAGAGATAATTAGACCACAGTTTAAAATAGTTTAGACCAAAATTAATTAAACCACAGTACAAATCGACGCTCTGTACACGAGTCTGAATAAAAAAGGATAAATGCTAATTATTTTACTATTCCACTTTTTGAGGAAAGAATAGAAAAATAACAATGTTTACATGTTTTAATTCTTCATGGTAGCTTTTTGTTTACAATTAATGTTTGTCTGCTTTAACTTTGTTTGGATTAGGCCCGGAAATATTGATGTCATAAAAAGAAGATCAAGAATAATCAGGAATCACGATTTTAAATTACCACCACAACCTCAGCCGAGTTTTATACAAAGATTGAACACAACGTTAACATTGACCAAGGATACTGCAATTAGACAAACCATCCTTTTATGAAATCGTGTTCAGTGTGGTTACGTTTGGGGGCGCCTATATCAGCGCCCCCAAACGTGAAAATATCACTTTTATTTCAACTATGAATATATTGTAGTTTAAATTAACTAATATGGGAAATTACGATGTACACTTATTCAATGAGGGTGGGTAATTATTAAGGATAGAACTGATAACGGTATGGATAACAAACATTGACAATTACCACAAGCTTTACTAGCGTGTTTACTTTTTACATTCCTGCTACACGTGACCAGTTCATTTAGTAATCGTGAGTTCTTTTTTTTCAAATGAATGTTATTTGAACCAAACAGCTGTTTCAAAACAAACTATTATTGTTTTTACTTTTCTTTGTTTACACTTATTTATTTAGCAATTAATGCAGTGAAATTGATATAAAGGATAGGTGTGACGATTTATGTGTACTGTGAATTTTATTGGATATTATCGTTTTATTTTAGGTCGTTTCTATTCAAACCTACTGGAAATTGTGTATAGTAGTTGTATTGTGGTGATAATAATTATGGAAGAGGCAGGTATGCTAGGAAGGTGGTATCGTTGACTAAGTCTATACACTTCTCAATTGACTATTACTCTCTCTACTGTAGGCTACTTATTATCAGTGTGCGTCTGTGCGAATCGGCTGCAAATCTCACTTCAACGCTTTACACATCGTAAAAATTGCAGAATTGCTGTTTTATTGTAAAATTATCAAATTTAAAATGCATATCGTATAGGCCTATCTATGATGGAATAAAAACATATTTGGTCACACAACATTTGTTTACAAGATGATTTTTCACATTAAAACTGCAAGAAACTTTGTCTTTATATATGTAAACTAGCTGATCTGAATTGTACATGGTTTTAACTGACTACTGAATTCCCGTACGTAGGACGGGCTAACACCTCGTTATTGTTAATTTTAATTTTAAACTCCATCCATACTGCTAATGGTTAATAGTAGGCCTACTTTAAGTGTTATTTGATTTTCCCCAAATGCCTTTTCTGTTATCAAACGAAATTTTGAAATGATACAGCAAGTTTGGTTAGTTATGTTAGGTTAGTTTAGAACAGTTTCATTACTTAATCCATACACAGTAGAATAGTTCCACACTTTATCGACTTAAGGGTTGTCAAACTATCAAAAAGTCGAACTATAGGGAGTAAATGGTGTTTAATATACAGGAAAGTAAAAATACAACTTTTATATAGAAATCACCCAAATTTATTAAATACTAAAAAGCTTAACAATTTCACTGTTTATTAGTCTCAAGTCGATAATAAATGACAAATTAATGTTCAAGTCAACTTACATCACAATATTAAATATCACATATTATTAAATATTATTAAATATCCATTAAATATCACTTGACAAAATATTTTGTGATCTTCGATTGTTTTTCACTCTATGATAACTGGAAAGAACTGGTCCCGGTAATTGACCGCCATACGTGTCAAAACAAAATATCGATCGCTACGTTTACTGTATTATTTTTGTCTAAACAAGATCAGTGTCAATTTGTAATTTAAATGCGTTTGAAGTTATTAAACAGAAGGAAAAATGGATCGTAAAGGAAACAAATATATCGATATATTGATAATAATGAATGTTCCTTTTAACAGGAAAGTACCTGACTCTTTTATTGGATTTAACATTTTGGGAAAGAATATCACTTGACAATGCCTGAATAGGTGAAACATGTGATTCTAACCAGCTATGTTAAACTATTTTGTTCAACCACTATGTGAACTCATTGTGCCGAGAAGATATTATATACCTTATAATAGTACAGTATATTATAAGAAAGAATAAACTGGTTTTATACATTTCGCCCGCAGGATTGAGCCTATGTGGTAAGACAAACTTCAAGGTCAAAACAGGCCGCCAAGCTTTTTGAAAACATATCTATTACTCTTTGACTCCACTTTTTTGACTAAGCTAGCACAGCTCTATCCGTTTAAAAAAAATAGGTCTTATAAATAAAAATGTTAATATAGGCTACCCAAGTTTCTCTGGGTCTTACATACAATGGTAGGCTAATGTTGATTTAAAAGACATAAAGGCCGCTAATCACTAGGACACTTGGTCGCTTACCAACCGGTGATCTGGTTGATGAGCGACTATGTTGAACGTGAACATTTGATTGCTGGGGTCACAGAATAGGATATATAGCACTTTCAATCAAACAGGAAATCAATTGAAATTTGATGGAGATACACAATATTGTGTTTGGTTCTGGTTCAAGCTTAGCTGCACCTGTAGTGAAAACACCATGCCCACCGTCAAGAAGAAATAGCTGCTGTAGTTATGATTTTAATTAAATTGGGAACCAGAGAATATGAACAAGTTTTTTTAGAAGATTTTGGAATAAAGTGTAGCTTTAACATCAAAATAGTTACAGCTACCATACATGGCACTTCTCCGAACTTAAAGACTTGAAAATCCTCAGGATTTTAAAAACCAATTGAGGCATGTCAGATGACAGTTTCCCTCATATTAGGCATATGCATCTTCATATTTTGACGCCTAAGAAAGACTGGTGGCAACACTTTGAATTCTAGCGACTGGACACAGTCTACAAGATCTGGGATGTTTCCACAAATACTAGGGGAGATCATACCAGAAATCTGCAAAGCTACAAGCCCTGTTTTGTTTTGACAGTTTGCTTTCACTTGTACAGCGCATGCCCAAGCCGTCTTTAGTTGATCAACTTAGTCGCTGAACCCTACACACTCTAGTTTATCGAGAAATCTCATTGCCGGGCGATTAATTGTTTGGTCGGAAACCAAAGTGTCCCCTGGCAACCTAAAAATCACCTTCAATCTGATTGAAAGGACCCCACAGACACGGCGATATTTGTGCAATTTGGTCGCTCGCTAACCAGATCGCCGGTTGATAAGCAACCGGGTGCCCTAGTGTGTAGTGGCCTTAACGTCTAAACCTGACTAAACAGATAAATTTATACCAGGATTTCGTAGTCGTCTGCAGTAACAGGAGTGAGGTAAATTTGATGTAGCGAAGATACAGTCTCCTCTGACGTTACAACTACAAGTTCACCCTCTTGCAAGTTGAGTGCTTGAGCGAACGTAGCGTTGATACCGACGGAGCAGTCATTCAACACAGTATGAGCAGGCTGAGGAGCCCAGGAGAAGTATATATGCTGTTTAGTCACAGGGTGAGTGACCTTCACACAGGCATTCTATTAACATAAAAATATATAGGCCTAATTTTATTAACCATTTGAACAAAAAATTCCAAAATACTGGATAAGAGTAATTTCAACACAACAACTTCAACTAAACCTTCAGAAACCTTCTGAACCTAATAGTCAGAAAAAGTGGTGATAGTTATGAGAGGTTCAAGTTTAGAACTAGGCCTACTACAAATGTGTTTTAGTTAACGAAGTTTGTTTGTTAGTGTGGCAGACTCCTCAGCCAGGAGACAGCATCTTAGTTTGAAGGATCGAATCCTTAGTTTTTTAGATAAGTCTGATGTAGGGCCACAACTTGTTTATTCGCCAGTGCAAGAAATTGTGAGAGAAATCCACTTAAATCAGTATAGCAACTAGGTGAAAGGTTGTGGTTACAGGTTGAGTAAGTTTTTTGTGAGTTGCACTAAAACTATAGGCACTTTGCTACTTTTTGCTTATCCATACTTGTTTAAAGTTTTTTTTTTTCTTATTGTGTTTCTAAGATGGGAGAAAATCTTTTCACACAATTCGGTCAACATTTGTATAATTGTTTACATTATTGATAGTAAAAATAACTTGTGTAACTTATACTTTTCCAAACCTATCATAAATACAAACCTTGGGATGGTTTATTTTATTGAACCATTTACTGGAGAACTGTAGAAAGCAGTGTTTGACTGGGATAAACTTAACGAGAAAGTTTTCCTCATTCATCTTCAATGGGTTACAAACTGGTAACCTGTGCAATAAGGCCAAAATTAGGAAAATAGGTTACCTACGTATATTGTACATATTAAAAAAATACTGTGTTTTTTTACAGAATGCAGGCCTATCAACATGTTTCCAAAGCTACAAAAAAGGGGAATCACCTATAGAAAAGATCCAAGTGTTTAAGATTAGAATATGCCTAACTTATTAACAAACACACAAACTTTCACATTTATAATATTAGTAAGATAATGGGGTACACTTCCATATCTGTTGGCACAAACAACCGAATGAGTAATATTGATTATTTGATTGTTTAATTTGATAAATCGTTTGTTTCGTTAGGTTAGGTTAACCTTACCTAACTAACCAAACGATATATCGAATAATTTATGTATCGATCGATATTACTCATTCGGTTGTTTGTGCCAACAGATATGGAAGTGTACCCAGATAATGCTATGGAGTTGAATAGGCTATTAAAGTTTTTCCTAAATTCCAATTGAAAGGTGAATTACCAAAGTCCCATTTAAGTTTTTAAGTTAATCTAGTTTCAAACAGAAAAATTATAGACTATTTAGGCCGACAACTAAGAGTAAGGACTTAAATATTTACATAAATTATTACTTAAGAAATACTGTATGGCCTTTTAGCGAATTTCCCTATAGGGAAGTAGCTATTACCGTAGGTGGCACGGTAAGACCTAGACCTGGGACCGATTTACTTTTTCATTTTGATGTCTCCAGAGGCCAGAAACACCATTCGTTCAACTTTTTATATATGTATATATATATAGACTTATATAGGTATATATATATATATATATACGTCCGTGAACGCGATAACTTGAGTAATTTTTGTCCGATTTTGATGAAATTTGGTTTAAAGGTGTAAAGCGGGATAAACTTGAATGAGTTCGCGAACCAGCACGATCGGACCATGGGAACGGGGCTTTACGGGGGGTTTTATGGGGTAAAAATTGGTTTTTCTCATTTTTGACCCTCAAAACACAAAATTTCCCGATTTCTCTTAAGACCTTTATAACCCTCCGAGTGTCCATAGTTTAGGCCTTAATGTCCACCTATTTTTGGCCCCTTTGCAAGGTTTTATTAAAACGGATCTGAGAAGCTTAAAACAATGTTAATTCTAATGTTCTATATACCATTTTGTTTGGAAAATCATGGGCTTCAATATTATATATAAAACATAAGGAACATTTTTTCAAAAAAAAAATTTTTAGGTAAAAAAAAAATATAATTTCAAAAATTTTCAAAAAAAAAATAAGTTCGCGCTCAATGAAATTGTATAAATTATAGGCCTATAAATATTTGAAAATAGCCACTTTGTTCTAAATTTAATGAGGATTACAAATATATAATCATATAGCGAGGTAAGTTATCAAATAAATAAGTTATGAGCGAAAAACGGATTTCAGTACATAGCGTTTAGCTAAGAATGCATAGCCTAACCATAGCTAGGAATCTGGCTGATAATTTACATCAATATCACTACCTACTTCTTCAGGATCATCAACCAGCACTTCAAAACCACTTAAATCTTCTTATAATGCACCACGTATATCACTACTTTTGATTTTTAACACTAAAACAATGATAAACGTAATAAAACACATCAGTCATCGGTCCGGGGGAACCTAGCTGTTTACAAATACACGCACGTCAGCTGTCTGCTACAATATTTTCGGAACTAAAATGAATAGCGCTTAGAGACAGACCTCTGGAGAAAGCTTAGAATATTACGGAAAGAACGATACCTAACTCGATCCAGTTCAATCCGATTCAGTCAGTCATAGAGCCTTCGCCGTAAACGATGTTTGTGCGTCTTAAAAGCGACGCGTGACCCTACACAAAGTGTGTTGTGCGTCGTTTTTATGACGCGTGACACTCGGAGGGTTAAAGAGCTTAAAAAAACAAATAATTTAATATATAAAAGTATTTTTGTTCGATTATTAGTAACGGAGAAAATTTAAAAAATTGTAAATTTAAAATTCCCATGTTATTCTTATGGAGAATATTGTCAAACGTTGTAGTTTGCTTGTTTATGGATATATTTTGATCAAACTTGGCAAATTTATTTATTTTGTACTAAGCTATCAATATTTTACTCAAAAACACACTTTATTAGTTTCCTTGTAGCAGCAAACCTAGGTACTCGTTAAACCTAATGTTATTAAAATATATTTAACTGAAAATCAATTCAGACGAATGGAAATTCGCTTAGTCGGCAGGTTTGCTGCGGCGGGGGTATTTTTATACATTTTCCTAAATTATTTAGGATATTCAATGATTAATAAATAGCTGGTCAAGCCTACCTTCCTGAATACAAAATATAATGATAAATGTATTAAAGAAAGAATTGAGTGAGTTATACAAAAAGATGCTTAGCTAACTGTGCTTAATTTACATTACTCACGTATTGATTGAGGTATAAAAATGTCATACCTACCTACCTAGTAAGGGTAATTCTGAGCAATTACTTGGTCAACCCCAATTTTTTTCATATTTTACTACGGTCATCAGGAGGTTCTCAGAAAGCAAGAAACATGTAATTCAAGCCCCGCAAGGTTAAGTTAGGTTAGGTTAAGTTAGGTTATTAATTAACCTAACCTAACCTAACGTAACGGTACTGTTACAATTGGCCTTAGAGATGTATTTGAGACTAAAAAAAAAACATAATAAGTTAGGTTAGGTTAAGTTAGGTTATTAATTACCTCAGTAATCACCGGGTTCAACGTCCTCATCCGAGTCAGCGGCAACTGGATCAACATTCTGTTGCGCCGATTCCCCGTTGTAAACTTCACCGATAGCCCGAAACAAATGGCGTAGTCTTTGTTTGTAATCCTTATGTTTCCGTTTAAACATGAACTCAGCAAGGTGGCCAATAAAATGGTGCTTTGTGTTGCCGTACCTAGGAACGTTTCCCCGCACATCTCTCCACAAACGTTCAATATGTTGAGTGTGTGCTCCCGTGTCTGGGTCAACAAAATTGTACGTGTGGTTGACGGTGAGATGTGTAAAGCCTTCAAACTGCAAACAGTCATAGGTCCGCCAACAGTCCCGCAAGCCACTGTTATCGCTTGGACTTTGAACCTTCTTATGTATTTTCCCAGTGGCAAGAACTAGAATATTTAATTTTGAACTAGTTACCTTATGCCTTTGTTCTTGCAGGTATGAAGTTATAATCCTCCAATATATTTCACCACAGTGTGTGGCATCAAGACTCCCTGAAGATGCCACACACTGTGGTGAAATATATTGGAGGATTATAACATCATACCTGCAAGAACAAAGGCATAAGGTAACTAGTTCAAAATTAAATGAACCTTCTTATCGCTCGGCAACCTGTACGATGGCCTTGCGGGCCTTGAATTATATGTTTCTTGCTTTCTGATAACCTCCTGATGACCGTAGTAAAATATGAAAAAAATTGAGGTTGACCAAGTAATTGCTCAGAATTACCCTAGTAAGTATTATTTAAGTAATTTTAAAATCATCAAATCATCCTAACCTAAATATAAAAATTGTAAACAACAACACTGCGCTGGCCACTGACCCACTGACGTCACTTACGTCAATCACCTGTGACGGTGTCCACGGTGACGGAGTAAGCAAGCACAGGTGATTTGGTGCGGCACACGGGAGATTTATCAGGTGCCGATATGACGTGATCATTAGTGAAGAAGACTCAACAGAGCAAGGCTGCTATGTTTTTGATTTACAAGTTCACCTTGTTAAAGTTTTGTTCTAAAATAAAATGAATATTATTTAATATAATATATAAAGTAAATACATTTCATTGGCCTGTAACAAAAACCAAGGAGTGTTAACCGCTTGTCTCACCGAACAAGGAATCTTTTACAAATATAAGCGTAAACCAAATGCCTAAATGTTGTCAATTCTCGATTATTTTGTCTGTCTTGTTATATGTATTTTGCAATCATCACTTTGTTAAATTTTCTAATTGTAGCCATTAAGCAACTATCTATCTTTTGCGTAGTTAAGCATGTACTATAACACTACATACATACTATTATCTATTGTAAAAATATGTGTTAGCCATCAAATTTTTCATATGTATTGTTTGGTTAGAATTTTAAGCATATTAGCATAGATAAAACCATAGACTAACCAATACAAGTAGACTTCTCATCCCATTGTAAATTTTGAAGCACGTTTTTCGTGTCTAGTTCATGTACGTGACACAAAGGCGCTAGTGTCGATGAAACTTTGTTTCCATTATTTTAGGGTTAATTTCTTGATTTGTGCTTTACTGTTTGGTTATATAACTAGGGGACAAGTTATTGTTTATGATTAGATCGTATTATTTGGTTAAACGAGGTTTTAAATGGCTGTAATAACGGGAAATAAATTGTAAACAAAACACGACCTCTACATAAACCGTACATGAACTATCAATAAAATTGTCTTCAGCTGTTCCATAAGGATGAGAAATCTACTAAGGGAGTATGTTTTATCTATGATAAAACATACTCCCTTAGTAGATTTCTCATCCTTATGGAACAGCTGAAGACAATTTTATTGTTAGTTCTGTACGGTTTTCTGTAGAGGTCGTGTTTTGTTTACAATTTGTTGAGTTACAAGTTGTAACTTGTAACTTGTAGTTTATTATGAAATGGGCCCCTGATTGTAAAATAAAATAAAGTTTTAAAAAAATATATTGGGCCATGTATTGTTCAATCTGTACATGGCACACATCCCTCTTCCAGAAGACGCCACATTAGCTCGGGACGCCGACGATACTGCTATCCTGTGCCAACATTCCGATATCCACGAGGCCACATATTCTCTTTCAATACTCTGTGGACGTTCTCATTGATTGGTTCTTCAAGTGTAAATTTCGACTAAATTCAACTAAATGTGAGACCAAAACATTAAACCAAATTTAAAAAAATAAATTAAATTACATATGGCCCTGAAATAAAAATTCGTGGGTTTATTTTGTTAAAAGCAAACAATTATCCTATACTCTAATACGAGCAATGTTTGCTTGTGTATGCTTGCTTGCACAAAGTTCTCAAAAGCTCCGACGATTTTCTTCAAATGTTGTAAATAGTTTATTCCTGACCTAAAAACGAGTTTACTGCAGTTAACTGCCAACAAAAATCTAATTACGTAGAAAAATGAAACTGAAGTCACATTTTTTTAACATTAGTCTAATGGGTTGCTGTAAGTAACAATGTTGGCTGAATTAAATAACAAGGAAAAAGTAAACAAAAGACTTGTAGTTGTCTGTCCACAAATTAAAAATACAGTACAAAAGGAAAAACATCAGTTGTTACTATTGAGCAAAGGTTCCCTATACTGAAGATTACTCGATACATTGTAGTCAAGGGTAGCAGTGTGAAGTGTGGGTTCTGTTTATGACGATTAGATTAAGGTATATACATATCTACAATCCTAAAATGCTATGGGAAGGGAGGGAAACAAGTCCGCGACGCAGAAAGTGGTGAAGGAAATAGTAAAGGCGAGCAGTCCCATCTGGAGCGTGGGAACTGTTTATGACGATTAGATTAAGGTACCTGCAATCCTTAAATGCTATGTGAAGGGAAGGAAACAGGTCCGCGACGTAGGAAGTGATGAAGGAAGTAGTAAAGGCGAGCAGCCCGGAGTGTGGGAACTGTTTATGACGATTAGTTTAAGCAAGGTATCTGCAATCCTAAAATGCTATGGGAAGAGAGGGAAACAAGTCCGTGACGTAAGAAGTGGTGAAGGAAGTAGTAAATGCGAGCAGTCCGGAGTGTGGGAACTGTTTATGCAATCCTAAAATGCAATGGAGAGGGAGGGAAATAGGTCTGCGACGTAGGAAGTGGTGAATGAAGTAGTAAATGCAAGCAGTCCGGACTGTGGGAACTGTTTATGACGATTAGATTAAGGCATCTGCAATCTTAAAATGCCTTGGGAAGGGAGGAAAACAGGCCCGAGACGTTGGAAGTTGTGAAGGAAGTAGTCAAAGGTGAGCTATTCGGAGTGTGGGAACCGTTCATGAAGATTATATTAAGGTATCTGCAATCCTAAAATGCTATGGGATGGGAGGGAAACAGGTCTGCGAATTAGGAAGGGGTGAAGGAAGTAGAAAAGGCGAGCAGTGTGGAGTGTGGGAACTGGAAACAGTTTGTAGCAGTTAGAATAATGTATATGCAATATTGAAATGCTATGAGAAGGGATGGAAACAGGTCCACGACACAGGAAATGGTGAACGAATTAGTAAAGGCTAGCAGTGCGGAGTGTGGGGAATGGATTTATGTATCTGCAATACTAAGACTGCTTTCAGATAATGATTTCCCCCGAGCAAAGCTCGGTCCCCAGGTACTTATACTTAAAATACCTACATTCGAATGGTCGCCGTAAAAAAAAAATCTTTAAATTAGACAGAAACATTAGTATATTTCGTTTGAACGTCTTCAAGTGTGTAACCGAACTTAAGTCAAACTTCGTTAAAACTTCGAAGGGGAAATGTTGCATAACTTCAGAGTTAGTTGGTATCCATAACGTCAATGCTACAGCATACCTTTTCTCCTAATTAATAATTGAACATTTAATCTCTTTGCGTCTCAAATCGTTAGAATTATTTCAATATAGACCAACTTAATTATTTTAGCATTAAAATTATATTTTTAAATTTTCTACAATAGTTGTATTGTGCTGGTTAAATTACGCCTGACTACCATGATTATTAATACATATTTATCACTGGCTTAAAATATACAGTAAAATACTTTCTACAGTACACACTTTTATGTGGCTGTTTATATCAACACAATCGTCATGGCACTGAACTCTGAACTCATTTTTAACGTATAACGAATCAGAGACCTCCATTACCAGCTTTTCGTAACTGACAAAATTTTGAACTAGTCAGCTTTTCAGCTAGTGCGAGGTGGCGTTGTTGACTTCTCTCAACATATTCATCAATCAAATGAAATAAGCCGCTAATTGGTAAGTAAAACTCGAATAATTATGTTATAAACACGTGCAGTTAATTAATGTTTCTGTAACATTTTATGGTTGGAACATCACGTTTTAGCCTAATATTTTAAAACAGGCTATCTTATGAATTTTCTAGTTTGTTTGCTGCAAGCACTGACTGGCCTTTCAGAATTCATTTTGTAACAGGAATCGATAGAAATATTTTATTATTATACCCTTCCATTATGTACCTATTTATATGTAGACTATAGCAGATTGCAATAATCAAGGTAAGTTGGGCTCAAAAGTTAAATTTAATCAAAGATGAAAGCCTACCCTAAACTTAGGCTTTAATTTAGGCTTACCCTTAAAACCTGCAAGAGCCTGTAAATTTGGCCATGTGATTGCTTTTGTGTGATAGCTTTAATTTAAGACCTAGTGTTTCTCGAATCATCAAGTTATAGCCTAGATGTATCCTAGCCTGCCTCTGATAAATAAAAGGATATTCTAAAGGTATTCTAGGCCTAGGCTGTAAGCCTATTGTGTGACAGATTGGTATTACCTAGAATACTTAATTTTCAATTTTAGAGTTGTCTGGGTGAACGGTGAACTAAGTTAGCCTAACTACTAATACAAGTTGAGACCAGCTGTGCTTTAATTATCTTGGTAACTTAGTAAATTTTATGATAGGCTAAGTTTACATTAGGTAAACTGTATGTAGATTCCTTGGATCCTAGACATTCTAACTTTTTTTATTTCCGTCAAAACCCCTACCTAAGTTATATATTATACAGGGAAAAATTGCTATTTAATTTTGAACCTTTTTATTGCATGACACCGAGTTTCAGCTGTAACCGTTCACACACGGGGTAATTTTTGCTACGGTAGCCTAAATGATTACTGTTTCTGGAAGAAATTATATCGATTTTCAGATAACTTAGGTAACTTACCTAAGAAGGCACGTACCTACTTAGGTATTTATGTATTTACGTATTTATGAAGGGTAGGGACTAAAAGACAACTGATAAAACGTAAAGTGAAAATAAAGTGAACTCTAAAAATATTTTAATATGGCCTCCTAAAGGGTAACTTAAAACTTATGCCAGTCAACAATCTAAAAAAAATATTTTTTTTCTCAAAATGTTTTTTTTAGTGCTGATTCCAAAAATGTTATTCATTAATTGCGGAAACGTCCCGGAAAAAACGGGAAAATCTTTTATTGCTCAAAACCCATGTTGTGGGTACTCAAATTGTGCGACATTTCCTCCTGAACAAGAATATGGGCTGCACTTTACTTTAGGTCCTACACTCATTCGAATGAAAATATTGATTATTCGATTGTAGAATGCAGGCTTTATTTTGGGTTAGGATACCAAGCCTGTTTTTTGATCCGGGTACTAAAGTTAGGTGCGTCAAACACTAGACGCGTACTAAGTTAGCTGGACTCGAGCTCCCAAACCGCCTCATAGTACCTATAGCCTACTAGATATTTAAAATTAGGCTACAATAACTCTGGTGTTTGAACAAATATTTTTGGACGGTAAATATCATCAGCTCGGTTGTTTGAAAATAACATTGCTCTTAACTTAAGGCGGTCAAATCCAAGATGGCCCTTCTTAGCTTCCATGGACTCCCTTGGAGAACAATTCAAAACTACGAAGAACATTTCTAATCCCACAGTATACGGTACTAGATATTTAAATTACAATTACTTGGGTGTTTTAAAATATTTTTGGACAATAAATAACTTCAGCAGACTGTTTGAAACTATCCAAGATGGCCGCTAGCCTCTAAGGACTCTTAATATAATAAAATTATTTTATTTCCATTGAAAAACCACAAAGTCAAAACAATCCAACTTTCATTGAAAATATAACTGACCACTTTATCAAGTTTTGTGGTGAGTAGAGAAAATTCTTAACAATCTAAAAATAAACTTTTGGTACGGTACAGCTTCAATGAGCCTTAAACTTATTAGTTCAGTGTCTCGCATCAATCTAGAGTTCTAATCTACAGTAAAACCTCAAAAACTTGACACCTGGGTAACGTAACAGTCTGTGTAAATCAACAGTAGACCGCTGAAAATTGCAACTTGTAATTATAGGCTAAGCATGAATTAGCAATTCTTTTAATCAATCAAATATTCTTTTTCAGAAAGTTTAGACAATAACTTAGGCCTATGTCTTAAATAGCGTCATTAAAATAACTTAAATTAAAATTTATAAACTAAATTATTATAATCAGCCATATCAATTTTTTTAAATTGTTAAATTAAGTTCTGTAGGTAACTTTTTGTATTTAAGTTATAATTCTATAACAACTTTTATATTTAAGTTATAACTTTAAAAATCATAAAATATTTACGTTACATCGGAGTAAAACTAGGTAAGTTACGTGGAATTCAAACGAACATTCAGAGATTACATTCTAAAAATTCTTTTATAGAATAAAATGAGTTTCTTGTCAATAATTCCTTTGGTAAGCTTTTGAATCTGTTTGTGTTTGCCTATTTTATTATTATTTTTTTAGTGATATGGGTAAATTTATAAAGTTACCTAACTTTTATTCCTGCATAATGAAGGTTTTTTGTGTAGAATTCTTATGTCTAGTAAGGTTAATTTGAAAGCCTAGGTAGGTATTATATTTACTTGCGGTGGATAATAAATGAAATTGTTTTGCAAAAAATAATCTATATAAATAAAATTAGAGTTTTGTCTGTACATTGCTTAGAATAATGAACTTTTTGGTTATTTTTACATTTCATAGGTCAGAGAAACCGAATCAAACCTTATCTCAATTTCTGTCTGTCTGTCTGTCTGTCTGTCTGTCTGTCTATCTGTCATTCTCTTGGTAACGCTAAAATACGCACTTTATTACAACTACTCCTCAATAACTATAGCACTGTCCCGCCTGAAACTTATTTTCCAAATACTATACATATATGAGATGGTTTTAGACGTATTTCATCGAATATGAGACAGTTAGATATTTAACAGTAAACCCTTGAAAATCAAGTTTTTGTCGATTTTTGACGTGGAATTTCTGGAAGCCCATGTTAACCTTATGAGAAATGAAATTATTGAATCTTAACAGCTGTTTCAATTAAACAAGTTGGTTCTGTTCTGTGATGTTCAATAGCATTAAAGTTACAAGGATTACCAACAGGGTGCAGCACTAGCACTATTATTTCTTTTACATTTATGACAACAGCTAATTTGCAACCTGGAGGCGAGTGAGCGTAGCGAACGAGCTAACCTGAAGGCAAGTGAGCGTAGCGAACGAGCTAACCTGAAGGAAAGTGAGCGCAGCGAACGAGCTCCAACATACAGGTGAGTGAGCGTAGCGAACGAACTTCAACCAGGACGTGATTGAGCCATGCAAACGAGATCAGATAGTAAAAATAAAAGTAAGCCTACCGTTATAGGATCGACCGGCAGACACAGAGGTAATTTAACCTTTTATTGATTGTCATACCGATCCGGAACAACAAAAAACAACATAAAATGAAGCTATGTATAATAGTTTGGCCAGCATATCTTAAAATATGCAAACCAACTGCTGTTCTTTATATAAGAAGGTTTCAACTGAATATTATAAGATCCCCGTGCGTAGAACGGGTACACAGCTAGTTATCTCATAAATATAAAAACTGTAAACTGTAGGATCACACCTAATCCAGGAAAAATACATTTTTAACTGAATCTGTGCTTTTAGCAAATTTCCCTTTAGGGAAGTAGCTTTTACCATAGGTGGCACGGTAAGACCTATGCCCGGGACCAATTTACTTTTTCATTTTGATGTCCCCAGCGGCCAAAAACGCAATTCGTTCAAATTTTTAATATGTGGGTAGGGTAGGCCTATAGGTAGAGTTATATGTGTGTCCGTAAACGTGATAACTTAAGTAATTTTTGTCAGATTTTATTGAAATTTGGTTTAAAGGTGTAAAGCAGGATAAACTTAAATGATTTAGTAAACCATGGGAACGGGGTTTTATGGGGTGAAAATTGCTTTTTCTCATTTTTGGTCCTCAAAAAACAAAATATCCTAACTTTTCTCAAAACCTTTTTAAAGAGCTTAAAAATACAAAAAAATTGTTAATCATTGTTTTATTGGTAATGGAGAAAATTCAAAAAATTGTAAATTTAAAATTCCCATGTTATTCTTATGGAGAATATTGTAAAATGTTGTAGATTACTTGTTTATATGGATATATTTTGATCAAACTTCTTGGCAAATTTATTTATTTTATACTAAGCAATTAATATTTTACTAAAAAACACGCTATTAGTTTCCTTGTAGCAGCAAACCTAAATTAATTACTCGTTAAACCTAATGTTATTTTCATAGATTTTATTGAAAATCAATTTAGACAAAAGGAAATTCGCTTAGTCTGCTGTAGGTAGTAGGTTTGCTGCGGTGGGGGTATTTAAGATAGGTCTGGCTTTATACATGTCTGGGACCACGACTGTATTACAGTGTTTTTAGCGAATTTCCCCTATAGGGAATAAGCTATTACCGTAGTACTCATGGTAAGACCTGGACCCGGGACCGATTTACTTTTTCGTTTTGAGGTCCCTAGAGACCAAAAACACTATCCGTTCAAATTCATACATATAGGTATACAGGGTGATCAACTCAAGGAGGCCACCATTGGGATATCGGAAACGGTAAGAATTAGAGAAAACTTTAAATGGGGGACATTCCTTTATTTTTGTGGCAGTTAAAAATATGATTTCAGTTTTTTAAATTCAGCCACCATTTTCCAAAATGGCGGCCAACTTTGCAATTTCTTATGGAACACCCTATATTTTATCATGTTTTCGGATAAAACATGCAATTTAAAAACTTTTTTACTCTTGACATTTTTTCGATAAACCCACTCGTTTAGGAGTTAGAGCCTATGGAAAAATGACTTCCGGTGTACATTTTAACATCATTTAGCTCCTAAACGAGTAGGTTTATAGCGAAAACGTGAAGAGTAAATAAGTCAAATACCTAAGTCTTAAAATGGCATCCACATTCCAAAAAGAGCATAAAATTCGTTAAAAATATTAAATCTTGTTATTTAAAAAATGACGCCATTTTCCAAAATGGCGGCTAACTTGAAAAGTGGAAAACTGTGTATTTTATGGTCCTTATGGAATGTAGATGGAATTCGAAGACTTATTCTCTTCGCAATTTTGCTCTAAACTTACTCGTTTATGAGCTACATGATGTAAAATGTACAACGGACTGTAACTCCTAAACGAGTGGGTTTATCAAAAAAATGTCAAGAATAAAAAAGTTTTTAAATTGCATGTTCTATCCGAAAACATGGGGTGTAAAATATAGGGTGTTCTGAGAGAAATTTCAAAGTTGGCCGCCATTTTGGAAAATGGCGGCTGAATTTCGAAAAACTGAAATCATATTTTTAACTGCCACAAAAAATAAGGAATGTCCCCCATTTAAAGTTTTCTCGAATTCCTAAGTAGGCTTGTCCTTGAGAAACCTAAGTACTTGTTAAGCTAATGTTATTATTTTAAATCTTACTAATATTATAAATGTGAAAGTTTGTGTGTTTCAAAAACCAACAGAAAATTTAAAAAATAATAATTTTAAATGCATGTGAATATACATAGAATGTGCATACTTCCCTCACATAAATAAGAACTCATAGCGTACTCGTACTCTTTTTTTTATTATTTTTTTACTACACCTAGGATTCTTTCCGACAAAATTGTATTCTGTAATTGTAATTGTACCTATTCTTCTATGATTGTATTCTCGGATTCAACATTTAAGTTAAAATACCCATGCCGCAGCAAAATTGCAGACTAAGCGAATTTCTATTTGCCTAGTTAAATTTTTACCAAAATATCACTATTAAAATGTCATCTAGGACTGTTTAACATTAAGCTAGTTTAATGAGTGCTTAGGTTTGCTGCTTCAGGGAAGGATTTTAATAGTACAGAATTGTATGAAATAAATACATTTTAATAATTTTATCAGAAAAGTATTCATAAACAAGCAAACTAACAGTTTACTTCTTATTCTTCATAAAAATAACATGAGCATTTTAAATTTACAGTTTTTTTTTATTATCTCCTTAGCGATGAGGCGCATTATGACAACTCTTCAAGATACTAAATTATTTGTTTGTTTTTTTTTAAGCTCTACATAATGGTTTGGAAATAAACTGTCAAGTTTTATGCTTTTAGTCTAATAAATGGGAAAAACCCTATGTCTATCCCATAAAACCCACTCCCCTCATAAACACCTATTCCCATGGTGTGATCATGCTGGTTCGCGAACTCTTTCGGACAAATGTAGGTTTACACGTATATAGGTACCAAATTTCATCAAAATCGGATGATTTTTTGCTGGAGTTATTGTGTTAGAGGACGAATACTGCACATAAGTTAAAGGCAATATACTGTATATAATTTTATGAAAATTATATAGTGATTAGGGCTACAATTTTGATAACATAAAATACATTATTGAAAACTACTCTTTTAAAACTCATTTTATTAGACAACGACTAGTCCCAACAGTAATGTCGTCATAAGTCATTTCCCTATTTGGGAAATAGGCTAAAAACTGTTAGTAGCCTAGATACCAAGATTCAATTTTTAACGGGTGAAAGTATTTGTTCAACTTTTGCTGTGAGAACACAGCCTGCTTCAAACTTTCATGTACAGTAGACTCCCTTTTTAACAAGACATCGGTTCAACCAGACTACACTCGGCGGAAATGGTATCTCTTTAACCAGACAATATTTATCAGCACATTGGTTTAACCAGACTAGATCAGCAGGAAGTGGGCGGTACTGAAACGACTGTTCTCGTGGGAAAGATTGGAGACCAGTGATCACGTATCTAAATACAATGCTCTCCTAAATTTAAGTCGAATATCACAGTAAACGGTCTGGTTTCAGTCCGGATAAGAGGGAGTCTACTGTAATTGAATAACTATAGTTCGGCCGCTTAGTAAGCGACCTCCCCTAGCATTGGCTAGCATTAGCGTGCAGGTTGCTTTCTAAGCGGCCGAACTATAACTTAAAAGGCTCAAATTAGCCTGCACAGCTGAAAAAATGGTTTTATCTAAAAAAACAGGTTGGTTTATATATTAAGTTGTGGTGTCGGAACTGTAACCTACCAGGAATTAAGACCTCCCCCCTAATGCAGTATTTTTATCATTCCGAAAGACAGGTACTGGAATGGCATTCCGTCGCAATTTGAGCATTGTTTGGGTTGTCAAGTTATCCAAATCACTGAAATTTTTAATGGGTTTTAATAAACGAATACATAACAGACTAATTTTTACATATAAATTTATTACACTCATGAGTATTTTTACATATTGAGTAAACAATCTTCAAAGAAACTTATAATATTCAACAATTAAAACTTGAAAAGTCAAACACAATAGCAAGACACAGCCAGCTAAACGTGCACACTCTCAGCTGTTGACTGTCGAGTTACCCTGGGGTCGAGTTGGTGAGGTTTTACTATATATTATGTAATCATAAATGTCACTTTAAAAACATACCGTATCTATTTGGTTAATATTTGGTTTGTAATAAATAGACTTAGAGTTAAAATTACAGTACATGTTGCTTATTTGGCTAAAAATGGTCTTAACTCACATTAGAAGTTGTTGGTTGGATTCCATTAAGAGATGGGGTAGATTCATTATTGTTAAAGATCATGCAAGATTTTAGTGGCAGGCGGGCAAGTAATTAGTTTTTCATATTAATTTGATGTTACAGTTACTAAACCCATAAGTTGTGTATTCCCTTTGGGAAGTCTAGTTTAGTGTTCCATACTTAAGTAATCATGTCTTCAAACTTAACTGTGTATAAGATTGAATTTGAGTTGTCAGATTCAATTGTTTTAATGTTTGTTGCCATATGTCTTGTTTCAGATAAGATGGCACCATTAAAAACCACAACAAAAAAATCTTCAGTCATACCTTCAGAAAATTTGATCAAAAACATGAACACCAGAAGCAGTGCAAGAGTGTCTTCTGGCATAATGAAAAAAGAAAATATCAAAGAAATAAACTCTTTCCCCAAGCGCAAAGCTGTGTCCCCCATAAAGGGAAATACACTAAAGAGATCAGCTCTTGGAAATATAACTAATGTAAGTAATGTACCTTAAATATTAGGTAGGCCTATTACAATTTCCGCTTACAGTCCTTTATTTAAGATGCCTGGACCCACAACCACAATTTTTGCTTTCTGTTTTACAAAAATAATAGGCTAAGGCTTTATTTATTTCTTTTAGTTGTTTTTAACTTTTTTTTAATTTCTTTGAATCAAATTTAACTTTTTGGTTATCTATATAATTAGTACGCTACATGAAACTTTAATGGTTGAACTACTCTGCCATTTCTTAACCGATCTTATCCATTGATGTCTCATTGGAAAGAGCGTGTCCCGTAGATTTGCAAACTGGCCTTACATTTTTGAAAAAGTCCCTTGGGCTCTGCCCCAGTGGCTTTGAAAGTTCCCATGTTATCCTTATGAAGAACATAATTGTAACTACTTTACTTCTTTGCAATTCCTCGATTTCGAGCAACGTGTTTACTAGTTATTATTTTTATGGTACTCACATTGTACCATCGTTAAAATATACCATGGCTCTGAAATCTCTCTATTTTTAATAAACATGCACTCAAAAAGCAACTATAAATGTAGTATAATTTATCTTTTAACAAATTACATACATTGACACTAAAACAGATTGTTGTCACTAAAAAGTGTGCAATTTCAATTTCAGGCCATAGAAACACAATGCGTCATTAGTAGTGGAAAGAAAACTGCAAAGAAGGTGCCTATTTCGACTGTGACTAAGCCAACGATCGCAACATCGGCTAAAGCCACTCATCCGACGATGATTTCAAAACCTAGTCTTCAGGTGAAATCTATGCTTCCCCCTCTCCCCAAGTCCCGTCCCCCTATCACAACGCAGGTGTCACATGTTCCCAAACTGAGCTTGACTTCAACTCTGAGGTCTGTACCTGCGACTGTTGCCAAACCATCTGACAAGCCTACGACTCTGACCAAGCCTGTGGCACGACAACGTAGTCCTTCAGTCAAGAAACCAGCCCCCTCTCTACTGGTGCCTAGCAAATGCAAGGTGCGTTGGACACTTACTGTAGAATAACTTATATCTTTTGTGATAGTTGAGTACCTTTTATCCGTAATTTTTAAAACAATGATGTAGTATGATGATCCAGAATTTAGGCATCCACAGTCAAAGTAGACTGTCAAATCTTGGTCTTCGAAGTAGCAAAAATACTCATATCAGTATTCAGTACCAGTATCTTAGCGAGTATTTCAAAGGTCAAGATTTGACATTATGATGATTATTTTTCTATCACCTCTTTCCTCTTTTATCCGAGTATTAAAGCTAAAAATTGAGATAATGTTTCACTGCGTTTTTGATCAATGGGTTTTAAGTTGGTGATTTTTTTGTCCTAAGACGCTAGGCACGAGTCCGGAATCGTTTTTCATAGGCCTATTACTTCAGGCTATACCTAGGGGTTACGGCATTATCACTTAGATAAAATCCATTGGTGATTTGGCGAGATTTGAACCCGGGACCCCAGCAACCGGAGTCCTGCGCTCTAACCACTAGACCAGCTTGCTCCTTCAAGTTGGTGATAGATACAGCTTGCTTGTGTCTGCAGGCGTATAGCTTAACTTGATGTCAAACTGCTCAAATCAATGGTGTAAACCAGGGGTCTCCAACCTACGGCCCGTGAACAGATTTTATACGGCCCACGAAGGCCTACTGGGAATTTTTTTAATGTTAAATAAATGGTATAAATTGATGATCGTTCAAAATCATTCACGATCACGGCAACACTCAAGAGCATATTTTGCGGTCTCAGCGATACTGCGATTGCGACTGCATTGTGCGGTAATAGTAATACTGTAATTATATCCAGTGATCGTGAGTCCCTTATGATGTTAAAAGAGAACCGATGGCTCGCTGGCAATGAATTGAGTCTTATTGGCTATTGGTGATCATTGTAGTCCTTGGTCTTGGTCCATGCTGTATTCAAGTACAATTCTCGGTGCCCAGGTTAGCTGGACACCCAGATATCCTGTTTAAATATGTTTATAGTACACCTCTCTTAACACTTTCCATGTTTTTCCAATAAGAGAAAATAATATGTAAGCACGTGCCTAGTGATCAAGCTATCTTAATACAGATCTTCCAAGCTATGTGAACCTTTCAATTGAAAACAGGACAACAAACTTTAATCCTGAACTGGCTGACCTTAAATTTGTAAATACAAAATTCTCCCCAACAATTTTGTTGTGTGTTATTTGGAGGTGGGCTACGTTTTTACACTGAAACGTTGATGGTCCTTTCCTCCAAAAATTGTCAATGTGGTCCTTGTGTAAAAAAGTTTGGAGACCCTTGGTGTAAACCCTACAAGTCATGGCCTTTTTAGTAAATGGGCCCGGGCCCAGGGACGCAATAGGTGTAAGGTATTATAATTAATTAATTAATGTGATGGGGCACATTGAAGAGAAAAAATCTCTTGAAAATATGTCTTAGTCCCTAAAGTGTGTCACATGCAAACCGTCAGCATGTACAAAGTCTCAAATTTTTGTGGTTTATTTTTATTTTTAATGTTAGATTTATTTAGTTTTATCTCTACTATTGTAGGTTTAGTCACTCAACATTCAGTGAATCTCTCTCATTAATTATCATTTATTGATCATTAGGTGACAATCAAACCAAAATGCAGTGTAAGTTCACTGCCCACCACCCGCAGATCATCTGGTCGCAGAAGTACTTTGGACTCTACAGACTCCTCCCTCTATGTGTCTGCACTCAGCGAAGTGTGAGTCTTATTTCATCAGGGTGTCTACACCTTCCAAATCCTTGACCTCAGTCCCCATATCAGGAATAGGAATAGTCCCCTATGTTTCATTTGGTCCTGGATGTACCTGAAAAACCCACATAACTTTATGTTTCCCGAATTTCTATACTGTTTTTTAATATTCTTTTTACATTTCTTGAATCTTGGATGAAACGAGCTAAATTTAAACCGTAAGATATTTTCATGCTGATCAGTCTAAAGCTTTTTTTTAGAGTTTGGGTGTGGCAAGTGAGGTTTGTGGTATTTAGCAGTTGTGCTGTGTTTGCTTTATTGTGATATGAAAATGCCACCATATTTGCCCATGCAGTGTCAATGTGCTTATTTTCCTTATATTTTACTTATGAATTCTTCTTGAAAATTGCTTGGTTACGTTCCCTAAAATCTATTAAAAACCCCCAATTATTTTAATGCAGAGGCTGCAAACACCCTTTTTATTAATAACAGCTATAACAGTACACAAGCTTTGTTCATTTAAACATGTGCCAGTTTTAATTTACGTCTAAAAAGTATTTTTTTCAGTTACTCTTTCTACCTACTTTAATCTTACTAATATTATTAATTATAAATAGTGAATACTTAATATTATTCGCTTTACTTGGTGGAATATTAACTTGTCTTAGTCCTAAACAGTTAAATCCTCATTAAACTGGACTGTTACAGTGATGTTTTAACAGCTGCTGAGTGCTGATACGTCAGTTAGGCAAACTTCAATCTTACCCGGGCAGACAATAAATGGTTTTGCCAAAAAAAAATGTTAAAACATGAATCTCTCTATGTGCAGTGAATTTTGTTTCAATGATGATGCTCAACAACTTGTGAAAATGAACAGAAATTACACAGAATATTCTATTTTACAAATACAGTAGACTCCCTCTTATAAAACCGACATCACTAAAAACTCGTTAAATCGGACCGTTTACTGTGATATTCAACTTAAATTTAGGAGAGCATTGTATTTAGACATGTGATCACTAGTCTCAAAGAACAGTCGTTTCAGTACCACCCACTTCCTGCCGATCTAGTCCGGTTAAACCAATGTGCTGATAAAAATTTTCCGGTTAAAGATATGTTATTTCCGCCGAGTGTAGTCCGGTTGAAAGGTGTCCGGATAAGAGGGAGTCTACTGTAACTTGTCAACATAATAGCAAAGTAGAAAAAATCCAATTTTTTTACGGTAAAACTTGTCAAAATGTTGATGTTGGATGCAGGGCAGATAATGAAACCAGTGATGGTGAGGTGCAGCTTCCATCCCCTGCACTACCCACCCCTCTCATCAACATAGATGAGGAATACGCAGAGGACCCTTACCAGTGCGCTGATTACGCTTATGAAATATTTGAGTACCTCAAGAGTAGAGAGGTGAGCGGTGTTTGCTACTCATATACTTGGTTTGAATAATTATGTATTTTAAAAGTGCATACTAACTACACTAAACGCTCATCAATAGGCATTCCAATTCGTCTGGAAATGAAATAATCTTATCTTAGAAAGAAGTACTTTGTAAAGGTAGATACTATTTGTGTAGGCTACCCCTTGAATATAACAAATCATCTTTTACATAGAAAAAATTGAATAGGTGTAATTTATAATATATTTTAGCACATAGCTACTATTTTTTCCCCGATTCAACTTGCAGTTCCTTTATACTATAAAGGAACTGCTAGTATTTTGACACATTCCTAGCTTAGATGTAGGCTATGCAATTTTTATAATTTGTAAAATGGCTGTGCAAATTAAGAGAGGACCTCAGTGGCCTCACTAATGGGCTTGATTAACTAATGAGGGTTAAGTTCCTAAAGCACACTTAACACAGGATATATTGAGCCAATAGAAATATTTAGAGTTTATACATTTAGGGCAAGGTTAATGAAGAGAAAACATTTTATTTAGTAATAAGTTATCTGCATTTTTAGCTCAACTGTAAACATTTTTTTTTATTTCTTGTGCAGTATTATCCAGCTTAAATCCTCAGAATTTAATGTTTTGTTGTTTGTTAAAGCATCACTACAAGATCAAAGACTACATGGAGAAACAGCCAGCTCTGAGCAGCCATATTCGAGCAATCGTAGTTGACTGGATGGTGGAAATTCAGGTGATATGAACAGTGTGTATATAAGGGATCAAGTCAGGAGTATTAGAGTCCATCTTTTATCAATGAAATGTTTGTGAAAAGCAATAGTTTGAGCATAAGTTATTTAGTTTTGTTTTAATACTGTGATGCTATATTAAAAACAAATATTTTACCGATTCATGGCCTCTGAATCCAAATTAAGAACAGATAGGTGGTTCTGGTGTCAGCTGTGGTTGTTAGTCCTAAATAAAAATTTGTATCCTTTAAATATTGAGAAATAATGGGAATGTTACTGGTTTTGCAACTTTGTAGCTAACTGAGACCTCTAGCGACAGAGTTAAAACAATAAGGATTTGAAAGTTGCATGTCACAGTTTTTCCCCCTAACTAGATACATATGTGCTAATTTTTTGTGGTCCTTATCCATAATTTATGTTGTGTGCATTTTGTGGTATCAGAAAAAAAATAGTTGTATCCTCACATCTCATGTTGTATTTTTTGCAATGTTTAGGAAAACTTTGAGCTGAACCACGAGACGCTGTACCTGGGAGTGAAGCTATTGGATACGTACCTTGCGCAGATTAAGGTGCAACGTATGAGTCTACAGCTGGTAGGCGCCACTGCCATGTTGCTTGCTGCCAAGTACGATGTGAGTGAGCATCAGACAAAGATTTTTCTTGTATCTCAGTCAATTAATCTCTGAATCTCTGAAGCTGAAATGTCGATGAATTTCAAGTCACAAATTCGGATCTAAATGCGTTCAAGTTACCAATTTTTTTTCACAGCTTCAAAAATAACAGTCAGAAACATTAAGTTTGACTTTTCATCTGCCAAAATTACAGGCAACATAGTGGGAAAGCAATGTAGTTTGTTAAGGTTATGCAATCTATTTAACTTGCTTGATTTATTTCCTTTAATCCTGAGAGGAACGTTGGGCCGTAACGAAAGCTCTCCACCGAACTTGATTTTGGGCCATCTACTTTGCTTCTCCCAACTCTTGGCCTCCTCCCGCAGCTCTCACTCCATCAATCTCCTCCAAGTCATCCTTGGTCTTTCCCTCTTCCTGCTTCCTTGTGGGTTCCACTCTAAGAGCTTCGCGGCTGATGTTATTGTCTAATTTCCTATCCATCCATATTTTCTCCTTTTAACATCAGCAATGGGGGATATTTGCACCCTCCTCCATATATCTCAGTTGGTGATCATATCAGGCGATTGTATATTCAACATTTTTCTAAGGCACCGGTTTATGAATACCTGAAGGCTGATCCTATAGTTTTTTTCACTTTTCAAGCTCGACAACCATAAAGAAGAACAGATGTTACGTTGGTTCTGAAGATCCTAAGTTTGGTACTTCTTCTTAATGCATTTGATCGCCAAATTGGAGCCAGCTGTATGAAAACTCCCTAGGTCCTCTCCCTGATCCTCTGTGCAACGTCCTCGTCCGTCCCACTTTACAAAGATACAATGCTTTCAAGATAGACAAAATCTTCTACTCGTTCAATGACCTTGCCATTTAGCTCTAGTAGCTGGTTAACTCTTTCATTTCCTCTAATTTCCTTTGATTTTCCTAGTTTAACTTTTAAACCAATCTTCTTTCCTTCACTATAAAGGTCTTTTAGTTTATCTTCCATAATGCACAGGTCATCGGCAAAATTGATGTCTTCTAGTCTATCTGTGAGTACCCACTGCAACCCTCTAGGCCTTATAATGTTTTCCTAATCCCCCCATCCAAGACCATCAGGATGATAATCCTGTCTAATTCTAGTTTTCCTCGTGTGTTACGACACTTGTAGTCTTCTTAAATCGGCTGGATGAGTTTGATCTTTAGAACAATAGCATATTTTAGAACTCTCCACATTGATTTTCTACAAGTGGTTTATACTTTTTTTTTCACAATTACATTAGAGAGCATTTTGTTCTAAACAACCTACATACACACGTGCCTATCCATTGCTATAGGAATAAGGGGCTGGAGTGTTTGCCAATGACAACAGCTGGACGTTTTGCGGACTGCTAGTAGTTGACAACAGCCCCTCGCTTTAAGCCGAAACATGATTTAGCAGCATGACTTAGTATTTATCTAGCTGTTCCTGCCAACATTATTGACCAAACCTTTTTGATTATTTTTATATTATTTAGTTAAATGAAGAGTTACTCCTCCATTCTATTACCTTGAATGGCTTTAAAATATTTCCAAGTTTTTTGTATAGCTTTGTGTGAATATCAATTTTTTACATTTTTGGCCCTAAAAACAATACTTAGGGTTAAAAAAAATATATTTGAGGACAATAAAAGTTTTAAACATGTTGACTACATGAAAATACCTTTTTTAGAATTCGGTCGTGACAAATAGTATCAACACAGCTAAATTAAGACATGTTTTGCCCTTTTGTTACGACGGGTGATGAAGCCTCTTAAGGGAGTATCCTGATATATCTTTCTCTTTTGTTTGGGTAGCTTCAATTCATTTTTATAGTGAAAAAAGTCAAAGCTACCACCAAGATAGCCACAAACACCAATCTGCTTTTGCACTTGAAATCAAACCACAAGGTGTTTACTTCAACAATCATATGTTTTACAGGAAAGGATACCTCCTTCAATTGAAGACTTCCTGTACATCTGTGATGGAGCTTACAAACATCATGACGTCACCCGGATGGAAACAAACATTTTAAAAGTTGTAAATTTTGAGTTAGGCTTCCCTCTATCCTACAGGTTCTTGAGAAGATATGCCAGGGTAAGTAGGGAATTTTAAAAAGTTTTAGCCTACTCCCAAGACTAGGTTGTAGAAGAGATGTATTGTACGAAGATAATATTGTTTGAATATAGGTGTGAGAAAGGATAGGATAAGCAGGCTTACCTTAAAAAATGTAGGCATCCCACTTCATTCACTACAGAACACAGAAGAAAACACAAACAAAACAAAATAAACTACAACAAAATCAAACTCACAACATTTCCTTTTCCAAATCTTACAAAATCTTTGTTCTTTTTCCTATCCATCTTTCCTATAAACATTTTCCTACACTTCTTCAATCATGAACCTCTCAATCAAACTCACAACATTTCCTTTTCCAAATCTTATAAAATCTTTGTTCTTTTTCCTATCCATCTTTCCTATAAACATTTTCCTACACTTCTTCAATCATGAACCTCTCAACAGTGTTTAGTTTATTTTGTTTTGTTTGTGTTTTCTTCTGTGTTCTGTAGTGAATGAAGTGGGATGCCTACATTTTTTAAGGTAAGCCTGCTTATCCTATCCTTTCTCACACCTATTCTCAGGCAATTAGCCCTTTCTCTCCAAACCTAACGATAATATTGTTTGAATATAAGTGACTTTGTAAAACTATAAGCGTTGTAAAACTTATTTTTTACAACGCTGTGAAATAACTACAGCTGTTAAATTTCAAGCCACTTTTTATTTAATAAAACAATAATATTTTATTTATATTCAATAAATGACCGCTGATACAGTAGTGATTTTAACAATCAACTGTGTTGTAAGCTAATTTAGTCATAGATTAAACAAACTTATAAACAACAAACGTTATAGATTTGTCACCCTTATGCCGCCACGTTTATACCAGAATTTACAACAAAATATTTTTTGTCATAATGCATAAAAAACAACTGTTTTTAATACATGCGTTGCGGGTCTAAAGTAGCATTTTTAGTCTCTAGGGAGTAAAAATCATTTTTAGTCTCTGGGGAGTAAAAATCATTTTTAGTCTCTAGGGAGTAAAAATCATTTTTAGTCTTTGGTGAGTAAAAGTCATTTTTAGTCTTTGGTGAGTTTAGTCTCTAGGGAGTAAAAATTAGCTGTTGTAAACAGTTGTAAATTTTGATTGTGGTAATTGTATCGATCAAAATTATTTGGCGATTAATTTACTAGGTAAGGTTTTAGTATATTGTCGTCGATTACTCGACATATCGATGGTATAATGTACTGTAACACAATCGTAATAGACAAAATGATTGAATCACTTACTAAACAGCTGCTTATTTGGATTAGCAGAATTAAAAACAAGCTGGAAGTCGTTTTGAGAGGTTATCTTTACATAAAAATTATTTCTTAGCTTTCTTTGTTAATTAATAAATGATGCAATATGATGAAAAATATAGTTCACCTCACTGGCAAAACGTGGCATTTTAACCCTCGCTCATTTATGCTCAGGTAAAACTTGACCTTGGGTCAAAAAGAGTCCCTTTAGGCCCTAGTGATTATATATACTACTAGCTGTGTGCCCGTTCTACGCACGGGGATCTTATAGTAGTCAGTTGAAACCTTCTTATATTAAGATTAAGAACAGCAGTTAGTTTGCACATTTGCAGATATGCTAGCAAAACTATTATAAACCTTCGCAAATACAGTATCTGACAGTTCAAGCCAAAATAAATGCTTCGCAATTAAATGTCACCCGGATCGTTATGGTCCATATGTCCAATGATTAAACTAAAAAATAATTTATAGATCCATGAAGCGTAGCCCTAAAGTAGGCCTATAATTGAAAGTTACTTTCCACATCGGTTAACTTAAACGTATTTAAAGTAGGCCTACTACCTCAACCTCACCATTTAACACTTTATTCCGGTTGACATTTTCAGTATCAAAGGTGCTCTTGTCCATTCCGTGAAACACTGAGAAATAAGGACATTTATGCGTTACCAACATACAACAAAACAACACAATACAACAATCCAACAAAGGCCACGAACTATTGATACATAAACAATATAAAGGCGTAAACAATTCATGATGGTTTGCCCAACAAATGTTTTACTCAAATAGGTTATCATTTTCTTAGCATACCGGGTAAGCTAAGATTTGGAATCCAGACAGAAAAAGCAAAACTTGTACAGAGTTAAGACATCACTTAAATTGAATACGGACGGCTCTAATAAATAAGGTGCAACACCAACGATAACTAATTTGTAAACTACAGTGGTGTGTTGGTACCTACGTAAAAATGATTCTAGCAGCTACCAACGGTTCTAATGAAAAGAACCAGTACCTACGTAAGAACCTACCTAAGAACTATAGTACTATAGTACATCCGACCAATTATATAGTCAATGGTAGGAACAGAAAGTGACACATTGGAAAATCGAGTTCAGCATCATCCGTAAACCTCTGTTACAATCACCCACTGCAGTTGTGATTTTTTACTTTACACTTTACACAACCGCCATTGAAGCGCCGTCAATGAGTGGAAACCTTTTTTGTAAGCTATTGGCGACGGAATCATTTCAGTGTCCCAGCCCTATACAACACTGATTCAAGGTCTTCTTTCTGGTTGTCAAAACTCAAGAAACATTTTATACTCAAAGAATTTCTGGTTCCGATTTGGACGATGTCTAGTTATTTAATTTCGTTTACGGTTACACTATTATACTATATTATTGCACTTACGATTAATTAAATCCGTTATGTAAGAAAAACGTTTTTAATCTCACTTGGTTGGGATTTGCTTTCAAAACGTGATTCGAAATGGTTGCGGTATTTGTAAACAACATTTGTAAACAACATTTGTAAACATATCATTGACAGCTAGAAAAAATAATCTTGATCCGAACAGCTGTTCGTTATTTCATAGATGATTATGTGATAAAAATTGAACGAAAATTTGACAAAAATCGCACAAAACTGCATTTTTGAACGTCCGTAATTTTATTTACAAAGTAGTGAGGCTATATTTAAATCACTAAAGACACTCTCGCCAATCCAGTGAATACATTAAAATGACTTGGATCTTGATAGGTACTCTGGTTTTCACGGAGAAGATTGCGTAAAATGCCATCTTGAGTGTTACAGACAAAGGGAAAGACAGACAGACAGACAGACAGAAATAGAGATAAGACTCGTTTCTGCTTCTTTAATGTATAAAACGTAAAAATAACCTAAAAGTATATAATTCTGAGCAAAGTACAGACAAAACTCTAATTTTATTTATATAGATAAAACATTAGTTGACAACATCTATATTGTGAAGTCTTAAACTATTTTTTGCGAACTGGTGTGGCTTTAAAAAGTGCTGTAAACAAATATTTGCAATTTCTGGTCGAAAACAACGTTAAGTCTTGTTTTTTGCCCAGGTTTACATCATTTGTGTACTAAGATTTACCATTTATTTCTTATTTTACTGACTTTAAAACTAATTTTAGTTCAAACCAATAACAACTGGTTGTTCTTTGGTACCCTTCAATAAGACAAAAACATTTAGTCTATATTAGCGCATTAAAGTGTTACCAACTATAAATCTAAATGCAGTATCCAAAATTCAACTGTCATGTTTTCTCCGCTAGTGCGCCAAGGTACCCATGCCAACACTGACCTTGGCAAGATTCATCCTCGAGTTCACCCTCATGGACTACTCCACGGTCACACTCTCCGACTCAAAGATAGGCGCTGCTGCTTTGTACATTGCATTCAAGATGGAGAAGAAGTTGGATTGGGACGACACACTTATCTACTTTTCAGGTACCTCCTAGCATAGCTTTATAAAAACTTATTGTAGTTGTTAAATGTTTTGCATCATGATTACATTAGGGTTGTACATTGGACTTTGTAAATTCTTATTTTGGCCTACTTTGTACTGGTCATTGAAAAAGTAGAACCCTGATAGGAAGATAAGGTCAGTCATGCAGAAATACATTTAACCCTCCCTCTTTTCTAAATGTGCAAAGTCCCCTTGGGAATGAAATACGGAATGGGCACACGGGAGGGACTAAGGCTAAAGGTGTAGTGACGTCATATCTCTAGTGGCTAATGTCTACTCTTGAGGCAACACGATTACCGTAACAAAACTATGTGTTTTCAGCGGCGTTCGTGGCATAGTTGGTAGCGTTTCGATTTGATGATCAGGAGGTCCCGGGTTCGAATCCCGCTGGTAGCACTAACTTTTAGTCAACAAATTTTTCATATCAGCAAGTTTGGTTGGTTAGGTTAGGTTATGACAGTTTAATTTTATAATACTACATTTTAAAATTAATTTTATAATTATTTACAAATAATAAGTAATCATTAATTAGATTTTTATCTCGTACAGTTATTATATTATCAGCAAGTCTGGTTAGTTAGGTTATGTTATGACAGTTTTATTTTAAAAACAAAAAATTTATTTTATAATCTTAAAATAATATTTTATAACTAAAAATTAAATTTTTTCAACTTAGCGGTCCTAGCGGCGAACGCTGACACTACAAGATATGTTAAGGCGGGGACACACTTGTCATACACCCTTCCGATCCGACTCCGATCATACTGCGGTACGACTGTCGGAGAGGGGAATGGTACATAACATTGAACGCGGTTGTTTACACCTCTCCGACACGCGTCACGTCATACTCCGATCCTACTCCGATTTTGACTCCGATCACGCACCGACACTGCAGTCTATTCGTTTGTCGGATGCAGGACGGGTAGTTTCTTAAAAATAACCTTTATTCTTAAGGTTTAGGAACAATGGTTTAAGATAAATATATGCCGATGCTTGATTTGAAATCTGTGCGTGCATACCTTCAATTCGAGACCTCAATCATGAAAATCGGACGGGTAGAAGAGCTAAACTAACTCGAGAGAGAAAAACCATTCCAATAATATATATAATGGGCACTTCTGCTTTCCTTCCATGCAGAATGGACCCAAATTCTCCGTTTTCCACTGCCCTCCAGAGATGTCTGACTTTCTTCCTCTTCATCTAGACATACCGCCACCATGGCTAAATCCTGAATGCCAAAGTTTTTGAACATACAGTATTTATCACCTTCTGCACGTAGTTTACGTTTACGAATAGACTGGCGAGTGTCGATCTACCCGGTGGAGGAAATCAGAGATGGGTCGCCGGTTCGGAAGCGTGTATGACATGTGTGTTCACCCCCTCCGATCCCGCACCGATCCTTCTGGAATCCTGCAAATCGGATCGTAGTAGGATCGGAATAGTGTATGACAAGTGTGTCCCCGCCTTTAGCCTTAGTCCCTCCCGTGTGCCCCACCGATGAAATACTGTGTGTTCTATGGCCTAACTGGATTCTTTTCTTTTCTTTTAAGATCAGTAAGATACTGTCCCTTTATTTTACAGATCTATTCAATTCGTTATTGTCATCTGAACTTATTTCTTTCATTCCTACTTTATACTGGGAACCTATTCACTAATTAGTAAAACCGTGGAATGGGCTGCTTAAAATTAATCTGGTTGCAATAGCAACTAGCAGGTTTAAGTTTTAAGAAAGCGTTTTTTTAATTTCAGGGTACAGAGTAAAAGACTTTAGAGAAGAAGCTCACATTCTGAACAACATCATGCATCAGAAGCCGAGCAAGAGTTTGTCTACAGTGCGGAACAAGTATTCTCACAAGTGAGTTTCTGACAGTTGAACCTTTGATTTATTTGTGAAAGCCTTAAGCAGCCATGCAGAAATATTGGTACGAACATTTTTACACAAACAGATTAAATGTATGTAAATAACTGCGTATAGCAATCTCTTAGATTGCACTGAACAACTATATTATTGTGAAGTCGGTGCCTTCTTTATTGTGTTTATGCACATGGATCTGTTGTAGTCATCTTCACCTGAAGAACTAATTTAAAAAACAAAAAGTACATTGATGTATCCACTCCCATACATATATTACACAGAAAAACAATACACAGACATTCAAAACTAGCTCATTTTGCAGTCTAGGCTTAGCTTCTTCTGATCTCTTGTCTTATGAAATCAACGGATTTTCATTGTTCTGTAGGTTAGACTTTCATTGATGGGTGACTTTATGACTTCCTTTGTGAAATTACTACTGCTAAAACTTAGGGATATTTATCAAATTTTGTTCAAAATTGCAGCTAATATGGTTGATTACTTTTGGGAACGACCCAGCCACTAAACTTAAGTTTTACGATCTGTTCTTGGTAGGGATGTGTCGATTCTCGATACAACAGATACTTTGGTATCCGTATCAAGAATCGATCAACAAAAGTCGATTCTGATACTGAAAACAGACTCGTCTGCGAAGATTGCGCAATCAGAAATTACCGCTACTGCTGCAAGAAGACGAAGTTTCCTTAGCCGCGGAAGTCTATGATTATGTCGACACAACCGCGTGAGATAATTAGAATTTTGCCACGATTGTGCATGCTAACGATGAAGTTTTCTTAACCACAGGAGTAGATAATGATATCTACACAGCCGCGGGAGTTAATACGACTTTTGCCGCAATCGAATGACAATGTCGTTTCCATGATCGTGGGAGTTGATGATGGTGGCAACTTGGCTGTAAGAGATAATAAGAATTTCACCGTGACCGTGGAAGATGATGATAATGTCCAAACGACCGCAGGAGGCAATCAACATTTTCCCGCGATAACGGGAGATAATGATAATGTCTACGACATCTATTGCAATATTGATCAAAGCCAGACCTACCCTTATTGGTTGGGGGTAATCAGACTGAATTTATGGCTGCTATTACACCATAAAATTTGTTATTTAACCAATATGTGTTATACAACCATGAGTAAAAGAAATACCCTAGGGCCTACAGTGGTACATTAACTACTTATCCTGTTCCAGAATTTTCTACGAGGTAGCTAAAATCCCTTTGGTAAGTAATGAAGAGTTATGAAGAGGAGAGCAGAGAGGCTCGAATGTAAATATTCAAGAGGCTGGCACCAGACCAGCAGACGAAAGACTGATGTCTGGATGTAAGAACTGTGAGCCACGGGGTAGTCACCCCTCGTATACTGCATTGTAATAGTAGTCGGGGTGTTGTTGAACAAGCGGCATTTCCAAATTTTTGACAACAATATTCTTATAGCTTTCTATTTTTAATTGTTGGAAATTTAGATAAAATTCAATTTCAATTAATATTATTCTTGTATACACTTTGTTATTTAATAATTTAAAATTTATATTGTATTATTTAACTTTAAAATATTGTACTTTTACTTGTAAGTATACTCTTTAAACAATTTCAAACTTGTGTGATTTATTTCTTAGCTTACACTGTATTGTATTTCAGTTTTGATGTTTATTCATCTTCAAAGACAATAGGCCTATGTTTTGATTTACACTAAGTGTCTTTGTATAGTAATTATAGTAATTTGATGTGTTGGTAGTGATTTTATGTATGAACTTGTACTTGATATGCCAATCAGGCGTGAGGGAAGAAAAAGATGGCCAAATTTGATGCTTCTAGCAATAGACAACATGATTCGTTAATTAAACCGTATTATATTTCAATTAAATTGATGTACAAAGTATATAGAATAAATATTTTTAAATTGTTAGAAGAAATTTTTGTACCTGTACAGCAAAATTATAATGTATGTTATCAGTGCTCAACAAATACTTTACCGTCATTCATCATTCACAACGTAATTTTTACTGTTTGCCAATAGATAATCATAAGTAAACCAAAGTGAGAATTTACTTTGGCACATCTTAATTTCCAAAGATTTATCAACTACTAAGTCTACTATGCTTATAATTTTGAAGTTATTGTTAGAATAAAATCAGTATTCAACTAACCACCTGTAGTGCATTTTAATAACCATTGCATCTAATCTAAAAGTGAGGTGTCAAAAGCCAAATCTCAAATTCCCTAAATCTCAAGAAATTGAGATTTGGTCGTCTGGATCCACCAAAGTGTATATATTTTGTTGAACCCTGCCTCTGACAGCGCTACCACAACCTGTGAATTTTATGCAGTAAATTTGATGGAACCCTATAACTCAAGCCCTAACCATTTTTACATTTCAAGGATGTAACATGGAGCACAAGAGCCTAGGTTTTTTTGAGATTTTTATGAGTATTGAAGGGTTACCTGAATGGGAAAGAAACCAAACTGGCACAAGAGACAAAGAATATTAGTTTGTGTGTGTATATATACACACTTTGATTTTTTTTCCGAGGATACCAGGCTTACGTCAATAGGAAATAATAAATAATAAAATTATATAAGCAATCCAGAGGCTGAAATGATAGATAGGAAATAATACTCTGACTCTAATGTTTTGTGTATACAGGGTGTTCATTTGAAAACTTTCCATATCTGTTGTGTGCAAAGGTAAGGCTTTTAACACTTGTTTGTTCTCATTTCCCCCTAATTTGGACATGCTAAATCCAATAAAATTATTTTCAATTTTGAAAAATGCCCCAAAAGGGCCCAATTTGGGGGGTAGGGGTGCTTTTTGAGAAATTTTCAAATGTAAACATGGGTTGTGTGATACGTCAATTTAAAGGTCTAATCACCCCGATCATTTTGATGCAAAAAAAGTTTAATTATCTTTAACCGTATTTACAGGGTGGGTCAAAACGTTTTAAAAAAGGACTTTGAAGTTAAGTACCGTATTTCCCTAACTACTGAACGGAACAGCGCCAAATTTCTTTCCAAGCTTATTCTTGAGCTACTCTTTAAGATAACTTGTAGTAAGGGCATTTTCCAAGTTATTTTCTAATTTTTAAAAAATCTCAAATTTTAAGAATAAAAGAAAGCTGAAAACTCAAAATTCTTAAATAGCAAGGTATAACAAATTTCATACCACGTGAAAGGTCCTTTTTTAACAAACATTTTACGTATTTATGTTTACTTTTTATCTCTTACCGTTTAAAAATTGCAGTAGAAAAACATAATTTTCTATGGTAAAATTGTAACAAGTTTTCTAATAAAACAGCCAAAATTCGTCTGTAGACACATTTAATGGTGCAATAACTGAAGGAAACAATTCATAATTATTTTTAGGCAGATAGACAAACAAGTAATTACGTTTTACTTTGTGAAAAACAAGTTTTATAGCTGTTGAGAAAAACCCAAGCGTGGGCCGCTTTCTGTAGTACCATTGACTAGTCAATGGTAGTACTAATTTCAAAAGTACCATTTCCTGTAGTACCTAATCAAATATGGTGTAAACTTAAAAAAATAGACTTTATTTTACTTATTGGTCATAATAAAGTGTTCTAGGATAACTGCAAAGTGTTTAACAATAGATATCCAGGTATAACCTCGAGTCATATGGCTGTAAATGATTTAGTTAGGAAGTTTTCTGAAACTGGCTCAGTTACCAATGAGAAAAGAACAGGATGAAGGGTCCAAGATGAATTCTGACACACGTAAAAGTAGTCGATCAATTTGTTATGAATCCTACTACATCGTTGAACAAAGTGCAATGTGTTTTATTAGAAAACTAGTTATAATTTTACAATGGAAAATTATGTTTTTCCACTACAATTTTTAAACGGTAAGAGATAGAAAGAAAACTTAAATACGTAAAATGTTTGTTAAAAAAGGACCTTTCTTGTGGTATGAAATTTGTTATACCTTGCTATTTAAGAATTTTGAGTTTTCAGCTTTCTTTTATTCTTAAAATTTGAGATTTTTTAAAAATTAGAAAATAACTTGGAAAATGCCCTTACTACAAGTTATCTTAAAGAGTAGCTCAAGAATAAGCTTGGAAAGAAATTTGGTGCTGTTCCGTTCAGTAGTTAGGGTAATACGGTACTTAACTTCAAAGTCCTTTTTTAAAACGTTTTGACCCACCCTGTAAATACGATTAAAGATAATTAAACTTTTTTTGCACCAAAATGATCGGGATGATTAGACCTTTAAATTGATTTATCACACAACCCATGTTTACATTTGAAAATTTCTCAAAAAGCACCCCTACCCCCCAAATTGGGCCCTTTTGGGGCATTTTTCAAAATTGAAAATAATTTTATTGGATTTGGCATGTCCAAATTAGGGGGAAATGAGAACAAACAAGTGTTAAAAGCCTTACCTTTGCATACAACAGATATGGAAAGTTTTCAAATGAACACCCTGTATAGAATAAAGTTTTGTATCCCTTGTGCCAGTTTGGGCTCATTCCAATTCAGGCAAGCCTGCTATCTTCTCACAAAAAATCTTAAAAACCTGATAACTTGTTATTACAGAGAGTTTTCTTTAGGCCTAACAGTGTGTAGTTCAATATGTTCAAACAAGTGTTGTCTATACATACATACGATGTAAGAGGTCTCTCTCTATCATAAAGCCCTCTGTAAATTAATTCTTCTTCCTACTACAGTTCTTTATTTTGGTGACACAATTTACATTGGTTTTGATTTTCCTATGTTAAGTGTTTCATTTTTATCTCTCAAGGACAAAGTGCCTTCACCCTTTTAACATAGTTCAGTCAGTCACCTCCTGAAGCTTCATGCCTTTTTTATGCTATCCAATATTTAATCCATGAAAGGAAGCTCATAGTCGGGTTGGGTAGCAGGAAAATATTTCAGTTCTGGCGGGGAGGACCTGCAATTTTAGGTGGTTATAGTATACAAGTTTCTGAACCTAAAACCGCCCAGACCCCATTTTATAAGGACCTTGGTCGTCTGTAATGACGTCATCAAGATGGCGACTGTAAGAGGATGCTGGGTCGCCATGAATTGGCTATAATGACCGATTTTTATGAAATTTGGTACACAAGTGCTTCAATACATTATCTCAGCATAGGTTGTCAATGGTCGAGTTTGATCAAGTTGTTTCAAAATGGCGATCGTTAAAAGCTAAAATTTAAAAAAATCTTTCAGTGTTTTGTGTTTTCAACTCTCTCCAGAGATCTGCAGCAACCTATTCAATTTCCTTGAAATCAAAGGTTGCACTACCGTCTCTGCATTTCATGGAAGAGGCAAATACCCCCACAACAGCAAACCTGCAGATAAAGTGAGTTTCCATTTCCCTGATTTGATTTTCAATTAAATCAATTTCAATAACATTAGGTTTCATGAGTACCTAGGTTGGCTGCTACAAGGAGAACAATAAAGTGAGTTTTTATTAATATCTTAGTTTAAAATAAATAAATTTGCCATGTTTCATTAAAATATACTGCAATCGTAAACAAGCAAACTATAACAGTTTATGTACTCTCCGTAATAATAACATAGGAGTTTTAAATTTACAATGTTTTGAATTTTCTCCGTAACCAATACCCTTATAAAAACACTTCAATTCACTAAATTATTTTTTTTATTAAGATCTTCAAAATAGTTTAGAGAAAAATGAGGGAATTTAATGTTTTGAGGGTCAAACATAAGAAAACACAATTTTTACCCCTTAAATCACCCCAAAAACCCCGTTGCCATGGTCCGACCACGCTGGTTCGCGAACTTGTTCGAAGAAACGTAGGTTTACACGTTTTTGTCGTTTTTACCAAATTTCATTAAGATCGGATAATTTTTGCTAACGGACACACACATATACAGTGTGTTCAAAAAAGGTATGGACAAAATTTACAAATTGATCCACTGGAGCAAAATAAGAAGAAATAAAAAAAATTTTACAAAATCGCTTCGTTAACAGATATATATGATATATCTACCATTTTATATGTTTTTCATTAACATTTTATCCTTTATAACTTATATTGGAGATATTGGCAATTAATAATGAAATGTATAATTAAATTTACAAATTCAACAAGGCCAATATAAATAAAATAAAATAATTATATATTGGCATAGATAAAACATACTCCCCCAAGTAGATTTCTCATCCTTATGCAACAGCTGAAGACAATTTTATTGTTAGTTCTGTACGGTTTTCTGTAGAGGTTGTGTTTTGTTTACAATTTGTTTCCCGTTATTACAGCCATTTAAAACCTCGTTTAACAAAATAATACGATCTAATCATAAACAATAACTTGTCCCCTAGTTATATAACCAAACAGTAAAGCACAAATCAAGAAATTAACCCTAAAATAATAGAAACAAAGTTTCGTCGACACTAACGCCCATGTGTCACGTACATGAACTAGACACGAAAAACATGCTTCAAAATTTACAATGGGATGAGAAGTCTACTTGTGTTGGTTAGTCTATGATATTGGCCTTGTTGAACTTGTAAATTTAATTATACATTTCATTATTTTATCCTTTGATAATTTTGACTGAACTTTTATGAAAGTTGGCATGTATGTAAAGGTAGAAGATACCAATTATTTTTTTTATGCGAACCAGCATGATCGGACTATAGGAACGGGGGTTTTATGGGGTGAAAATTTGTTTTTCCCATTTTGGACCCAAAACACACAAGATTTATCAATTTCTTTCCAAACCATATTGTGGAATCCAAACCACATTCTTGACTTGGTATTAAAGGATTGGTCTAATTATCAGGATAGTACTGCGGATAGTCGTAGTACTCACTAGTGCGGATGTTATCCACACTAGGGAGTATCGCATCCACAGTGCATCTCTATAAATATCCAAAATTCGTGACCTAGTAGCTGGATTACAGGACAATGCCACTGTCCCAGTGAACAATGAAAAAACGCCTGGAGATACCATTGATTAGTGCCCACATACTAAATTTCATCAAAATCGGAAACTACAGGTGTGGTCTGTAGCTCTGTACACAGACACACACTCACACACAGACATCACTTCAAAAACCACTTTTTGGGTTCAAGGGGATCCAAAATAGATATATCCACTCAATCAAAATGTTTGACAAAAACAATACTATCTCCATATAACTTACAATGGTATAGGAGGAGAAAGTAAAACTACCTCTACAGTGCACCGGACAGAACTAACAATAAAATTGGCTTAGGCTGTTCCATAAGGATCTACTAAGGCGGCATGTTTTATCTATGATATTATTTTACTTTTTATACGTTATCCCATGTGTAGGGCAGGCAAAATGGCTTATAAGACATAATTTTATTTACTTTCCGTAAACTTAATAACACATACTATGCTGATAAAGAAGCCATTTAACCTTACGATATTACAGAAATAGCAAGATGGATGGTCGTATACTCACGGATGTTGTTGCGATTGCGAGATACTGTATTGTATAGCATATACCTACTGTTCTGATGACAGTTTCAAACATTAACTACCCTACGTACAAGTTTATACATTAAAAGTTTCTATATAATGCTGGATAAATTTTACAGCATATTGTGGATTTTTAAGATTTTAACTTGGATTTTAGAAATGAAATTCCTGGATTTACCCGTTCCATCTATAAAAGACGCAAGTGGGGTTGAGAAGATGGAGACGTATAACACAATTAGTTACTTGATTTAAAATTCTCCTTTTCCTAGTTATTATAAAGGACAGATTAATTATTAATTTCACGACTTTAATTAAAATAAAAACAAATTCGTGAACTTTCTAATCGGTTTTTACACAGTTAAAAATGAAAGAAAAAATATACTGTACAAAATTTAATCTACACTTTTTTAACATTTTATATTAATTCCTACTTTAGTTTTAGTTTAGTTTCCAAATAATGAAGATGATTTATTTTAGAACCTCATTTTTTGTTCACTTGCTCAGGATACACTTCACCTACGATTTCTTCATTTGACGATCCGTTCAAAGAGTGAAACATTTTCATCAGACTTGGATTTTGTTGGAACAAATTTACCAGGGATTGCATCTCGTTGTTTTTGAATACTTTTGATAAAGATCTAACATTAGTGAAATCCTTCGGTTTATCTGATTTGTCTTCTCCTACTAATGTCAATAGTCTATTTTTGCCTCTATCTTCTGATATTTTATTCCTGAAATTCTCATGGTTCATTATTTCACTTTCCTCTTTTTTAGTCTTGCTTTGTTCATGGATACACTTTAAAATGTAATCCAATATTGTTTTACATATTAATTCTACTTCTCCATCGGTTTTTACCTGCAAAGATTGAGATAATTCTGGATTAGTAGTTCTCTAACAACAATAGAATAATCAACCCACATACTATTAACAATAAACATATACCTTTTCTAGATAAAAAAAACTATAATTAATTGGGTTTGGCATTTAAAAAGTTGGCATCCTTTTGAAGGAAATGTGGTTTGTGTGTGTTTTTTTTGGGAGGGGGATTAAAAACTTCACAAGCTTTTGATAGCCCATTTATTTAACTAATTTTGATTAAATGAATTTTTTGTTTAAGATTTTAATTAAAAATTGGTTATTTCATTTCATGTCTTAGGGGTTAAAATTGTAAAAAACCATAAAAAATTCAAAGCCCAAAAACACCCTGTTCCCATACCTACTCTTGCTGGTTCGCAAACTCAATTAAGTGCATATCGACCTATGCTTACGTTAACAATTTTCTTCCGATTCCTAGGGCTGTGCCCCCTGAGGAGTAAGCGTATAATAGCAATGCAAATTAAATGAATCTTTGAACAACTGTTATTCTTGGCTCGGTTGTCCGTTTGAGTTCAAATTTGCGGCATTATATTCTGCTAGTAAAGACCTTTAATTTGATGTACATATCAACCTATGCTTCTATTTAAGATTTCCTTCTGACTCTTTGCGGGACGTCCACATGATATGACAGAAAACTGATATTTCCTAAAAAAGTATATTTTTAGGTGTGGTGTTGATGTACCAAATCTTATTGATTTATCTGTTAAGGCAGGCAAGGTTATTATTCTGAAAAGCTACTTTCTTACCGCTGCCAGTGACAGTTTATTAAAAGATTATATATTTAAATTATTTTTAACTTACCTGTGTTTCTAAACATTTCAGCTCTCGTTCTAAACTCAACAGGAATTCTGCCTGTCCAGGTTTTTCATGAAGAGTGTAGTTTATAAATTTTTGGAAATGTCTGAGGATATCTTTCAATTGCTGCTCTCGTCGTTGGCCTTGAGTTTCCAACTTCCTTATGACATCTTCCAGTTCCAAGATCGTAAAATCTCTAGTCACAATTTCAGAGTCAAAATTAGATACGAACCAAGTTCCAAAATCTTGCTCGAGATGTTTCTTTTCTTCATGATGTATTTGACTTTTCTCACAGGCTTGAACAACCAAGTCAGTGATATGCTCTGCTTGGATGTGAGCAAAATTTCTCTCAACTTCAAACTCACACTGGTTTCTTATCTCTTCTAACTCCACTGAACATTTTTGATTTTGTTTCCTGCAAAATAGATTGCCTTGTGTTATCGTACACAATTGAAAGAATTGGTATATTAATTTCATTGCATGAAAATGTGTGAAAAGGTTAGGATAATTAAGATATAGAAAGAGAACCTTTTTATTCTTATAAAAAATAACGCTCTTTTATATACCTAATAAAGTTCAAAATTTTAAATAATCCAAATTTAGGTAAATAGATAGCTAATAGATACAAAGAGTGAGTAGTTGGGACAATAAGTCGTTGCATCATCACAATCAGTGGCTATGAGATGTTAAAAAAACATTAGCCTTAACGAAACTCTTAGAAATTTTTAAGTGCACTATCGCCAATGCTCTTTCCTCAAATGTTCTGCTCGGTTTTTAAAGATTATTTAAGATTATCATTGCGATTAGTTTCGTAAACTTTTACAACAGCTGATTATTGTATTGTTATTTCCTTGATTTTTTGTGTCTATATTTTTGTTGTTTACAATTTGAATTTGGAAAGCATTATGCACTATTTTCTAGAGACCGTTGTATTCAACCACAATGGACTCCGTTGCTAGTTGAGAAATATAATATATTAATAATATAACTGAGGTCTGTTTTTCTGTATGTGTATATTATTGTGTACTGATGAATTTTTCTGGATTCACCCGAAAATCCAAAAGTTGATTTATCAGTCATAATGGTACTTTCATGAAATCAAGACGATTGCCTTGCACGTGAACTGTCGTTCTCGTACCGTTATCACATACTTGCCAGATGTAATATACTATTTAAATTTCATTCTACCTACTTGAGTAAGTTCTCATATTTTTCAAACATCTGATTCCGCAGCCATGCAACCTGCAGCTCGTATTGTCTGCCGAGATCTTGTGTGTGACTTTCCACAGCATTGCACAACTCTTGCTCCAGCTCGAGTCGTGTGTCGTTCACTGCCTGTTCCATCCTATGCAATGAGTCTTTCAAGATCTCATCTACCGTTGAGTTCAGGATGGCCTGGGCAAAGTTGTTAATCATCACATTTTTAGAAGTAGTAACTGTTGTTATGCTTGACCGGGATAATACAGACATGACATATAACAGCAGATTATACAAAATTCATAGAACCTGGTCAAGAATGGACTACTCAGTTTTAGTGCATAGTACCGTGTTTAGTTGATCATGGCTGTCTGTGGATGCAATGTTGCAAGCTGGGAGGAGGTTAGATATAGTTAAAGGCATTGCTATGATTACTGTCACCCAAAAAAAGAAAATATATGCACTAATTTGACACATTACTACACACCAAAACTGTTAGTATTTTGAAATTTAGAATACAATACCATTATCCATTACATTACAAATTTACGCTACTCCCTTTTTTTTACATATAAAATGCACTATGGAATAGTGGTGCCTTTCTTTGTATGACATTTTTTTTTACAGTTAATGTCGCAACCAAACAAATTAACAGTTGATCCACAAAATGGAAAGTATTAGATTTTGGTAAAGTAATGCCTAAAAAATGATTTTTCTGCTAAAACCCATGTCCAATAATTATGTTAACAATCCAATAACAATCTGATAACAAATTGATCCCATCCTAGTGTAGTGAAAATAATTAACTCACCTGATACGCTGTTGTTAGATGTGCTTGTGCAGATTGCAATATATAATTATTCATCCTTGCTTGGGTGAGTCTCTCATTTTGTAGAGCTTGTTGTATCATCTGATCAGCGAGTTGTCTCATTTCGTGCTCCTTCTTCTTTAGAGCAGCTTCCATATCTTTTTTATGAGCTCTATAAAATTAAAGAATAGCTTCATACAAAAACAATCACGAGTTGATCATTGGACTGTGAAGAGGAAAAACCACTACCTCTCATTGTACTCCTTTGGTGGCTAAATGTAATTATATCTAAATTTTAATTTCAAACTGACTACAACTTCATTAAGCGAATAAAAAGTCTAGTTGTATCCAGTGCCAAAGGTGTATTCATAATCATACCAATTAAAATGGGGATACAGCTAGGCTACTAGCTACTACCTTTGACTATCAAAAGTCAATGCTACTACCTATCAACCCAACTCTGTATCTTTGTTACTGTGATCAACTATTTCTTCAGCCAGAGCAATGTATTAAGAGGGTTCCACCCACCGGCTGTTTAGTGTTAACCACGTAAACATGGTCCTACAAAAAAGAACCTCCTGGCATTATTTAAGTGTTTATCGAGTTTAAATAAAATAAACTGTAAACTATTCACAAAGATCCACACTATGCACTGGCTGAACTGAATCTTCGTAATTGTTTCTTTAAGTATTTACAAAATTATTTTTTAAATTTGTAAATTATTCTTTTTCACATGCGATTTTAACTTCTAAATAATAATAAACATTATTTTTGCCCCACCTTGCAGTGGGTGCTGTGATATGTTAAGATCACAACAAGCACACAATAATTGGAAACAAATTAGTTTTAGAATGTTGAGAGCTCGTACTGTAGAGGCATGTTCAGGAACATTAGCATGATTAGCCACCATCTTGAATTGACCGGGTAGAATCCTCTTAAAAGCCCAATATGCACCAAGGCTGATTTTCCTTTTAAAACAACTAATTCTCAGATTTTCTACCTGATGACCTTCTTCTCGATCTGACTGCCGATCTCCAGGATGCCTTGGTGAGTAAGCGCCTGTTTGATCCTGCATGAGAACGGAGGTTTCACCACCACTTGGCCGAGCAGGATGTCACTCGGAGACACCCAGAAGTCTTCCCCAGGTCCATGCAGCTTGGGCGTGTACCCTACGTGGTCCTGTTGTACAGGGGTCAAGTTGGAAAAGAAAACTTCAGATAAAGGTCCACCAAGATTCTTCTGTATAGCACTCTTCATCGGGTATTGTTTTGCCTTCATGAGCTTTTCTTTTTGTTCCCTATTTCCTCCTGGAACTTAATAGTATATTAAGCTACTAAGACAAGAAGTAAACTAACTGTTTTCGGTGTGATAGATTGTGCGTAGTTCGTCCCCACTGCAACTTCCCTAGTTGGTACCAAAACAACTACAAAAGATTGTAAATAGTGTTAGAAATGGTATTCAGTATTCAGTAAATGAAACTACTGCTATATGTGATACAACATAGTGGTGAAACGTTCATCTGGCTCCATACAGTGATAGGTATAGTTTTTGTTGTAATTTTGTTTTAAACATATTTGTTATAGGCCTAGTCGTTACAGTTTTGATTGGACACTCCAATCATCATCAGACCCAATAGGCAAATGACAACTTGTCATTTGCCTTACCATCTTTCGATCGATCACCATTTCCATCTTTTATAGCCTATATATTTACCGTCTTTTTCATAACAGTATAAGTGTAAATATATGTTTCAAGTGTTATTATACGTATTTCTATCTACTCTCCATAACATTAATAACACATATTATGCTGGTTAAGAAGTTATTTATGTAGTCATTCATTAGTCAATGGCATAATCAACCACATGCATTGTGATATAAACCGATTTTTAACTTTGCATTTATGGTTCCGGTGATTATGTTTGTTTTTTACTGTTCAATGAAATGGCGACCATACATAGTAGGTATTTTAAGCCAAGAAGTATGAATGGAGATGAGTGTAGGATGAGTGGCGCGATCTTGTAGTCTTTGTTAGTGACTAAGGCCGACATTCCTTAGACTGTGTCTGTTAATTAATGTTTATTAAGACTAGCAGTGTGACTTTTCTACAGGTGGGGAAATTGTAAAAAGAATCATTATATTCAGAACAGCAGTTTTTCTTTTACAAGTTTGCATTTTTCGAGATGTGCAGGCAAAACTATTAGGCTCGTCACACACACACTGCCTCCGGTCCGGTTTATTCTGATCCAGTGTTTTTGCGAGGACAGCGGATACTGTCAGTTGAAGAAGTGTTTAATCAACAACTAGTTAGATATAACAAAATTTAATTTTAACAATGAGTATGACAGTGACGGTGACGAAGATATCCATAGTAGGGTTAGTAGTAGGCCTATTAAATTGATCACTTATTTCTTCCCAAATATTTTCCTTAATAACCAAGTTGTAGTAGCCCTTGGAGCCCAGGTCGTATAGCACAGGGTACTCCTGCACTTGCACAATCAATTTCTCTTCTAATGATTTTTTGTAACAAAACTTACAGCGTATAAACAATTACCAAAAAACCACGTCTGCTGCTACGTGGTGAGTAGAAATCATCTGCGCCAGAAGCTTGCCTGAAGCCTATCGCTTCTCGACCGAAATAATTTTACCGGAGAGTACCTGACGCACCGGACCTGATGCAGTGTGGGCACTTCCATCTGAATTAATGGTTTTCGAATTCGTCTGATCCGATTTCACCGGACCGGACGCAGTGTGTGACCTTATACACCTAACTGTCGCAAACACAATATCTGATAGTATGTATTACACAACTATGTACATTTGCACCAGTTTTATTAGACCCTTCAAGAGCCAACCATAAGGTAAATGTATTAAACCAATCAAAATAAGAATTTATCACAATAGAATAGTTTAAGTAAAGGCATTTAGTAAGTACAAATCAACAAGAGGTAAACAATGAAAATACACACAAGATCACAAGATATTATAAAACTAGAATGACAATTGTCAGTAGAGCCAACCGTTACAGTTAATTTATAGAAATACTTATCAATCAACACACTGAATCTCCTAGGTTGAAAAAATGAAGTTAGTTGTTCTAAGAAAAAATCTAGCTTAACCATAGGTGTCAAAAAAGGGAGTGGCACGGGGGTCATCCCCCCCCCACCAATACAAAATAGTAAATGTTTTTAGCCTACCAATAATAACAATTAAAAAAAAATCTTCTAGGTACTTTCTAATGTGGTTACTCTACTGACAAGGTATTTATACCAAGTATTATGGGAGTAATTTAAAGCCCCCAGACCCTGGATGGTGTCCTGATTATGCCCCCCCCCTCATATCCATGGGTCACGTGACGTCTCTGAACTGAACTCTACCCATCTCCTTAAAATCTCTTCATTCAACTTAAGCTTTTTTTTAAATAGGTTACTAAGATTTTATACTGTATTTTTGTAATAGTACTCACTCATCCAAGAAGAAACAGGCATTTTATGATATGGTTTGCCATGCATTAGGAATTTTGTAATTTAAAAAGTGTCAAGGAAAATCACTATATTTAATAGTATACTTATGAACTTACTTTACTACTACTAAAAATATTTTAAAACATTCACAATTTAATTAAATGTAAACAAAAATTCAAAAGCTGTATTTTGTAAAAAAAAAACATTTCACTTGTGGTTTCAGCTGAAAACTATTTTTTGTTTTATGTTTCCAAGCACAGTTTTTACAAGATAAACACAAACAGTCTTAAGAAATGTCAAGCGATTATGATCATATTGTGAAGGGTCCTTTGAGGCTGAAAAGGAAGACTAGAAGAGTTGACAAAAAGAAAAATAATCACAATAATGACAAAGTAAGTATGACAAAAGCAGAAATTGAATTTCAAAATGTGCAAGAAAACATGTTGAACAAAAGTGTTGCTAAGAGAGCAATGAAAACCCACAAACAAAGAGTAGAAGAGTTTAACTTGCATCTTGACAGTGTCACTGAGCATTTTGATATTCCTAAAGTTAGTTGGACCAAATAATATTTGTCATTGTAACCAAATTGCGAAAGTTGAGAATGGGATGTTAAAAATCTGGTAATAAATATTTACGTTATAATGATTGTTTTAGCTCTATAACCCTATGACATAAATTAATGATTATACCTAACAACAGATTGGTAAGCTGGTGAAGGGTGGGATCAATCAAGGCCACACTAAAAAAAAACAGGCCGTAATGCTCGTGAAGCATGACGTAACGATAGAAGACGGCAATGACGTAGTTTACCGTTTGTGATCAGCTGCTTGTTTTAATCTTTCCTTGGAAAATAAATAAACAAATACCCTTTGTCACAAAAATATTAAACATTACGTCATTGCCGTCTTCTATCGTGACGTCATGCTTGACGAGAATTACGGCCTGTTTTTTTTAGTGTGGCCTTAGATCAATCCTTAGCTTGTAAAAAAAATAATCTCAATGTTTCACATTTTTCTAAATATATATCCCACTAACATGATAACTCTTTCAAAAAATTTTTATTACGATTTTGACACCAGTGGATTTTTTTTAACCAGAGACAATATACAGTGTGTATTGAAATGAGGCTGTTAGGGAAAGCGGTCCAAATCCATATGTGTTGTGGATCTGCCTGAAATAAACCTGACCCTTTCGCACCAAAATCCGGAACGCTAATCACTAGGATAGTAACACACCAAAATTTTAGTGAATAACAATTGCTTCCATCTTCAAACAAAACGATTTTGTAATCGATTTTGTCAAAAATAATAACATTATGTTATCATCACAGTCATTGTCTCCTTTAATATAAGGGTGCGGCGTTGGTGTGTGGCAGCTGCACTAACCGGCCTATTATCACGGTATTAACAAACAAGTAAACATAAACTTTACACAGATGCTCCATTATTAATTGGTGCAACAGCTGTTTTGGTAGGCCGGGTCTGCGGTGTTTAATCTCACTGTCGCTTTAATCTCACCGCAGCCTTGTATTAGAGGAGACCATGTCACAGTTCATTGCATATATTAATTAAGGAAATAATCGTTAATAAAGATTACTTTTCTTTAGACATATGTTTATACAATTTGATAGATTGTAAACTAAATTTGTATAATTTATGATGGTTAGCAAAATATCAAGAGGGCTAAGAACGTTGTACATTTTATCCTGTATTAATATTTTAGAGAGAAAAGATTTGCAAGTTGCTTGTCTATGAACAAATTGTTATAAAATTTAGCAAAATCTTTTTCCTACAGTTACCCGACAAAGTTGGCTTCCTTGTACTGTTTATAATACAGAAAGCTGCTAATTGCTGCATATTTATACTTTGTCATACGGTTTATACTTTGGCGCACATCAGGATTCCAACAAAACAACACAAAACAGCGTGGTTCTATTATGCACGTAATCCGTGTACGCTTGGAAATAGGTTGATAATACTATGAGCAGGAAAAATATAATGTGTAACAAGAGTGCAAAAGGTCTTTGCTGCACTCGAGATCATTCCGCTGCTCTCATGTGCAGCAAAGTGCCACTTTGCCTACTAGTACCACAAATAACTATTGTAGACTTTCTTAATGTAACCAAAAATCGTGATTGAGTGTTAGTTGTAGCAGAAAACAAAAGTACTCATTTAGTCTGATATGACAAAGTATGGATCAAGTGGTCCCATCAATTCCAACTTGTTTGCTGCTGGTTAAGGTTTTAAAAATGCCTTGTATTTTTATTGTGGTTACAGTCCATTCAGAAAATTTAGGCGGTTTGAGATGTTTTTCCATGTTACCCCACCACTTAAAAATGTATGTTACAGCTGATAGATGAAACTCAATAGCAAAACTTTTTCCTTCGATATTAACCCTCCCAGTGTTACTTGACGAAAATTCGACAAGCAGCACACTTTGTGTAGTGTTACTTGTCGATTTTTCGACACGCAGACATCGTTTACGGCGAAGGCTCTATGACTGACTGAATCGGATTGAACTGGATCGAGTTAGGTATCGTTCTTTCCGTAATATTCTAAGCTTTCTCCAGAGGTCTGTCTCAGCGCTGTACGTTCTCTGAGCCGATCGTAATTGTAGCAGACAGCTGACGTGCGTGTATTTGTAAACAGCTAGGTTACCCTTGGACCGATGACTGATGTGTTTTATTACGTTTATCATTGTTTTAGTGTTAAAAATCAAAAGTAGTGATATACGTGTTGCATTATAAGAAGATTTAAGTGGTTTTGAAGTGCTGGTTGATGATCCTAAAGAAGTAGGTAGTGATATTGATGTAAATTATCAGCCAGATTCCTAGCTATGGTTAGGCTATGCATTCTTAGCTAAACGCTATGTACTGAAATCTGTTTTTTGCCCATAACTTATTTATTTGCAAATCTACTTCCTTATATTATTATATATTTGTAATCCTCATAAAATTTAGAACAAAGTGGCTATTTTCAAATATTTGTAGGCCTATAATTTATACAATTTCATTGAGCGGGAACTTTTTTTTTTTGAAAATTTTTGAAATTATATATTTTTTTTTACCTAAAAATTTTTTTTTTTAAATGTTCCTTATGTTTTATATATAATATTGAAGCCCATGATTTTCCAAACAAAATGGTATATAGAACATTAGAATTAACATTGTTTTAAGCTTCTCAGATCCGTTTTAATAGAACCTTGCAAATGCGCCAAAAATAGGTGGACATTAAGGCCTAAACTATGGACACTTGGAGGGTTAATACCTTCCACACATTAACTAATTTTATTTAGCTGCAGTGAAACTCAGATTTTTTAAACCACTACAAATATTGTAAATACTGGGTGAGGCATTAAACGGCACAACTTTGAAATATCCCAAATAATTAATTTTGAAAATTTGACATAAATCTTAAATGTATGAGTGGAAATGAATGTTCACCTTGAAAATAATAATTTTTTAAACACAGTGTCAGTTAAATGGCATCCTTGGTTTTGCACAAATTGTTGAATTCTGAGATGAAATTCATCCTTGAAGTTTTTAGCGTTTGTAAAACGTCTGTAAATCGTTTTGTAGCGCTTTGTTGTGCTAGCAGTCCTCGGATTCGCCTCGCACATGAAATTTACCTTTTCTGTGTCCGGCTAGGCCTCACACATGAAACTTGAGCATGTGCCGGAAAATGCCACTTTTGGTCCTAGTATTGAAATATACTATTCTCTATAAGGATGACAGGGAAAATTGAAAGGCCACTCAGGGGCAGAGATGTAATTACATGAAAACGCTTTTGAAAAAGTTTTTGAGATTATAGTGATCAGTGAGTGAGTGGTATTTGCCTTTTTACACAATACTTTGTAGAACAGTCTTTTTTTCTGAATAATGAATGGACTCAGTGAATAAACTAATGAATGGACATTTTGAAGTAAATTAAGTAAGAAAAAAATATTAGCTTATGATGAAAACTCTTAGGGTAAAAATAAGTTAAACCAGTAAAAAATAATTTAGTTTATTCAGTACATTCTTTATATGAGATCTTATTTGTTAATATTTTATTCCAGCAAAAAGTCTTAAAGCATAGTACAATTAAAAGTTTAAAAAATAATTGCATGTATAGTTCGGCCGCTTAGAAAGCGACCTCCTCCAACATTGGTTCAGCATTAGCGCGCAGGTCGTTTTCTAAGCGGCCGAACTATAGTTGTTATTATATTAATCTACAAATTTAGTAACACTTTCTTTACTTTAGGCTTAGTGATTCTTTTCAAAGGTTTTGATTCCAATTCATTCTCATTCTCTTCTTTTTCTTTCTTAATAGTTTCTGGCAGAAAATTTTTATCTTCCATGAATTTTCCATTATCTTTTGACTCGTCGTCTTCTTCATCATCAATGTACATCTGAAGTGGATCAAATTTAGAATTATAAACCAATCAAATCAGAAGATGAAATTGTACCATAAGATTAATCTTAGGAAAAGAATACTCTGAAAAGCATGGTTCGATTATTAACCCTGACACTTTCTACAGATGGACTAGAATGTTTGTGTAGCATACAAACAGTTGTTTCACTTGTTAGAATTTATTTTTATGGCATTCTTGGTGATATTTTAATTGTTTCATTTGTATAAGTAGAAAACTTTCAACAACTGTTTAATCCAGGATCTGTAGGGGGTTGAGAATGCATGGAAAGCCTGACACAATTTTATTTCTGATTGTTGTTCTGGCAATTGTTCGCCAAATTCTGCTGAAACAATTGCCTCTAATAATAAAAAATGAAATAAAAAAACTTGGAAAAATAGTATCCTTTAGAACCTCCAACAAATTAGATAAGCTTATAAACACTAAAGGATCAGGTGATGATATTAACAAGAGAACCGGAGTATATAAATTATCCTGTAACAACTGCAGTAAATTTTACATAGGCCAAACAGGGCGGTCCTTCGAGAAAAGATTCAAAGAATACATTCCAAAAGCCTCGAAGGTGCAAAAATCTAATTATGCCGAACATCTGGTATTAAACAACCACAACTATAGGCCTACTAATTTGGAAACAAACTTAAAACCATTGCACATTTGCAACAAAGGCAGGATCATGACAGCTCTGGAACAGTTTGACATTTATAAAGCCGCAAAAAACAATCCCCAGGACATATTAAATGACAAAAGCACTCTGCAAACTAATATTCTATTTGAATCACTCATAAAGTTGGACAAGGACCGTGATAAAGGCGGCCAGGGGACAAAGTTCAGCTCCTGAACCAGTCGAGACTCGGCACCCGTCATGTGCACACCAGTGTACGTAGGCCTACAGTTTTTGTCCCTGTTTTTTAAATGTTTAAATGTTTTGTGTATATTTTGTAAACTTTGACGCGACCAATTCAAGAATGGTTTAAGTTCTTCAAGTTTGTGATCTGATGATGATGTGGATACATTGAAACGCGCGTAGTCCAGTACAGGAACAGAGGAATCACGAGGCAGTTACAGGTATTTTAACCTTTTTACAATATTATTGTCAACGTGATTCAGAATAAACAACACAACATGAAGAATAATTTACACTATTGTTAGTAATTTGTAAAGGTTTTTATTTCCAGGAAGTAAAATAATGAAGACAATAGCCTCAACTTACTTTTGATTTTTTAGCTTTGACTGGAGACTTCAACTTGGTTGTGGCTTTCTTTAAACAGTTGAGAGGGTTTTTCAACTCATCATTGCTGCTTTTATCTGGTACTATCCTGCAAAAGATACATTTTTGTCTATAAAGGTAGTTTAGGAACAGTGCTACTTTGTGTGAGCGAAAATAAAAACTAATATTTACGACAATAACTGTTATCTGCCATGTTTTTTAGCTTTAGTCTTGTACACAGGCTCAAAGGAGTGATCCACCTTGTTTACTTTACAGGGAGTTTTTTTAATCCTGGACTGACGATCACAAATGAAATAGAATAGAATAGAATAGAATTGCCTATAATTGCCGGGTCACAACATGATCAGATCACAAATCGTCTTCTATGATCGGCGTGAACAAAACCAGAGGTACTGTAGAGCACCGTACAACTATACCAGCATGCCCATGTTGTATACAGGGTGTCCCAAGTACACAGCCACACTCCGAGGAATGGTTCTTCAGGTCAAAAAAGAGAAAATCAAGAATTAAATATTCATAAAATCCTTTTTTTGATCAGATATCCCCCATTTTATTTTTTTACATAAACATTTATCATATTGTAAAAGAATAATCGAGATCTTGAACAACATGTTTGCATTTTAAGATAAAATATTAGTGTCATACTTACTCTAATGCAGATGAAGTTTGTGCAATGATATTTTGAACCAATGGTGTGATAGTAACCGTTGGCTGAGATCGGACAAGACCCTTGGTTGCACCTAGCTCTTTGATGCACTCGTTGGAGAAACTCTCGGCATCAAAAACTTTGGTCTCAACTGCACCTGCATTGACATACTTGAACATATTATTTCAACGTCCCTTTAACTATCGAAGTATTAAAAAAAGGATCATCAATTAATAGAATGAACGACTCATGTGAAATGATAATTACTGGACTGTATTTTTAGGTAGAAATTAAATAATAGCAGGATTGTAATTAGAATCAAATGTAAGATCAATACCTAATTGAAAAATCTGGTAATTCATGTTAATATAGAACAGTGACATTTACAAACGTATGAATGATTATAAGTACTAAACAAAATAAGTCAATTATATTATGTTCTTGTTGAGTAAAAACCTGACTATAGCCGATCCATATAAATGGATGTTCTAGGCTACAAGGATAATAATTACTAGTATTTAAGCTATAGCACAAAAAGCTATACTGTTAAAGCAGATAAACCATTTTACTGAATTGGCAATCACCAAAATTAGACATTTTGTTTTTAAAGTAGTGTCTACAAAAGCAACTGATTTTTTCTAGTTTAAAGCCTAGTCCACATTTGGAGAGTGAGCCGGCTGACAGTATGATAACAGTTTCGTAAGTTTCAGATTTGCTTAACATCTGAGTCGCAGTCAGATTGGCACCACGACAGATTGGCACCATGGTGTTTTAGCACCCGGCGTCACATTGGAACCTCGTTGACATGAGGCCATGAAATATCACCCCACGTCAGCTTGGCACCACGACAGATTGGCACCATCCCTTTCTAGAGGTTCCAATCTGTCGTGTACTGTTACGACTGATTGGCACCTCTGCGGCCGCCGTCAGCTTGGCACCGCGACAGATTGGCACCACCCCTTTCTCCAGGTTCCAATCTGTCGTGTACTGTTACGACTGATTGGCACCTCTGCGGCCGCCGTCAGCTTGGCACCGCGACAGATTGGCACCACCCCTTTCTTGAATGAGGTTTGAAAATACAACAACGCAGTTTTCTGCGTGCAATATTGAGTGGAGCTGGAATATTAATCCAATCCTTCCCAATGAGTAGTTAAATCTCATTCACGAGGAACAGGTGTAGTATTGACTTTTAGATCGATTAGATTTAGGTATCTGCATTCCTAAAATTCTATGGGAAGGGAGGAAAAAGGTCCACGACGTAGGAAGTGGTGAAGGAAGTACACAAGGCGAGCTGCCTGGAGTGTGGGAACTGTTTATGACGATTAGATTAAGGTATCTGCAACCCTAAAATGTTATAGGAAGGGAGGAAAACTGGTCCGAGACGTAGGAAGTGGGGAAGTAAGTAGTAAGGTGAGCAGTGTGGAGTGTGGGAACTGGAAACCGTTTTTAGCAGTTAGAATAATGTATCTGCAATGCTGAAATCCTATGAGAAGGGATGGAAGCATGCCCACAACATAGGAAATGGTTAAAGAAGTAGTAAAGGTTAGCAGTGCGGAGTGTGGTGAATGTTTGTGGCAATTAGATTAATGCAAAACACTAAAATGCTATGGAAAGTGATGAAACAGGTCCACGACGTAGGAAGTGGCTTAGGAAGTATTAAAGTATGAGCATAGTGTGAGAACCGTCTGTGGCAGTTAAAGTAATGTGTCTTTAATCCTAAAATGCTATGAGAAGGGAAGGAAACAGGCCCCACGAAGTAAGAAGTGGTGAAGGAAGTAGTAAAGGCTGGCAGTGCAGAGTGGGGGAACCGTTTGGGCAGTTAGATAAATGTATCTGTAATACTTAAATGCTATGAGAAGGGAAGGAAACAGGTCTATGACGTAGGAAATGGTGAAGGAAGTAGTAAGGCTAGCAGTGCAGAGTGTGGGAACTGTCTTTGGCAATTACATTAATGTATCTGCAATCCTAAAATACTATGGGAAGAGAGGTAGACAGGTCCACGACGTAGGGGGTGGTGAGGGAAGTAGTAAAGGTGAGCAGTAATAAGTGTGGGAATGGATTAATGTATCTGCAATGCTAGAATGCTATGGGAAGAGACTGTAGACTGTAGGTTAAAATTATTACGAAGCACAAATCGTTTCATATTTTCGGTACATACAATCGTTTACAATCGAAATTTACAACTGATTTGACAACAGCAGATTTTTACACCATAGAGGCTAAAAACTATTTTTACTCCCTAAAGAGTAAAAATGCTTCTTAGACCCGCAACGCATGCATTAAAAACGACTGTTTTTACTGCAGTATGACAAAAACAATATAATATGAACCCTAGATGACTCCGCTCAATTTTGTGGATGCCTCTGCGAACGCCACCTAGTAAATTAAACGTTTTATTTTCATTTTAACTAAATCATAATATACAAAAATAAAATAAAACGTTAAAATGTAGTTCTTTAATTTAAAGTCAATCACTTCAACAGTCATTCCGTAGATTCTTGTGTAAACCATATTAATAATACTGCAAAGGGCAAACGTATCAAACTGTTACGACTTCCCGAAAAAAATAATCAAATTTTAAGTTCATTCTAAAAATATTTTAAGTTTTGGAACGGTCAGAGTGAGGCAGAGAATCTGTCAACTATCACTAATCGTCTTGTTTTCCGGGTCCGACTCCTATTGTTGGGGCGTACGTACATCCACGGAAACAAGAGACACTGACTCATAATAAATGTGTTCAGTATAAATATGTATCTTGTACAACTTTTGATGATTTACAAAAACAAATATCATTACGTTCTTAGTCATGATTTTTTGACATTTTACATTAAATTTCTAGCAAATCGGTTTACGTCTGCCTTGACAAGTAAATACTACAGGTAATGTGTAAATTAAACATATTTTAATAACTAACAAACATACATGTTATTACGTTTTCTACAATGAGATTCTGTGAATTTTGATATAAAATTACAAACAAATCTGTTTACTTTTGCAAGTAACAACTACTGATTGATGTTAACAAATCCGGACAGTTATTATTTCTTGTGAAATTATTATTATAGGTTAAAAATAAGAACAAATAATGTTGCTTTTTAAACAATTGGTGTTGTTTGGTTGGAATACTAGAATACTGGAGTGCAAAAAAAGGAAGTAAATGCATCAATTAGCAACTGTCTGTACTATAATCATAATTTGTTAATTGTACAAACAATTGTACTGAATTTAACTAATCCTGATTAAAAAAACGTATTTAACATTCTTTTATGGTTAACTATCAGTCATACCCGTTCTTCGCAACGGGAAGAGAACGCTAAAGAGAATAATTATGTTCCATAGATTTGTCGTATGTAGATACACTTTTAGAGGTTCGAAAAGTATTAACTGGATACTCCGTTTCCCAAACATTATTTTAGGGGAAATAAACCATACAAACACAATAGTTTTTTTTTTAACAAATAGGAAAAAATGAAGTCAATAAGTTAAAGAACGATGCACTTAAAAAATAAAACGCCTTATTCCCACAATATCAAAATTGATTTCTTAAATTAATAACCTAAACATACCTCAGGAAAAAATCCTACTTTGACAGTTCTCATTTTGTATCACAGTTTTTTGTTGCTGCTTGGTTAAAATTAGCTGTTGTCATCAATTTAAACAATTAATAGTACTGCACCCTGTTGGTAAACCTTATATCTTTTTAATGTTATTTAATATCATAGAACCAACTTGTGTAGTTGAAACAGGTGGCAATAGTTATTTGTGCAACTAGTGAGAAAAGTGAGCAATTGACTCACTCGAGAGAAATCCTTACTCACGAGCCGTAGGCGAGTGAGGAATGGTTTCTCGAGTGAGGCAATTGCACTTTGCACTCGAGTTGCATATTATATTTTTCCTACAGTTACCATAAAACAAATAAATTGGCAAACAAACGTAACATATTTTTACACAGAAGTGATCTTTTAATATGACATTTAATGTGAAGTGACAAATACTGTACAACAGTTGGCTACAACAGCTGACCAGCTGATTTACAGCCAGTGTTGCCAACGTATTTCGCGCACATACGACCTTGTCTGCATGTTGCGCTCACTATTTCGTCCCTTCACGTTGCAAATCTGGAGTGAGACAAAGTAATTAGAGTGAGACAATGTTAACATTGTCTCACTGATGAGTGAATTGGCCACTTTGCTTTCTCAAATCAGCGAGAGAACATGAACATTGTTAGGCGACTGTAGGAAAAACTATTTTATTCCTGATTAACTATAGAAACTAGTGTACCTGTTGCTCGAATTAGAGCAATTGCGAAGCATTACAGTCGACTCACAAAGATTATGGAAATACTCACGAAAAACACAACAGTTAGATATAATCAAAATCTTTTGTAAATGTCTTATCTTTTCTCAAAAAGCTGATCTTGTTTTTTTTAGTGTTTTCTACAAATTTTTCCCTCTCATAGCCGCATTAGGTTGTCTATGATAACGATTATAAATGAAAAAAACATTATTTCTATTTCTTCTGCTTGGTTGTGTTCTATGACTTTTTCTATGTTTCCATTGTTTGCAAATCGGTTATTTCAACGATTGCTCAAGAAATGTAGAGCAGTGTTAATTCAGTTTTATTTTTAGCCTATATCAAATTGTCCAGGATTTCTCGCTTTTTTCCATTGTAATAATTTCACCAACCCAAGTTTCGTCGACAGATGCAATACGCCAAAGAATATCACCAAGAAGTGGCAGACGATTTACAATCTCCAATTAGTATTTACAATCTCCAAGAAGTGGTTAAAAAAAGCAGAAACCAAGCCATACAATAGATATAAGTTAACCCCTTAAGAAATAATTTCAAGAGTTACTGTGATATTAGGATTTTCCACTGATTTGGTAATAGAACATTATATTGCAAAACATGACACGATGCAGAATAAAATCGATTTTAAAATCAGAAAAACCCATTGCAAATACTGTACTTCATTTTGAAAAATTCAATAAATCACAATTTAAATATTAACAGCTGTTTCATTAAAAAGTAGTGTAGAATTATGCATATGGTAAACAAATTTGAAGAGGCAACTTTAAAGGCTTCTGGGGCAGAGCCCCAAGGGAATTTACCTCGTTCTTCTTTTGATGGCTCATCTATAGACCAAGACCTTTCTTTAGAGACCCCTAGCAAGTTTCTACGCCCAGCCGTTCTCTCAAATTAGCTGGGACAAAAACCCAGTTTTTCCTCCATAAGAATAACATGGGATGGGAATTCAAAGGCCACTGGGGCAGAGCCCCAAAGGAATTTACCACGTTTCTCTTTTGATGGCTCATCTACAGACCAAGACCTTTCTTTAGACACCTCTACAGAGTTTCTACGCCCAGCCGTTCTCTCAATTTAGCTATGACAAAGAAAAACAGTTTCAAATAATTAATATATAGATATTTCCTGCTCGTAAAAATTCAAACAAATCCCTTTTCGTAGGGAAGAAATCACAACTACTTCTTGAGTGCAAAAACCGCCAAACATCTGCAAGAAACTCGCCGAATGTGTAATGGCCCTTTTAGACTGATTTTTTCATTACGCTTTTGCTACCAGATAGCATGTTTATAGAATGATTTAACTTATTAAGCATTGTACTTTGAATCAGATGTGGCATTAGTGAATAAGGATTCTTTCATTTCGTACTTCGTGGAATATACAAAATATCACAGTCAGGGCCCACAGTAAAATATGTAACAATTGCTACTAAAGATTTTTGCGTAAGACGAACGTACTATTTGTGGTAATCAACAGCTTGAGCGAACAACTGTTAGTAAGAATAATGTTGCTACCTGGTTGCTACTTACTACTGCACTAAAAGAAAGAATCTTCACTTTTCACGTTAATTTTCGCGGTTTTAATAGCTTAATTGTTATTATACTTTTCCGATGAGCTCGGTTATCTACGGAGGCTTGATCAATTGGGGCTCAGATTATCGTGAGTCTGCATATGCTGTATTGGAGAAACCTAACCTCATGTTCAAATTTAATGTTAGAAAAGTCATTATAACACGTACCATACCATATTAACTCAGTGTGTTACTTACAAAAAAAATGATTTCCATATTAAAGTTAATTAAAATCATTGAAACCCCTTTATTGACAGTACAGTGTAGGCCTACAGTACACTTAATACGAGTCCCGTATATCAATTCACTACTGACATAATGTGTGTGCGGCACATTTAATCTAAATCTGGCCTGATGGTTTACCGTAGCTATTATTTCCCTCGTGGTTCAATAACCTGGCTTTAAAGTCGGGGCGTCCTCCCCCCATAACAGGTAGACGGGCAATCCTAATCCCTTGTTGACAAACAACAGTGTCTTTGTTACGGGCGACCACCAGGGACTGCTGGCATCCTCACGCTATTCAAATTACGGGGATTTCTATATTTGAGTCTGCAAGTTATGTGGCATTTCCAACTGTCAATTTGGTCTTCAACGTAAATGTTGACATTGACAAACGAGCGGACGTACAAAGAATTTGAGGAAGCCGGAAAACTCCACGCTGGGAGGGTTTCGAATATTTTTTCAAGCACCTTTTATAAGATGATCCTTTTTTGAAATAGGACAAGGCCATAAATAAAAAGTAGCGTCAGTGCTGTGGCCCTTGAGGCATTTAGGGGTCGTTTTTTTATTAATCAGTTCAGTTAACTACACCACACCATCTGTTTCTCAATCCTAATATTTGTAAAGTAGGCCTACTGTTAGGACCAAGCCTTGCACAGTAGTATTTTGATTTCGACTAGTTTTTGTTATTACTGTTGATCAAGATTCCTTAAATAAAGCGTAGGCCTACTAGGAAAACCCATGCGAATTGTTAATGTTAACACGAAAAACAATTAATATAAAACGTATTTTATTGTTATGTTTACAGAAACATTGAGCGAACTGTACATTACAAACTAGATGACCCGGCGAACTTTGTACCCCATAAAAGTTAAAAAAAAACCAAATCAACCGGCCACCTTTATAAGCCTTTTAAAAACAATCACAGACAACATAAAACCGCTGAAAATGACTTTCAATTACATCACCTGTCAAATGTTTAATCAGCTGTTTCTAAAATATCTATCTATCTATCTATATATTAATAGGCAAGCATGTTTCTTTAAAACCTTTTTTCTCAGCTCGTGTGCATCGTAGGGAAAATCTACGCATACCGTTAGAAAGCTATTTTCCTGTAGGTGTGCAGAATCCCTTTATAAATTTAAATAGGCTCAAAGATAAGCACAAAAAATGAGTTTAAAAATTTGAAAAAATTAACATGGATCTTATGCGTTGCTATGCTGGTTACGAAATAACAACGAAATATAAACAGAAAATCAAAACAAATGGAGGAAACTCCAATCACATGTTTTATTTACAGTGTGGGGTGAAAATAGATAAGTGAGTACATTACATATTTTTGGTCGAGTTTCGACCACTGGACGACCTCTCGTATTAAATTAATCTATGCATATGGTCAAAAACCATCATATTTTTCTTCATACGCATAACATACATATGTGGGGCTTAGCCCTAAATTTAAATACTGAACTGAAGATACATGTGTTAATCGGGTTAAAGACGAATCCAACAAATCATAAATCATTAAAAAGATCCAGCCGGTCTCGAGTTACAAACTGCTTAACTAACACGACATCATGGCATGTAGCCTATATCTAGATGCATACTAAGAAAGTGTTTAAAAGTACAGTATTTTCTCTCAAAGTCCTGACATGAGGCAGAAAATCCATCATAGCGACCACTTTCAATTTCCATAGCTATATATATCTTAATCCACGTAAATTTCACGCCTAAATAACCCCATTTCAGAAGATTTGCATATTCAGTGTAACCATACCTCGAGTTATACATTACCTGATTTTAGAGTTTTGGTCAAAGAAGGAAGTACCGGTAATTATTTTATAGGGCAAGCCTACTTGCGTGCAACCGCATCTTGCTTACAACAAGGTAAATTAAGTAATAAATTACAGCATCTCAAATATATCACAATTTATCACTCTATAATGCTTCCGAAAAATGACTGCAAGGTTTCATTCAATTGTGCCAAATACTTTAGTAGGTATCAGACGTTTTCCAAATTATAAACTTGAGTTTAATAGCATTGAGGAACTGTAACTTTGATTAGATGGGCCATTTACGAAGCGGTTTGTGCTGTTAAAGTTAATGTTATTATCAATGTGTTTAATTGACATTAATTGCATCAAGTATTGACACGTTTCTGTTTTCAAACATCAGACTAGTAAGTAAAACGAACAGGTGGGCCTATTGAGGGCAGCGGTGCCAATCTGTCGTATACTGCTACGACTGATTGGCACCTCTGCGGCCGCCGTCAGCTTGTCACCACGACAGATTGGCACCACTCATTTCTCGAGGTTCCAATCTGTCGTGTACTGTTACGACTGATTGGCACCTCTGCGGCAGCCGTCAGCTTGGCACCACGACAGATTGGCACCACCCCTTTCTCCAGGTTCCAATCTGTCGTGTACTGTTACGACTGATTGGCACCTCTAGGAGCGGTGCCAATCTGTCGCGGTGCCAATCTGACGCGGTGCCAATTAGACGCGTACCCAACATCTTAGCCAGCCAGTGTTGGTATGGTGACTGAAGAGGGTGTACTTTTATCGTGTGAGCGCTTCATACTTCTGTGGCTGATGTGTACTGAGGAAGAGACAATGATGTATCCGCAGGTTTCTCGAGGAAGGTTCGTACCATGGTTTGGGTCTTCGATTAGATGATGGCACAGAATTTAGACGTTTTATAAGAATGACTACTACCAATTTTTAGGTTCTATTATAGGCTTTGTTGGGTCAAAGATAACAAAGAAATGTGCGTGTTACAGGGTTGCAATTTCAGCCCTGAACTCCAAGCTAAAACACCTGTGGATTCAGATTATATCTGGTCTTCTGTCTCCAGGCAAGTCCACACATGCAGACTTAAGACAAAAGACTTGTATCTTGTCTCCATGTTTCTCATTTGTATGGGAGACATAAAACACTGTATCTTGTCTCGAAAAACACGGAGACTCATCTGCCGATAGACAGTTGGCCGACAGCGTTTTTGGAGACAAGTGTTAATGAGGCTTTAGAAAAGCTTTTACTAGTCTACTCCCTTAATTTGTGTCCCGTTTTTTCTTTGTTTCCACTCGAATTTCAGTTTTTTAGAATTGAGCGTATAGCACACCAATACATTCTTCCAGTTGTCAAGACGTGTTATGCCTGATTCTTTTTTCATTGTTAATCATCTGTACTAAGTTTAAAAATAAATAAAAGGAAAAAACAAAAATTACTAAACTGAGCTTACAAACCACGAGAGATTTTGGCCCCTTCAAGTTTATATTCGGCTATTTCCAAGTCCTTTTTCTTTATAATATCAAGGAGTAGCCTTTGTTGTTTTTCCAGCTCTGATAAAGTTACTAGAAGAGGGCAGGATACTTCTTCAAAAAACTGAAAACATATTTTAGTATTAGAAATGTACTAAGGAGCTTCAATAATGTATCATAGTAGTCTTTAAGTTTTACATTTTACATACCGGTAAATGATTTTGGTTAAATAAAAATCTGATATTAGTTAGTAACCAAGCTAATACGGAGATCATCTCACACTATTCTACACACCCTGCATTCACACATATATATTCATTCATATAAATAACCACACGTGAATCACTGTCTTACAAAACTGATTAAATGCAAAGCTGTAAAATACCTTTACGCCACACTACACTATTTTGACAAACATTCACGCAATGATTTCACTAGTCATAACCTCTCTTAGAGGTTATGACTAGTGATTTTTAGCTCTTTAGTTGCTGGTATTATATAAGGATTTGTACATATTTAGTTGTATGGCGTATACTATCATACGTAACTCTCGCTCAAAATGTGTGTACCAGACTCGTATGGTAAGCACTTATAATTTTCAGGACTATTAACGTAATAGGTATACTATTTCATCATACTGTCCGGAAAGCAGACGTTTTTAGTTCTCTAAATCGTCTTGAAAATCATTGTTTTCGGGTAACTTCAAAGAGGGAACAGAAAAAACAAATGGTCAGGAGGTGGCTCCAGAGGGTAGACCAGGTAGGCCCGGGCCTACCTAAAATTTTGGTGGATATTTATAAATTACAAATAAATAAAGAAATTTAATAATATTTACCCAAATAAAGGAAAAGCATTCAAACTAATTATTTTACATTTAAATTTTACAATTCCCCCTTTTTGCAGGGAAATCCCTTCAAACCTCTTGTCCCCTGATCAAACCCTTTCTTGATACTTGTCAAGCCTGCCCAAAAAAATATTTCTGGAGCCGCCCCTGCATATGGTAAATTTTTCGGTTTGATAACCTCAACATTTTATCAGTGCATTGTGAAAACGCTACTAATGACATAGGCCTAGTTAAAGCTATGTTTGTAAACAACAAAAATGTACAAACATTGATGACGACTTGGTATCTTAAAATTATGTGGTCTAATTTTTAACGATCATAAGGTTATTATTTCCACATTATGATGAAAATAGTTGTTCATCACACGGACCAAAAAGATCCACTTTCACCTAGAGATGAAAACTACTAGCTTTCCATTTCTTATAACAAAGTGAATGTTGCCACATACATCAAAAATAAATTCATGAAAAAATTACAGTAGCTTGTTCCATCGGAAATTTGCTAAAAGGCATTGAATCCAATGACAACTACTCATTGACGATTATTACAATAGTTAAGTAAAAAAATAATCTTACTTGACTAGGTTCAGCATGATGTAGAGTAAACTTTATTTTGAACTTTAATAAGCCATCAAGATTGCTCTGCAGGTCAAGCTGTTTACCGTTTACGATGTCTGTGAGTTTAGAAGTGACACTGTCGCCTTCTCCCTCAACAAGCGACCACATGAGTTTTAAAAGCTCATCATCACTGGTTTCCAACAGTCTGTTCATATCCTGGAAAATTGAAGCTTTAGGAATAAGCCTATCACATAGGCTTATATGTTTCAAAGCCTATCATATAAACTAGGCCTATTGAATAGTTTTGATTTATTGAAAACAAATGCAATTTAAGAGCAGACAACAATTTTTATATCCACAGTTACGTTCTAAACATATTTAAAGGTAGGTAAAGGCTTGGGAGGAATTGTAGCCTATTATAGGCCCTACAACAGATTTAAAAAAATCAGAAATCCAAGTACGGTATATAACTTTTAGAAAATGGTTCTTTACATGGAAAAAGTAAAAAGTCATATTTATTATTATTTAGGCTATAAATGATACAGTCCACTCTTGGTAATTCAAACACTTGATAATTCAAAACTTTCGATAATTCAAAATGAAGGCTCAGTCCCTAGAGAATCTCTCAATATTTCAAATTTTTACCATGCATTTTGATACACTCGGTATTTCAAAGTCCAAATAGAGGGCAGGTCAATTTGTAACACGCAGTAATTCGAAGTTACGTCGGAAAAACACTCTATAATTCGAAGTAACTCAGTACCGGTAATTCGAAGTTTCGTCGGTTAACACTCTATAATTCGAAGTCATGCTGTAATTCGAAGTTTCGTTGAAAAAAAACTCTATAAATCAAAGTCACGCAGTAATTCGAAGTTTAGTTGGCAAAACACTCTATAATTCGAAGTGATCTCTTCCTGTTATAACAGGAAACTATACAGTACAGTACATCCTGTTCCCTTGGTAGGCTAGTGTTGGACGTTTTGATGTTTGTTTAGTTAGAGCAGTAGTTTGAGTTAGTTCGCTGACTTGTTTTTCTAAGTTGGCAATCCGATCTCTAGATTGTGCGACATCTCCTTGAGCACAAACGTAGTTGTCGACAGCTGATAGATAGTTCAGCTATTGGCGAAATATATAGTGCTAAATAATAGATTTCTTTGCAACTACAGTAACTGAAAAATAAGCCGTTTGGTTGTTTAAAAGTGTACTAAAATACGGTATGATGTTTTATTGTAACGTGCTGTACCTTTGTATGTATTAAACAAATTAACTCTCTGTAATTCGAATGGTTTATTTTTCTCACGATAAATCGAACTCTTGATAATTCAAAACTCTTGATAATTCAAATTTATATGCTTGGCCCACCAATTTCGAATTATCAAGAGTCTGCTGTATATTTTTACACCGCGCTTAACTTGTAGTTACGTCATTCTACGTTTTATTCTCAACTTTCAAAATATTGTTACATCACTGTACGTACATTACAGTAACTAAACCAACTGTATATCTAAATAAATGTTACAGTCCTCGAACCCCCTAACTTGAGGCAGCCCAAACTGACCTGCAGGGCCATTAGGGGCTGGTCCCGCACAACACTTTTACAATCTTATTAGCGACGCTTCCGTGGACACCCTAGTTCAATATTAACATTAATAAAATTATAATCAATATAATTATTTACTCGTTCACATTAATAACTTAAAATTTAACAACAATTTTTCCTTTTGTCCCATCTAAAACGGACAATTTTTACGGGTTTTGATCTATAAACAAATTACCAAGTACGGTAACTTAAATATTTAAACGTAAATATTCTCCGTTTTAGATGGGACAAAATCAGAAATGTTTGTTAAATTAATATCATTAACGTTTTAAACAAGTAAGTTGTTACATCAGATTATGATTTTATTAATGTTAATATTGAACTATGGAGTTCACGGAAGCGTCGCTAAGTTAATAGGATTGTAAAAGAGTCATGCGGGACCAGCCGGTTAATAGCCCTGCAGGTTAGTTTGGGCTGCCTCAAGTTAGGGTTGTGAGGACTATAGGATCTCCTGCGTAAAATTATAAAAAGCAATAGGCTATCTAATACAGTAGTAATGTTTTCTATTAAAACTTGGCAGTAAAAAAAATGATGCTCAAACTACTAGTGACTAGTCGTTTGCCAGTGGAGGAAATAGTTTTAGTGACTAGTCAATAGTCGTTTGCCAATTGCAGGGTTAACATCTTTGATGCAATTTGTCTATGATTGTAAGTTTCAAAAGTATCAATTATCAAGTAGGCATACTTATGTCTAAGTACATGATGCAAAATGGTGTTAATACCTTACATCTTTGAAGTAAACTGTCCTCTTGAATTTCTTCACTCCATAACTGTACTAAATCAGTTACAAAAAGCTTATGCAAAGTATCTTTTACAGTGTGTTTAATTAAATACTCCATTTCATCAAACATACATCTTTTCCACATTTTCACAGCTGTGCTACTGTAAGTTGATTTTATGACTGAAACATAAATTATAAAAAATAAATAAGTTGAATATTAAGATTTCAGAGTTTTTGTGGCTAGGCCTGTACTAAAATATGATTTTGTAGTCTTACATTCCAGTAGAAGTAGTAGGCCTAGTTGCTGAATTTATACCAGAATAACGAGTCTCATCTATCCTTTCTTAATTTTGTACCATTCGCGGTTATTTAACCCTCACTATGGACAATAATTGAATAGGTAGCCTTCAAAGAAATAACTTAGGCCTACTTCCTATATGAGTGGCACCGCTGTAACTTAGGAAATTCGAATCCGATATTAGGCAGTTTCAAAATAGCGATAAAAGCAAGCATTTTTGATATTGTTATTTCATTGTGTTTCACCCACTAGGCCTATTTCAATTGTGCAAAAACAGTCTGGAAGTTTAATAAATTAATGAGTCGGTTCATTATAACCTAACCTTTAACTTACCTAATCTAACCTCACTTCAAAGGATTTAATATTTTTTCAGGGTGAAATAGGCGTTTCCCCCAAAAGTGCCAATGGTAAGAAGTGCTTAAAATAGTCTAATTTAGGTAGATAAGGGGAAAAAAATGCAATATAAGTTAACATAAGTAGCATAAGTTCAGTATTACTGTATTTTCTAAACAGCACCAAAGTCCATTTTCTTTTATTTAAAAAGCTAGTTATTGCATATTGTAACTCTGATTTTGTTCTCATGTTGTCGTGTGTGGTTTTGTCTGTTTAGTATCAAATGTAAACAACTGACAGCAGCTCTCCTTCCACCCCTTTTAGTGTTAGTCGTAGTGATGGGCGATACGGACGCGTATCGCGATACAGCGATACGATACGTATCGGAAAAAAATATCGTATCGCCGTATTGAATCGGGCGTCTGTATCGCGATACGCGAATCGTATCGTCAAAAATATCGAAAAACGATACGTATCGTATCGTTTCCCCCCTCCCCTACCTAACCTAGAAACGGCTAATTTATATAAGTACCTGGGGACCAAGCTTTGCTCGGGGAAAATCATTAGTTTACTCTGAAAACAGTCTTAGTATTGCAGATACATTCATTAATCCATTTCCACACTCGACACTGCTCACTGCTCGCCTTTACTACTTCCTTCACAACTCCCTACGTCTTGGACCTGTTTCCCTATCCTTCCCATAGAATTTTAGGATTGCAGATACATTAATGTAATTGCCACAGACAGTTCCCACCACGGCCGCCTACACTCTGCACTGCTAGTGCTAGATAGCACGCTAGTGGAAAGGAAATGGACTGGACTGGGATGGGACTGGTACATTATCAAGTAAAAACAAAAAATACAGACGTCAAAAACTCTTATTTCAAACCACTTTCAAACTACACATCCACAGAGTACAGATTTTGCAGTTTGCTCGGCCTGCACAAAAAAAGCTTAAAAATATCGTTTTGACATGAATCGTATCGCTCTATGTGCCGATATAAATACAAATATCGTTTTAGGCGATACGATACGTATCGTTTTTTAAATATCGTATCGAAATATCGTATCGTCCCTCGCGTATCGCGATATTCCGATACGATACGATACGTATCGCACATCACTAGTTAGTCGCCACTAGAACTTGGACTCATCCATACCACAAATATGTTAATAAAGCAACAAAACTAGGCCTAAGGCTTAATATTAATTATTTAACGCCACTTAGGAATCTCTCCGTCCAAAACTGATTGCATTCATGGATTCAGCGTTAAAAATACTGGAAGTAGACATATCAAAATTCCATCATATCCCAGTGTAAGTAACTTACGGTAAATAACCACCATTATTATTAATCGGACTGGATCGGCAGGAAGTAGGCAATACTGTACCGTGGGGAAGTTTCGAGACCAGTGATCACATGTCTAAATACAATGCTCTCCCAAATTTAAGTAAATTTTTGTGTTGAACCTCTTGTTGTTTGAACCTTTTGTTTTGAATTTGAATAGTAACTTACTTAGTTAGCCCTGAATATGGATAGCTGTTACGCATCTGAAACGTGAGCCTCTAGTTTAACTTATAGGCCTACTTACTGTGTCTCTGTGTCCAGTCCATAGAAACCTAGTGAGGCTATAATCTATAAAAAGTATTAATTTTTACCTTATTTGTTTTTTATGATGGCTTGGTTATGAAAAAAAGATACGACAACTAGACGTTCTTCTTTCAAAGGGTACCAATTGCATGGGTTGCTCGTAAAGTAAATAAATAAACTTATATTGCAATCATATTGTTAACACATTTTGTTTACTATCAACAAAAATATCTTTGACAGGTCCGATCCGAGTCCAGTCCGACTAACCGATCATACAACCAACCTAACAACACGAAATTCTGAAAAACCAGCAAAAATAGTGGTACCATAGATGAAGTAATATAATAATTATTAGTAATCTATGGTGGTGGTGGTGGTACGTTTCTAAAACAAAGTGACAGAGTAGTGACTCCAGTTGCCATTAGCTGTATGGGCTATTTGAATTAATAGCCCATACAGCTAATGGCAACAAGACTTCCCCGCGGGTGACGATGAAGATGTCTCCGCGGCCGCAGGAGACGTTCAATATTTTGCCGGATTGCGGAAGACATTATTGACGTTTTTCTGCGAGCGATAGGATTTTGCCGCGATTGCGGAAAAAATTATTTCCCCGTCACCACGGGTCGCGGGGCGGGAGATATTAGGGATTGGGCCGTGAACCGTGAACGCGGGAGACGATAATGTTGTTATCTGATGATGTCATAGGTAATTTTGCCGCGATCTCCTCATGGAAGACGTTGATGACGCCTCGGGAGATGCCGTACCAAGCTAAAGTGCAAGTTTAGGCGGTAATACATGTGATATAATATTTTCTATATAATATTTTTTAAGATTATTGGGAGGGGCCCGGTGAACAAACTTGCGGGGGGCCCGCGGGCTCTTATTGCCGCCACTGCAAATAATAGTGTCAGTTAAGCTGTTGTAAACTACTTGTCCTAATGCTCTTACTGGGTTTAACAAATTTTCGGCATAAAAACTTATGGTCATGTAATATAAATATTGTTATGATAGGGGGCCCGTGTGGCTGAGCTTGTCACACAATTGCGGGCCCGTGTCCCGGTAAAATTTCCCGAAAAATCCCAGTCAGGGCTCACGGGACCCATAGCTCGCGGGCCCCCCCGTACCGCGGGCCCTGCTTTTAATCACGTTTCTCAAGCACTTGTCACTTTAAAAGAAATACATCCAATATTACAAAATATATTTTGATGTAGCCTACAGCGAGAATATTCATATTAAGTCCCAAGGAAATCCCCAAAATGCATTTGTTTGTGTGGATGTGCAATATCTTAAGGTGATCGCACTTACGTTGCATGTTACCATTTTTTTTTTTGCAGAATTATGTGTGTATTGGCAATTTGCCATTGGGAATAAATAGATAAATGATTATATTTTACATTATATACTTATGTGAGGTCGAGGTCGGTTTTATTTCTCAAGAACTACCAACGATGACGAACCAACTTCTTATTTGCAAGGCAGTGGATAGTTGTGGAAGAGTGCTAGAGTAGAGAGGAATGATATTTTGCTCAGTGTCAGTTCAATAAAAATATTATTAGTGGTTGAAAATTATTTCGAAATTATTTTTTTAACATAATTTAAATAATATCCTAAGGTTAATAAGCCCACTTTAACTATCTAAAAAGTCATTTAGAATCGCAAACATTTAGCCTATGAGTGTTTAGAATATTTGCGTTGTAGACCACAATACATTCTGCATAAAAAGTATTGACAGGTATGTTACGTTTTTTTATCTAAATATAAATGTGTCATGTTCTAATTTCCAATAAAAATTGTATAACTGATTTACATCAGACGCTGATTATAGACTAGGCCTGTTGCGTAAGAGTTTCAATAAGTTATAAGCCCAAAACATATGTTGAAAGTTATCTAATTAAAATGTTGTAATATTGGCCCAAAAATAAAGACATCTCTTAACTTAGTCTTTTATAAAGGCTACCCTCAGTCTAAGAATTTTGTCTAAGACTTGTATCCTAAGAGGCTTAATAAACCTCATCTTTTAGAAATAAATCAGGGTTTGCTATAGTCCGACACACAGACTATTAAACAAACCTATTTAAGGGATCAGAACTTGGTTTTCAACACTTTGGATGGATAGCTGCATAGAGATATTACAGCGGGTGCTGCTTAGGGCTCAATTCTCGCAACTGACCTCTGGAACATCGACCGGATTCTACGGATGAAAAAGCCTCGGGAGACTTTTCACGTTGGTTAGGCCTATACGATATGGCTGTAATTATAACGGCAAAGAATATCGATGAGCTGCAGAGGCTGTTAGCCTTGTCCATGGTCAAGTGATGAGGTGGATGGATGATCATAGCTTGTCTTTGGTGACGGGAAAAAGACAGAGATTGTGCTTCTTACCAGACCGATCAATCCAAATTATACAGCTTCCGCTTGGCCGGGAAGTGAGTGTCACGATACTTCGCTGTAAAGTACTTGGGAATGAGATTGAATGTCCGGCTCACTTTCCGGGAACAGATAGTTTTTTGTGACCGAGAAAGTGGAAAAGATTGTGGCCAATTTGAACAGGCTGATGAGGAATGTGGGTGGACCAGATGGCAGCAAGCGGCGGGTGCTGATGTCTGTTGTTCACTCTGTTCTTCTTTTTCGGATGTGAGACATAGGCAGAGGCCCTTCAAAAGATACACTAAAGGTCCAATTCCTATCCTGCGGCTGCAGCCACGCGTTTAGAGCCGTACGGCTCGAGTCGCTTGTCTCAGTTCCTATGCCGCGACTCCCAAGATTAGTGACTAGTGCTATTCATTGCACTCTTGACCGTCATGGAATAAGTATAGTTGGCAGCGAATATATTACTTGGAGAAGAGGAGGAAAAGGAAATATTAATGTGCTATGTAAAAAACAATGAACAACCTAATCCATTGTTCATGGTACGGCAAAAAAAAGGGATAGTAGCCTATTCTCATTCAGAGACATCTTCTCAAAGTACCTATTGGGAGTTCTTGGGGTTGAATACGTATAGGTGGTGAGGAACCAGTTCCATCATCTATGAAGGTACACACCTCAAACTCCGTATGTTAAAACTATAAATTTGTTACAGCCGTGCGGCTGAAGCGACTGAACTGCTCACGGAGCAGTCCAGTTGCGACGGCTGTAGACGCTCAATAGGAATCGGGTACATTTGATTTGCATTAAAGCAGTCATTTATTTCAGCCGCGCGGCTAGAGCCGCACGACTAGAGTTGTAACGTCTGTAAAGAAAAAGAAAAAAAGAATAAACAATCTTTACTTAATATTTACTCATTCTAATCAAATACAAAATTAATTCACACCTCTATGTAATATAATTTCGATATTCCATAAAGGTGTGAAAATAACAAAAAGTTGCCCCCTGGTGGGGTTTTAATGAATTTAATTTATATTTAATTGAACTCATGAGGACATAAAATACAAATTACAGAGCTGCGCAGTGGAATTAAAGATGTTAAATGTGGGCCCTGTAATTAAATACCCCAGAAGTCCATTAAGGGGGGATCGGAGAGATCTGATTAGCTATCCTCCTTCACACTTTCTTCAGCTTAATCCTAACACTTCTTAAAAAACTAATAGATGTGTTTATTTGAACACTCCATGAATTGAAATGTCTGTTCAGATGAAAGATTGTGTTATGAATTGATTTCTCTGTAAAACTGTAATAATGCAAATGATAAAATATTGAAATATTGATTGAAAATATTTATGAAACTGTTTGTTCAGAAAATATTGATCAAAGTATGACTTCAAGATGTTAATGTACACTTGATTCGGTGAAGCTGATTACTCTCATGGATTCACCAACTTTATATTAAAAATGTAATATGAACTTGTAAAACTTGATTGGTAAAAAATATTCATTTATAAAAATGAGATCATCAATATTCTTTGTGTTTATACTTGTATACTTCTTTCAGTTAAGCCAATTACATCTTAAATTATACCAGTTTGATATTAATAATACTAGCTGAAACACAGGCAAATAAAAAGATGGTGATTTGTAAAAATACTGTATAATGAATTGAAACTGTGAGCTGTGATACAAATTAAACATAAATAATACTATTGCCTAATGTACACAACGTTTAATATTTTGAGAAAGAGAGAGTGAGAGAGTTGATTGTTAATTTAAAGTTCAAATTGGTGGTTTTTTTATCTTAAATCTGCAAAGTCTCGGGAAAACCTAGCTATGACAACTTTATTTGTTTATTTTAGGTCATCAGACTCCCCAAAGATGTTAGTATTATTGTCAACTGGCCAGTTTACAATTTCATGCAACAGGGAACATTATGCAGGTTTGTGATCTACATCACTCCTTGCTGATCAATGCAACGGGGCCAATCGACTACTGAGTCGATTACTTGATTCTTTTATTTAATAATGACTCTTTATGAAGTTAATGGGAGTCTATCCTCATGACCCTTTATCAAACACTAGCTTTCGACCGAGCACTCTGTTACCCCCCATTTACGTTACACAATCAAACTCTCACTATTAAAAATGTGATACTCTGTTCAAAATTGCTACAATACAGGAAATACAAAATGTTAAGAATAGTAATACTGACGATAATAGAATTTGACCTTTACATAGAACACAAAAATAATAATATCACAGATAATCATTGCTCTTAAAATTAATAGGCTAGGCCTACTTCAATAATTTGATATAATAAATAATCTTCATTTGACTAGAATTTCTTATACAACTTAAATTCTTTGTATGATTTGACAAAATTTAATGAAACATTTTTTCCTGAATTCGTGACCATGTGCTTCGACATGCCAAATAAAACATGAGTTATTCGGACCAAACTAGACATGATTTCTAACTTGTAAAACGAGGGGTACACATGCAAAATGGCAGATTGGCAGGACTATATTAATACTAAAACACAAATAACACAAAACATTTACTTACGTACACATGTCGACACATTTACATTCACACTGACAAGAGATTCACACGGCACGGTTCGAGTGTAGTGTTCCTCCGCATTACGTCATGTTGGACTGACTTGTCCATTGCCTGGCGCGGATTTTAAATCTTTTGCATTTAAAAATCGGCACACGTCGCAGGATAGGAATTAAAAGGACCTCAAGAAGAAAGATGGCAACGGTCCAGAGAAAGCGCTCTAGCCTCGGTATATTGTACAGTGGAGGCTCAGCGGTCCTCGTAGTTGCAGGAGTTTCCCATTGATCTTCTTGATTTTGAACGGAAGCGGATCTTCGATGAGAAAGGCGATTTGAGCCGTACTGAAGCCCGAGAATACACTATGGAAGACTGGTGATATCGATGGGAGGAGGATGAACGAAGAAGATGGACGGTGAGACTCATTGGAGATCTCCAAAGTTGGGTTGAGCGAGAGATGGGTAGACTTCTATCTGACTCAACTGTTCACCGAACACAGCTGTTTCGAGCCTACCTTCACAAGATGAGGAAGTTGGAGCCCAGAATGTCGGTATCATGACTCCAACTATGATGATGTAGGCCCTACAACATACCTTTTTCCACTGTATGTGGTGGGAAATCCTCAGAAGGAACCACAAAACGGTGGTTGGACCGGTTTGGCCAGACACACTCGTCCAACTGATGTTATCCAGTCCTTAATTGTGGAACGCTGTTTTTGCATTTTCCAGGGGAGTGCTAAAAGTGAGAATAGAACTGAACAGCTGTGATGCACTTGTGCAGCTGAACCATAAATATAAACGAATAAAAGTGACTATTGAAATTTTGTACAGTAGGATTCTTATTTGACTAGAATAATTGACAATTTAATAATACCAGATGAGTCATAAAAAATGTATAATAACCCAACCTTACATAACCGCCGCAGTGGGCTGTAAGGGTGGCTTCCGTATAATGCCTAAGTACCCTAAACATTAACCACAACATTAACATTAACGAGACAATAAAAATAATAAATGGTTTGTAAAGTGATCCCTAGTAGTCTGTTCCCATGGCTTGACTGCAGTTTTGTTCCCAAGGGGCAGTTTCCTTCAGGTGCTGAAGGACATAAAATTTCATTCCAGAGGAAGTCTTTAAAGTTCCGTTATAATCCATCGAAGTCACACATTCAAACAAATAACAAACAAACGGACGAACACAATAAATAAACTGTTGTAATGTTTATTTATTATTTTTGTCTGAAATTTGTTTGTGTGACTTTGATGAATTTTTTAACTTTGAAGACATCCTCTGAAATAAATTTTTATGTCGTTCACAGCCTGAAGAAGTTCCCTTTGGGAAAGAAACTACAGCAGCCAACTGACTACTAGGGATCACTTTGACAGTAGACTATGGGGTATTTAAACCATTATTTATTACTATAGTTGGATTAGTTACTATATTGTTGTATTTATTGTTTTCTCGTAGCTTGTTACTGTTCTGAATTGTATTACATTTGCATCTTGTTAGTTCCTTTAAATTGTATCTTTATCAATCATCTATGTATTGGCGTCAGCCGTTGAAATGATAAATAAATAAATAAATAAATATACCAGTGGCTTAACAGTAAAAATGTTTGAATATAACATATCAGCCACTCAATAAATAAATAATTCAATAAATCAATCGATCCTCTCCTGTTAATACTGACATTGTATTATTTGCAGGTCAGATTTCAAAATGCCACTCTTTGGAAAATCAACTAAAAGCCCTGCAGAAGTTGTGAAGGCTCTAAAAGAAGCAGTCACTGCTCTAGAAAGGGGAGACAAAAAAGCAGAAAAGGTTTGTTGAACGTTTAAACATGTAGTTCTTTTAAAATGTGTGCTTAAAGGATCAAATCAGGATCTTAGAAAGTGTACCAATGTTTTTCTTAGAAATTATGTCTGTTGCGGCCATTTACGCTGCAACATTGTGCAAGTACGTGACTTGCAGATACTGTGATAAGTTAGCCATCCAAACCATTACAGTCCGAACCAACCAAAGTCCAACCGAGTATGAATTTTCCAAAAATTCTGAGCTAGCAGTAGTTAAATTAAAACAAATTATCCTCAAAACAATATAAAACTAGATTTTTTAGGAGCGAATTGTTAAAATTTTTGAACTCAGATTGTAGCACATGTTATAGTTTTCATCCGTTTTTGTTGATTTGTACTTGCAATTTAGTTGTTTAGTAATATTAGATACTCTTGTGTCTGATACACCAGCCTTAAAGCCTTACAGGGTTAAAATTCAGTCTGGAACTAAATTGAAATCATGATAGTTTTTTACTCTTAAAGTGTTTGGGTGGGTTGCTAGGTGTAGTAGTCTATTCAGTGTGATAAGCTCCATATTTATATCCTCTTTTGTTATAGGCCCAGGAGGATGTGAGCAAGAACCTGGTGCTCATCAAGAACATGTTGTATGGTACCAACGATGCTGAGCCACAGACTGACATCATTGTGGCTCAGTTGGCCCAGGAGTTGTACAATAGTAACTTGTTGCTGATGCTCATTCAAAATCTCAGTCGAATCGATTTTGAGGTTAGTCCTATTTTTCTATTAATTGAGTATTTTTTATTTTGAAAAGAGTTGTTTAGCCTCCGTATTACTATAAAATGGTTTACAATACCTGCAAATAGTAATCCTTGATTGCTGTAGTGGCAACTAGGTTTGGTCTAACCTAACACCTAACCTAACCTAGGTTTGGTAGTAAAGTCTAGACTTTACTTCAGCCTCATGTTCGCTTTTGTCAATGTCCCTTAATTTATTTTGTGTTTTTTTTAAAGTGTGTCTGATTTATGTTTCCTTGTTTCGTGTGTGTGTGTGAGTTACTTATTAAAATCCTGCTGACAACCTCCAAATAAAGTGATTACTTGACACTTTGTAGGCTTGATGATGGTTCAGATTAAGAACCAGAACTAGTGGCCACTACAGCAACCAAGAATTACTATATTCAGACATTGTAAAAGATTTGTTATTTTGAGTATTTTTACTTGCAGTTTATGTTGTTACTTACTATAAATAACAAATTTAGGTTTTAGTTATCTGTGTTAGTGTTGTATTAATCTGTTGTAGTTTAATTTAACTATATCTGCTTTATGCTTGGAAAGATTGAGTACTTTTCTGATTAGAGAATGTCAGTTCAATGTGAACTGTAGGTTTACACTTAACTAATTACAATGGATTCATCCTATAATTACAATTAAAGCCACCATTTGTTAAATCTGTTAATCCAAAAGCCAACACATTCTTGTCATTTTGAATATTGCTCCTGTTTTGTGTAAACATGTAGGTAATGAAATTGTACATGAATAAATGCTTATTCTTAGGTTATCTTAATGATAACAGCTGTTAAGAAATTACATTTATGGAATTTTTTCAGGGTAAAAAAGACGTGGCACAGGTGTACAACAACATTCTACGACGGCAGATTGGAACCAGGTCCCCTACAGTGGAGTACATCTGCACCAAACCGGAGATTCTTTTCACCCTCATGAACGGGTAGCTCTTGAATTAGATTTCATATTGATAAATTATTTTTATTATTAAATGGTATTATTGTATTATTACTAAATTATCGCTGTCAAAGCTAAGTCCAGCCCAAGTTATCATTTAGGGTTCAAGTTAATCATTTTTTCCAAATATTCTAAGCCCTTGCTTGCTATAAGTAGACACTATACTTATATGATTTGATCTTCCAAAAAAATAATTTTCATATAATTTTAAATCATTTATAACAGATACGAACACCAAGACATTGCTCTCAACTGCGGTACGATGCTGAGAGAATGTGCAAGATATGAAGCTCTTGCGAAAATCATGCTTTATTCTGACGACTTTTTCAACTTCTTCCGATACGTTGAAGTCTCTACCTTTGATATTGCCTCAGATGCTTTCTCCACTTTCAAGGTGAATTTACTTAAGGCTTGCTTACAGTAGTCGCAGCTAGTCTGGCCGCGCGGCTGCGCTAGGGCGGGGGGTGTAGAGGGTAGTGTTAATTGCTCATTACCAAAAACATCTGGCCCACACGGCTCTCTGGGGTTGTTCGAGAGCGCTGTCTTCATGGCTTTGGCGTGGGGAACGGTTAGTACACAAGGGTCCGCGCGCCCAGACTAGCTGCGACTACTGTACTTATGAAGGTTTGACTTGTAACTGATACTTGCTGTCACATTTAGTCATAGGATTAAGTATAACTACAAATTAGTTGAAACACTTTATGTTACCAGTAACTAGAGGTGTGCGGATAGTGAAATTTCATTTCGGATCGGATCGGATATTGGGAGGTTCGGATTCGGATATTTTCGGATTCGGATAGTTCGGCGCAGTTAATAATAAGCTGCATATGCATTTTTAACCTATAAAGCATACACTGTAAAGCTGTGTAAATAAACTTAAATGACGATTTTGAATTATAGAGTTTCAAATTAGCCACGTCCACAGTTTTCTCTCTCTTGAAAATCACAATTCACAACATTATTTTCAAAAGTTGGTTGCTTGAATTAAGTACACTAGCAGCCGAAATCTTCACACAACACTTTAGCTCAGCAGGACTGATGTCAAAACGTTTGGGCTTGTTTACTTGAGGTTATGTTTTATGTTGTTTCCTGGTTCTCACAAGACAAGGATTTCTATCTCAAGTTTACAGTAGAACCTATTTAATCCGAACTATTTTCAACTAATTTCAGTATTTTCACATTGTATTTCTTACGTTTTTGGAACGGATTATTGGCCTTAAGTGGCATTCTTGGGGTTTGCCAAGTAGCCTATAGAAAACATCACTAATGCACTAAGCTGGGCTCTAGATTTGATAATGTGGCAAGTTAATCAGGGCAATTAAGCTTTAAAACTCTGTGAAATGTGTGTATCCCTGAATTTATAAATTTCATTCAACACTTTCACTGCCAAACATAATTCAGTAGAACCTTGATGAACCGAGAATTACACTAGCCTACAGCTTCATTGCCCCAAGTAAAATACCAAGATAATTTTTAAAATTGTATTTGAATAGTATAATCTTAGTTTGTTAAAAATGGATTGTATATTCAACAATTATTGCAGTCCATTATTGTTGTGCAGTATAGTCCGAAATTATTGTTTTTGATTTTTAACATCACAGTTCATTTGAAAAATTAAAGTTGAAGCAGCCCAATGTCAAGTCACGATTGTGCAATAGTTTTTTACAAACTTTCTCCAGACCACTGGGGAGGGTCGGGTCTGATAAACCGTCTATTGTCTACCCCCAAGACGGTTCAACCCTTATTAGTGCCGCTCGGCTGCACTCAGTGGGGAACCCAATACCATAAATACAAATCAATCTTTTAAATGAATAAAAATATTTGGTAATAATTGTTTTATTGGTATTCACCTTGAAATTTCAATAAATTTTGTGTAAAATTTGACAAAAATCGGCCAATTTATTAATACAGTACCAATAAAGTACATTGGTAATTAAATAATAGGTATAAATTAACCGATTTTCATCAAGTTTTACCCCCTGCTGTGCGCTATGTCACAACAGCTGATAACGACATGGGTGATTAGTAACCATGGCAACTAGGCAACTTGTTGAATGCGTGATGAAGGGAAACCCAAGAAATAGAAGAACAAAGAGAAAGTATAATGACATTGTTATCTTTATACCCTTTTTACAATTGCTGTTATTGTTATTATCTTTATGTAAGATTTTATGATTTTGTTTTATAGGTTTATAAAATAATTCTTTTTAACCACGGGAATATCAATTTATAGTTTATCAACGTGCTTCTCTTCTGAAACAGCAATACCGGATGCATAATAAAGGTCAATAACCTTAAATATCATGATTGTGCAATATTGTATTTTGATGTTGAAATTAAAATCATGACAAAAGTTTGTATATTTCCCCTGGTCCCTATCATTTAATCATTCAATATACACAATCAATGCTAAAATCGTGGTTAGTTCTAATTTTATTTTCGATTATTCATAGTTTCTACACAATAAGACAATACAAAGTCAAACCGGGCAATGAATAGATACCCGAAAAATAACGTATCTTGTCCTGTGATTGGAATACCACTCGCCAGTCCTTTAGATTTAGGGAAGTAGTGCTGGTCTATATATAGCTTCAAGGCCCATATTATTTTTTTTTAATTTCAAATTGATTTTTTGTGCTTATTTTTGAGCCTATTTTAATTTATGAAGGGATTATGCACATCTACAGGAAATATATCTTTCTAACAGTACGTGTAGATTTTCCCTGTGATGCACACAAGCTGGGGAAAAAAGGTTTTAAAGAAACATGCTTACCTATTAATATATAGATTATTTTACTTATTTACTGAAACAAAGGCTAATTAATTATTAGTTGATTGCTAGATTTGGAATGTCCATGAAGAACATGATGATTCAATGAAACATAATTGAGCAAATGACAAGAGCTGTAATGAGCATTTTAAAATTAAATTTAACCTAATTTTAGTGTTGTCCATCTAACGTTTCACTTGGATAATTCCATTAGTCAGCTAACCCTACATCATACATAGACTTGACAATATTTTTATGTACCAATATGATAAGATGTATAAACTAAATTCTGTTGGTTTATCCATTCATTTTAGGGATGTCAGAAATAAAAATTGATTGTTGAATTGATTTCAAAGGGCTAAAATGTTTGTTTTGATTGTGGACCTCTGCTCATGTTGATTATTTTGTCCCAGGAACTGCTTACAAGACACAAGATGCTATGTGCAGAGTTCCTCGAGCTCAACTACGACAAGGTCAGTGGAATATGTTTGTACCAAAAACACATTATGAAAACAGCGGGATTGTCTTACTGATAAAAAATAATCGAAAATTCATATAGGTAAACTGAAGCAGAATGTTTGGAACTACTAGCGCCTTAAACAAAGACTCCAAGAGTCTGTGAGAAAACATATTTTTTACAACTGAAAAAGGAGCTAGTTGTTTATAAAATACTATGTTCCATGTGTTTATATGTACAATGTACTTAAAAGTATTTAACTCAGCTACAGTGGACCCCTCTTAACCAACCTCGCTTTAACCAATAATCGGATTATCCACCTTGGCTTGTAAAATATTACAGTTGGTTTTAACTGACCTTGTTTTGAGAGCAGTTCAACTTAACCGCTGCTTTCTAGGAATCTCGGCATTTCCGCTCACACGCTCGGTGATGGGAACTATGCGCTTTACTTTACCTGATGTTACTGTATAAATAAACATTGTGTCTTGTAAAAAAATGGTTGCTTGCATCTTTTAATTTTGACAATAGGTTCTGCACTTAACTTACAGGAAGGAAATTCATTTTTTTTTAATCTACAACTCTTACACAATTTTTTAATACAACTCTCGCGATTTTCGAGGAATTTGTCATAGCGTGGTACAAGATTTTAGTTTACCCTCCTCGTAGAATGTTGCTGCCTGTGTAGTTAACCATGAGGTAACACGTTCTTTCAGCTCTTCATTGCAGTTTAACCGCTGACGCCAAGAAAAGACTTCAGATTGCAAAACAAATGAAAATCGCTTGGAGCAAGGTCAGGGCTGTACGGAGGATGGTCAGATACGTCCCAGGCAAAGCCCTGGAGAAGTGTCTTTGTCACAAATGTGGTGTGTAGTTGAGCATTGTCATGATTGAAAACCATTCCTATCGTTAGCATTCCTCGGCGCTTATTCCGTATTGCGCGACTCAGTTTCCCGAGTGTCATGCAATAAACATCTTTATTTATTGTTTGGCCTGGTGGCAAAAAAAAGCAATAAGAAAAATGCCTTTTCTGTAGGCTACCAGAAAATTGTGCACATGACCTTTTGAGGCATCAAGATTTGCTTTGGGTTGATTGTGCCTCCATTCCATTGATTGACGTTTGGTTTCAGGGGTATCATAAGCAACCCAAGCTTCATCTCCCTTGACTATCTGCCATAAAAATGTATCGCCATCCTCAGGCCCACTTTTATAAACGGGCAGACTGGGCATATGCCTAGGGGCGCCGGTGGTTTGGGGGCACCCAGCGGGCGCCCTCAAACCATCACCCACCAGCACTAGAAAAAAGGGGGCGCTACTCTTGGGTTTGCCCATGGCTCCACTGACCCTTAATGCGGCCCTGGCCATCCTTGTCATAGCGAGTAAAAAAATCAGGTGCCCTGCCTATTTGATGGTTTTTGTCCCGTTCAGAAAGGGTTTTAGGCACCCACCGTGCGCAAAGTTTACAAAAGTCAAGTGTCTGGGGACATCAAAACGAAAAAGTAAATCGGTCCCAGGCCTAGGTCTTACCATGCCACCTACATTAATATTAATAGCTACTTCTCTATAGTGAAATTCGCTAAAACACAACTTTTTTCCTCTGCACAACTTTGCACCTCCCCTGCAGCAGCAAAGATTACTTTTAAACTATGCATCTGTAGCTATGCGTTTCTGTGTAGTATTAGTGTGATAATATTCATGATTGACTTGCTGATGATTGATGACTGAATTGGTGTTGACTCCTTCAGGTGTTTTCGCACTACCAGCGACTCCTCAACTCTGAGAACTACGTCACTCGGAGGCAGTCGCTGAAGCTCCTCGGCGAACTGTTGCTTGACAGACACAACTTTACAGTAAGCAGATATTTATGTTGTAATTTATACATTATTTAATACATTATTTAATGATAAGGAGATACTTTAACGCTTTGCAGTCGGTTTGGCAGCCCCACTGGCCTATTCCTTGATGCAATTTGTAGAAAAATGGTCTACACATTAGCTGTCCAGTGTCAATATGTGGTTGCCTTTCTTTAAGCTTTATCTGGCTAGCCATCACAACAGCTTCATCAAAGATTTAGGCATATTTTTTCACCTAATATTTAGAAAAAATAAAATAAAATTCAATGTAAAAATATAAACTTTAGCTTGGTTTTATTTATGAAGTAATGTGTTTAAATGGTGATAACGATATTTCGTATTCTGATCAAGTGAGTAGAATGACTTTTTTCCTGCTTGGTTTATTACTTTGTAAATCCAAGTGGTTGCGGTAAGCGCAGTGCTGTATGGCCAGTGACATTGTGATTGTTCTCCTGCTCTGCCATCCTGTCAATATTTCTCTGTGTTTCTGACTTTGTCCATTTACATTGAACTGTCATTATATTTATATTGGAGCAAAATCAATGGATACTCTGTTGGTTTAATCGATTATTTTATAGTAGAATAGATTACAGAATAGGACTGGCCTTTGAAGAAGTAGGGGATGCAACGTTGCCACATCATTCTTGCCTGGTGAGCTGACTTTCACATTAGAGCCTGGCATCCCTCTGCCTCTAATCTCCCACTTGTATTGTAGTTCAACACTACAAATTAATATAGTAATTTTTATCTTGGTGGTATCGGTTAGTGTTGTTAAATTTTTATATCGTATGGAACATAAAATTCATCCCATACATCATAATGGTTTGATTGTTTGCATAGTTATCTTCAAAATGGTTTAAACAGCCCTCAGATTTAGTTTTTGAAAAATATATAAACATTAAATGAAAATAAATACATAGTGAAAATATATCTACTCGTCCACATCGCGTACTATTGTATTCATTGCGGGGAATACAGCTTGCAGGCGATTTATTGACAAAACAAGGGGATTCAATCGAAACGCACAGGTCGGCTGACGGGCAGAGACTGAGCTTGTGGCACACCTTGGCAACAGTTTCTGAAAGCTGATTGGATGCCGCTTGCCTTCGCCTACCCGACTCAAACTGGTTTTGGTCCTATTTGATAATTTATTCGATTATAGTTAAATGGTTTTATTGGTGTGTTTGGTGCCATGAATAAGATGGTTTTTCGTAAATTGAATTCATTCTGCAAATGGTTGCCTGATTTTATTTATGAGTTGTTTTTTACGACAACATTATTTACTTACTCACCTCTTTGTTTACCTCTACTTGCACACTTTCTTAAATACTAAAAGTGACTCAATGTATTTTTTTTTTTTCATTTGAGATAGAATCAAAATATTTATAATACTGAGAAAATAAAAGAAAATAGAGACAAAATATGATATTTGTTGTAATAAATTGCCTAAACTTGGGTCCTTGAACACTAAAATATCCATATCAGGTATTCCATGCCCCCTAACCCCCTAGTAAGTTTGTGGCAATAGTTATTTGTGCAACTAGTGAGAAAAGTGAGCAATTGACTCACTCGAGAGAAATCCTTACTCACAAGCCGTAGGCGACTGAGGAATGGTTTCTCGAGTGAGGCAATTGTACTTTGAACTCGAGTTGCACATTATACTTTTCCTACAGTTACCATAAAACAAATAAATTGGTGAAGAAACATAACCTATTTTTACACAGAAGTGAACTTTTAATATAACATTTAACGTGAAGTGACAAATACAACAGTACAACAGCTGACCAGCTGATTTACAGCCAGTGCTGCCAACGTATTTCGCGCGCATACGACGTTGCCTGCATGTTAACGCGCTCACTATTTCGTGCCGTCACGTTGCAAATCTGGAGTGAGACAAAGTAATTAGAGTGAGACAATGTTAACATTGTCTCACTGATGAGCGAATTGGCCACTTTACTTTCTCAAATCAGTGAGAGAACATGTACATTGTTAGGTAACTACAGGAAAAACATTGAATAATTCATGCACCCCCCCCCCCCCCCAAACAATTAAACATTTAACTCCATCTCCATCCATTAGTTTCTTTCACCAGCTTGAAACTTTCTCTGTTGGAATCACTTAAGAGGAGACGTAGATAAACATAATGTTTACCATCAAACCATGTGAATGTTGGATTCCTGTGTTTTTGTTTAATCACTAGAAAATCATTGTTCTGTTCATAGGTAATGACAAAGTACATTTCTAACCCAGACAATCTCAAATTGATGATGAACATGCTGAAGGAGAAGTCAAGAAATATCCAGTTTGAAGCTTTCCACGTCTTTAAGGTAAGTACTATTGTAGGTCACTAAAAGCACAGAAACTTAAATTACATTAGCATTCCGCCATTCCAAATTAACTGGGACCAATCCCTTTTCAGATTACCAGTTCAGAATTTGAGCAACTTTTCTAAATAAATACCAGTAGAACCTCGAGTATGCAGCCATAACACCAGAGAAGATGACAATTTTGCTGCAACATTTAAGTGTATTGATTGCTTTTCTGATGTTCAGGCATATATAACTAATTTTGCCAATGTTTGTGGTTGTTTTAATACCTTCCCCGCAGATTTTCAGGATCTGTATGTTACAAACAAGGAAGTACTTCGAACTAATACATTGGAAACCAATACAGCAGCTTTATGAGCAATGATTGCAATTTACAATACCCCCGCCGCAGCAAACCTGCAGACTAAGCGAATTTCCATTTGACTGATTGGATTTACACTGAACTGTCTACTTAAAAATATAGCATTTATTCCCGATTTAAATAGAATTAGTTTAACAAGTACTTAGGTTTGCTGCATCAGGGAGGGTAAAACTGTTTTTTTTTTGTAAAATGTTAATAGTTAGTAAGAAATAAAAACATTTTCCAAATTTGATCAAAATATGTTCATAAACAAGCAAACTACAACAGTTTACTCATTCTCCATAAGAATAACATGGGAATTTTAAATTTACAATTTTTTGGAATTTTCTCCGTAACCATTAGGCGCATAATAACGCTTCAATATACTAAATTATTTGTTTTTTTAAGCTCTAAAAAATGGTTTGGAAATAAATTGCTAAATTTTATGTTTTTTGGGTCAAAAATGGGAAAAACCTATTTTTACCCCATAAAACCCCCCGTAAACACCCGTTCCCATGGTCCGATCATGCTGGATCGCGAACTCGTTTGAATAAACGTAGGTTTACACGTTTGTACCAAATTTCATCAAAATCGGATCATTTTTGCTCGAGTTATCGTGCTGACGGACACATATATATATATATATATATATATATATATATAAATATATATATATATATATGAATTTGAACAGATGGTGTTTTTGGCCTCTAGGGACCTCAAAACGAAAAAAAAAATCGGTCCCGCGTCCAGGTCTTACCATGAGTACTACGGTAATAGCTTATTCCCTATATGGGAAATTCGCTAAAATGTAACAAAGTTGCAAAGCCAATATAGAAAAGCCTTATATTGTGTCCATGGTGGTCTAAATGCTATGCAGGATGATGAATAAGCTTAGTTTTCAAATTTAGTTTGATTTGCTAAAATATCAATCATCCCTCCATAGACTCATAAACCACCAGGTATATTGGAAATGTTTGCTAATTAATTTAGTAGAGTGACCAGATAATTGGTGCTTTTATGACACTGCTTACCTGCACTCTGCAGTTGTGCTTTGACTTTGACCGTGGTATATCACGCTTCCTACACTACACATGTGATTATTTACTGCGCAGGATACACAGCTTTATGAACTAAGCCATCTAGCTTTGTTAAGCTCGATTCAATTTGATAAAATATTGATTTTTCTGTGAACTCATAAATTACAAATAAATAATTAGTTTTTAGACATAAAACATTTCCCTAGTCAGAAATAATTCTTTTAATCAATATTTTTCCAGGTTTTCGTCGCAAACCCGAACAAACCCAAGCCCATCCTGGACATTTTGCTGAGAAACCAAGACAAGCTAGTAGAGTTCCTAACACGCTTCCACACAGACCGTTCTGATGATGAACAGTTCAATGATGAGAAGGCCTACTTGATCAAACAAATCAAGGAGTTGAAGCCTCTGCCAGAACACTAACATTAGGTAAGTCACTAATACACTTCCACATACACCGTTCTGATGATGAACAGGTTAATGATGAGAAGGCCTACTTGATCAAAAAAATCACCTCTGCCAGAACACTAACATTAGATAAGTCATCAACACTTTCCCACACAGGCCATTCTGATGAAGAACAGTTCAGTGATGAGAAGGCCTACTTGATCAAACAAATCGCCTCTGCCAGAACACTAACATTAGATAAGTCATCAACACTTTCCCACACAGGCCATTCTGATGAAGAACAGTTCAGTGATGAGAAGGCCTACTTGATCGAACAAATCAAGGTGATGAAGCCACTGCCTGAACACTTACATTAGGTAAGTCATTAATGTTCCATAGATGCCATTCTGATGAAGAACAGTTGAATGATGAGAAGGCCTACTTGATCAAACAAATCAAGGAGTTGAAGCCTCTGCCAGAACACTAACATTAGGTAAGTCACTAACACACTTCCACATACACTGTTCTGATGAAGAACGGTTCAATGATGAGAAGGCCTACTTGATCAAACAAATCAAGGAGTTGAAGCCTCTGCCAGAACACTAACATTAGGTAAGTCACTAACACACTTCCACATACACTGTTCTGACGAAGAACGGTTCAATGATGAGAAGGCCTACTTGATCGAACAAATCAAGGAGTTGAAGCCTCTGCCAGAACACTAACATTAGGTAAGTCACTAACACACTTCCACATACACTGTTCTGATGAAGAACGGTTCAATGATGAGAAGGCCTACTTGATCAAACAAATCAAGGAGTTGAAGCCTCTGCCAGAACACTAACATTAGGTAAGTCACTAACACACTTCCACATACACTGTTCTGATGAAGAACGGTTCAATGATGAGAAGGCCTACTTGATCAAACAAATCAAGGAGTTGAAGCCTCTGCCAGAACACTAACATTAGGTAAGTCACTAACACACTTCCACATACACTGTTCTGATGAAGAACGGTTCAATGATGAGAAGGCCTACTTGATCAAACAAATCAAGGAGTTGAAGCCTCTGCCAGAACACTAACATTAGGTAAGTCACTAACACACTTCCACATACACTGTTCTGATGAAGAACGGTTCAATGATGAGAAGGCCTACTTGATCGAACAAATCAAGGAGTTGAAGCCTCTGCCAGAACACTAACATTAGGTAAGTCACTAACACACTTCCACATACACTGTTCTGATGAAGAACGGTTCAATGATGAGAAGGCCTACTTGATCAAACATAATGCGGCTCACCCAAGTGCAATGTCAGGCAGCATTCAGGGTATCATCCACCTACCAAACAGTGTCCGAACCCGCTGTCTTAGTGGTTGCTGGAGTAATCCCATCAAACTTTTGGCGGCGGAGAGGAAAGCAATTTATCAGCTTCGTGGGGAGGACCATGCAAAAACAGAGGAGGGCACCCGCACCTACCAGCTCTGGCAGGAGAGCTGGGAACAGGAGACGCGGGTACGCTTGACCAGGAGACTGATTCAGCAAGTCCAGTAATGAGTTGACCGACGGTATGGTATATAATATGTGGGCTTAAGTCTTAAAACAAAAAAGCCTTATTGTTTACAAAGTTTCATGTATTGTATGGATAATATAGATTTGTCTGTTCCAGGTTGCGTTTGTGTAAGGCCGCCGCCCTCTTGTACAGTATTGCACATGTATAGTCACCACCTTCCCTCATCAGGAGTGTTACTTCTTTTTAAATTCCTTTTTGTTTCAAATAATCCAATATGATATATAGTAAAAATAGGATGATTTAACCTTTGAGGTAAGTCCGTTAATAAAATTGTTTTAGTAAATATTAGATTTAGTTATATTTTATTTATATTAAACTCCTCGGTTTTATCTATATGAATTTTTGGTGAAATCCCAACTTTGATTGTATATAGTTAAAGGTGTTGTAAAGCTGTTGATAGAAAGGTTTTGTTTTAATTATACTTTTCACAACCAAACGATTAATTTTAACATTTTGTGTTAACATTTAGACCGAGCTTGAAGGAGTTACACCTTCTCTAAGAAGTTTATTTCTGTTATTTTTTTATGTATATAGTCCAGGATGGGATGGTGGTTTAATCAGCCGTCTCAATCACCTATACTGTTCCTGGTGCTGCTAAATTTGGTTTATGTTATGGAAAAAGTTATAAGTGTAAATACTGTCGATGTTCACTTCATGAATAGTTATGTAAAGCGATCACTGATTTTATGTAATTTTATCAAGTGAATTATCTTTTATTTGTTAGCTGCTAATTGAATCCTATTTTTTAGTAATAATTTACTAGGAAATTGTTTCCTGTTTTCTATGTTGTGTTAAGTTTGATTTTAAAACATGATTTTGTTAGATTTGATATCCCACCTGGTAAAGTGTGTGGACAATTGAATAGTAAAAACTTTTCAAGATGTTTGGAGTAAGTTGTGTTAGCGTAAATTCCATAACCTGATGAAATAATTAACGTCATTAAACATTGAATTTAGTTTGTGTTCACAACAAATAATATTTTAGTAGAAACAATGTTAACTATAGATACCAGCAAATAAGTTGTTTTGTATCTAAAGTACGTTATTACTTACTAACTTTAAAGCTAGTGCAAGTCCGAAACATTCTAACATAATACGAGATAAATATGCACAATTCTTTGTGAAACCATTTAAGCTACAAACTATTTCAATGTAACGTTTCTGAATTTTTCACTGTTTCTATCAATTTTAAACTTTTCTAACGTATTTTGCTTTGTAAGCACACACCTTTTTGTTGTATAAATGTTAGTCTCTGGATTCTCTTCATGTGACTGTTTCATAAAATATTATAACAAGGGAAAAACTTATGTTAAAATAATTAAGAATATCCTTGTTCAAAATAATTATTTCAATGTATTCTGTAACATATGTAAAGGCTCAATAGTAAAAGGCTATTAAGCAACTGATGTATTACTTTGGAAAATGAATATAAAGGTTCAATAAATGTTGAAGAAATCACCAATTGTTTTTAAACCTAGATTTTTACTTATGCATGCTCGACAGTGCCTTTCCTCCATTTTGTAAAGCCATTATATTTTTGTTATAAATACTTACTGTTAGGCCCAGCGCACACGGTGTGACTGTTTTACAACAACTGTTGCAAACCAATTGCATCTGAAACCAGTTTGCGACTGAAACAAAACTTCTGTCCGCACACAGTGTGACTGGTTAACAACTACAGTTGTGTCTATTGTGCAATTACTGGAGTGTCAATTTAGTGCAGTTAGGTTGTTTTAAGGCCTTAATTGTGCTTACTACGTCAGACTCAGACGAAGAAGACGTTATTAGCTATTATCAATACGGAAGACAGCGATGGGTACTGAGAGAGCATTGGGTTCACCCTTATTTGAGTAAGAATGTTAGTACTAGGCTGTTTGTAGCAGCTCGAGCTAGTCGGATAGGAAATTAAACACTAAAAACACTCTACGACTGTTAAAATACCACCAAACACCCCGTGGTCTCATGCAACTGAAGTCTGCAACGTCGGGCCCACGATTGTATGTGACTGGTTTCAAACATATTTTGAAATCGCATACAACCAGTTACGTCGTGTGCGCTTCCCCACTGCAATAAATTGCCGAGGTCACAAAACAGTTGCACACGCAACCCAATGCTCTCTCAGTACCCTTCGCTGTCTTCGGTACTGATAATAGCTAACAACGTCTTATTCGTCTGAGTCTGACATATTAAGTGCACTTAAGGCCTTAAAACAACGTAACAGCACTAAATTGACACTCCTCTGATTGCACAAAAGATGCAACTGTAGTTGTAAAACAGTCATACTGTGTGCGGACAGAAGCTTTGTTTCAGTTGCAAACTGGTTTTAGACGCAACTGGTTTGCAACAGTTGTTGTAAAACAGTCACACCGTGTGCGCTGGGCCTTACCATACTTCATAATGTCAAATTTTGAATCATAAGATCTATTTAATTTTTGTATTTAGAGAATATTGCAATGTATAGAGAGTTTTTATTAAATAGGGGTTTGGAGGAAAAAGCACTTTTCTCAAGAATACATTATGGAGTTATGAATGGATACACAACTAACTGACATAGTAAGTTTCTAGTCTTTTCTGATTTTATAAAAGAAAAGTAGGAAGTAGAAGTAAGGAGATAGAAAGAATATTTTTCAATGTTGGTTTCTCTGTCCCATGAATATGACAGTTCCTTAGTTTTGATTAGACCTCAAAATTTCACAAACACATGATAATCCTACAAACAAAACAGTTTATTATCAAAGATCTCGCACAAATACCAATGGTTCACAAAAAAAAAGAAAAGATTCACCAATGATTTTAGGATCTGTCCCAATATACAGATTCTCAATCCTAAGACCCAGGAACAAGAAACTAAATGAGGGCTTATTATAGCTGCGCTGGTGCTGCCTATACATGTATAAATGATTCCATAAACATTACTTACTTAGGTTCTATTCAGTTTTAAATATTTTTACAAGCTGCTGTACCCATGCTTTGCACAGGAGAAAAGAATAATGCTGTTCTTTAGCTTCTAAAATAGTTTCTTAGTCCGAAATAATTCAAACAACTACTATTTATTTTATAAAAAATAACTTATTTTACCTCTTGGGTGTGGAAAAATTCTTTTCTTTGAATTCAGATACAGGGTTTAAATTCTCTAGAGAACCAAGCACAGAAAAGAGATTTTTTTATGTCCTACTTTCACATCCTAGGACGCTAGGTTCTAGCCCCGAACTGTTTTACACATTACTTGAGGCTAATCCCAGAGGATTGTGGCATCATTACATACTGGAGGTTTTGAACCGGGGATCTCGGGATCTGAAGCCCTGCGCTCTGCTACTAGAGAGGCTTGCTGTCCACAGTAGGCTACATAAGTAGCCCTCAGAGAGGCTTGCTCTCCACAGTAGGCTACATAAGTAGCCCTCAGAGAGGCTTGCTCTCCACAGTAGGCTACATAAGTAGCCCTCAGAGAGGCTTGCTCTCCACAGTAGGCTACATAAGTAGCCCTCAGAGAGGCTTGCTTCCCTCAGTAGGCTACATAAGTAGACCTCTTTGTGTGTTAAAAAATACCTTAACTCAATGTTTTAGTTAAAAAATAAAAACTTATTTAAAACTGTAGACCTTTAACACACCACTACACCCTTTGAAATGTTTCCTTAAGAGTCCTTGGAGCCTAGACATCCTAAACTCCTAAAACAATTACATAATTTAAAAATTCGTAATTTCACAGTATACTAGATTACTAGATACCGTATTTAAACTACAATCACTCTGGTGTTTAAAAAATATTTTTGGACGATAAGTAACTCTTCAGTGGCTGTTTGAAATTAACATTGCTCTTGAACAGGCAAATCTAAGATGGCCGTTAGCTTCCATGGGCTGGCTCCCCTGGCGCCCTGGAGAACAATTCAAAACTAAAATAACACCTCTTCAGGCGTAATACCTAAGAACGTATTGTATAGGTAGTGTTTGAAAGACTAATTATTTATATGATTTATAGTGACTGTAGGAAAAATATAATGTGTACTGTATCACCATCTCAAATGGCATTTGACGCATAACTCGAGAAACATTCCGCACTCGCCTGCGGCTCGTGTGTAAACATTTATCTAGTGTGCAGCAAAGTGCCACCAAATGCTCCAAAGAAAGTGCTTACTAGTAACACAAATAACTATTGAGTCGCGCGTGTATTGAGTCAGACGGGACCAGTGCAGCTATAAAGCCCTCGATCACCATATTTTTGTCCCGGTGTTGAGGATAGGTGAATCTAAGAGTGGACCCTTGAACCTTTGGTGAATCTGTATGAGGCCGATACTCCACCATACCTCAACCGTTTCCAGTTTCAACTGTACTCACTTCTCAGGTCCGGTTGAGCTAATAACGTTACCAGCTGCAGCTGAGGACCTGTCATAGTCTCCTCCTCTGAGGAACACACCACAAAGGTACGCGGTCACTCTGGAGGGTCATAGAGACTGGATTACAGAACTACATCTTGAGTCCCGGTTTCATTCGCCTTGAACACTCAGTATAGTCCAGGACCTGACTAGGGTTCTGTGTGCATGTCGTGTATAGAGAATTTTGCTTTTGCATTTCAATATAGGTGTCTTAGGAAGTGTTTTCCACTCGGGTGTCAAGTTCGCACCTGGTACGTTTTCGAGCTATGACGTCATCAAAATGGCGGCCATTGATTTTTTTAAATCGTATATTTCGCAAACTATTTGTCGGATTGGAATGATTTTTTTTTTGTTTGAAAGATAATTTTAAATGCTACCTGTTTTACATTTACACACTTGTTGTATGTTTAGTACATTCTTCGTAATTTTGCAAAAACCTGTATTTTTAAATATTTTTGAGTTATTTTTCTTTGTAACGTTTTATTGATACAATTTATAAAAAAACACCAATGAAAAAAGTTGTAGAACATTTAAAAATCTTTACAAAAATACCAAATTCGATATGTTTTACTCAAAAGATTACGTCAAGAAACTAGATAAATCTCATAAAGACACCAATTTTGGCGCAAAAACGCCTATTAGTCCGGCATCTAGGGCAGTTCGCAAGTCTAATAAAGACAGTTTCACCATTCAATGTTGATGTATGTGTCTAAATAAGTGTTTTCAACTCGGGTGTCACGTCTGCACCCACTGCAGTTTCCGGTTATGACGTCATTAAAATGGCGGAAAGGGCTATATTAAAAATAACTATATATTACATACCATGTATCGGATCGGAATGAACTTTTTTTTGTTTGAAAGATAAGTTTACATGCTATCTTTCTCACATTTGTACTTTTGTTTTATGTTTAGTACATTTTTTGTAATTTTTCAAAAACCTATATTTTTAAACATTTTTGTGTTATTTTTGTCGATAACGTTTTATTGATACAATATATCAGAACTAACTTAAAGTCAAAGTTGTAGCACGTTAAAAGAGCTTTACAAAAATTCCAAATTCGATATGCTTTACTCAAAAGATCACGTCAAGAAACTAGAAAATCGTACAAAACAACCTAATTTTGCGCAAAAACGCATATAAATCCGACATCGATGGCTGTGTACGAGTCATATATAGACAGTTTTACCATTCAATGTTGATGTATGTGTCTAAAGAAGTGTTTTTAACTCGGGTGTCACGTCTGGACCCACTGAAGTTTCCGGTTATGATGTCTTTAAAATTGCTACATGTTACGATTTCACCAGCTATTTCACTTAACACGTTCGCTGCTGACCGCTAGATGCCGGGACGGCGCCAGGAGCTGAACTATACGCTTGTTGCTGCATAAACATTGCTGCCGACACACTGAATTACAGTAAAAACAACAGTAGTTATACTGGATGGCAATGTTCTGCAATAAAACTGGCTTTGGGCATAGTACCAAGCGATTCTGATAGATAGTAGCATTACCCAGGTTGCAGTCGGTAAAGTAGTGTCGCTATCCAGCAGAAAAGAAGTGGGGACAAAGCCCTGTTTTAAACGACCCTGGTGGGGATTTTGGGAAACTATATTTTTTATTGTCAGAAAAGTACGTCCCCACGAGCTGCAAAGAAATATAGGACGCTCGTGACGAGCTGGCTGATCCATGGAAACGTTAAACAACAATGACACAGCGTTGTATATGTACAACGCTAGCTCCTGGCGCCGGGTAGACACGTTGTAAAAATACAACGCCAGCAGCGAACGTGTTAAAATAAGACCATTACCCTCTTTTATGCAAATAAAAGCACAACAAATCAATGTAATTAGTCCATAGGAATGTTTCCACTATATAAATACCCCCGGTGCAGCAATCCTTTCGACTAAGCGAATTTCCATTTGCCTGGATTGATTTTCAATCAATCTATTAAATTAACATTGTTTGAGTTGTTAATTTAATGTTAATTTAATAGATTAATTGAAAATCAATCCAGGCAAATGGAAATTCGCTTAGTCGACAGGATTGCTGCACCGGGGGTATTTATATAGTGGAAACATTCCTATGGACTAATTACATTGATTTGTTGTGCTTTTATTTGCATAAAAGAGGGTAATGGTCTTATTTTAAGTGAAATAGCTGGTGAAATCGTAACATGTAGCAATTTTAAAGACATCATAACCGGAAACTGCAGTGGGTCCAGACGTGACACCCGAGTTAAAAACACTTCTTTAGACACATACATCAACATTGAATGGTAAAACTGTCTATATATGACTCGTACACAGCCATCGATGTCGGATTTATATGCGTTTTTGCGCAAAATTAGGTTGTTTTGTACGATTTTCTAGTTTCTTGACGTGATCTTTTGAGTAAAGCATATCGAATTTGGTATTTTTGTAAAGCTCTTTTAACGTGCTACAACTTTGACTTTAAGTTATTTCTGATATATTGTATCAATAAAACGTTATCGACAAAAATAACACAAAAATGTTTAAAAATATAGGTTTTTGAAAAATTACGAAAAATGTACTAAACATAAAACAAAAGTACAAATGTAAGAAAGATAGCATGTAAACTTATCTTTCAAACAAAAAAAAGTTCATTCCGATCCGATACATGGTATGTAATATATAGTTATTTTTAGGTAATAGGCGTTTTTGCGCCAAAATTGGTGTCTTTATGAGATTTATCTAGTTTCTTGACGTAATCTTTTGAGTAAAACATATCGAATTTGGTATTTTTGTAAAGATTTTTAAATGTTCTACAACTTTTTTCATTGGTGTTTTTTTATAAATTGTATCAATAAAACGTTACAAACAAAAATAACTCAAAAATATTTAAAAATACAGGTTTTTGCAAAATTACGAAGAATGTACTAAACATACAACAAGTGTGTAAATGTAAAACAGGTAGCATTTAAAATTATCTTTAAAACAAAAAAAATTCATTCCGATCCGACAAATAGTTTGCGAAATATACGATTTAAAAAAATCAATGGCCGCCATTTTGATGACGTCATAGCTCGAAAACGTACCAGGTGCGAACTTGACACCCGAGTGGAAAACACTTCCTAAGACACCTATTTTATATTGAAATGCAAAAGCAAAATTCTCTATACACGACATGCACACAGAACCCTAGTCAGGTCCTGGACTAGTAAAGAATAGTAGTTTTATACTATGAACAAGTGTCAAATGTCACTGGAGTTTTCTTCAAATATTGCCAGCAAGATTTCTGGGAAGATTCTAGATAACAACTATATCGTCCTTTGTCAATAATAGGCTATCCCCCAATATTAATGCTTACCACAGTATATAGTGAAGGTATGGATAGCCATTCCTATTGCACCAGTTCCATACTTAGGATTTCCACCTCCGCCATAAAATCCCTGTGAAATGTCTCAGGAGAGTGGAACTCATTAGAGTATTCAAAAAGCTAGAGCACTGTACTTACAATCTTTAGAAAATAGGAACATGGACCAATGAATCTATTGAATGAAGGAGGAGGATCTCTAAATTAAATACATTAAAAGAGTTTTTAATTTTACCAAGATAATAGTAAGTATTTAAAAAAAAGATCTACAGTATTAAAAGTGAACAAATTCACTAGTAATGATCAAACCTTTTTATGGCCTTTTTTCATATTACAGCATGTGTAATCAATGATGAAGAAACCCTGTACAGTAAAATACATTGAAAAGCAAATTTAGACAATAATTTTTAATTTTTTCATACTCTGAACTTTGATTGGGAATTTACTAAAATATGCTATAACAAGCTTAAGAGTTAACATAGAATGTCCACCCCCAGTACTTTACTGTCAACATTGTACATGTACATTCATTTTGTTAAATTTTGTATGGTATTAACATAGACTAACCAACACAAGTTGGGGGAGTATGTTTTATCATAGATAAAACATGGTTAGTCTATGGTTTTATCATAGACTAACCAACAACACAAGTAGACTTCTCATCCCATTGTAAATTTTGAAGCATGTTTTTCGTGTCTAGTTCATGTACGTGACACATGGGCGCTAGTGTCGATGAAACTTTGTTTCTATTATTTTAGGGTTAATTTCTTGATTTGTGCTTTACTGTTTGGTTATATAACTAGGGGACAAGTTATTGTTTATGATTAGATCGTATTATTTGGTTAAACGAGGTTTTAAATGGCTGTAATAACGGGAAACAAATTGTAAACAAAACACGACATCTGCAGAAAACCGTACAGAACTAACAATAACATTGTCTTCAGCTGTTCCATAAGGATGAGAAATCTAGTTTTATCTATGGTATTGGTATTAATGAGTTTTAATGATAGTATCTAAAGTCAATGGCCATGATCGACTTAATGCCGTTATCCTTCTATACAAATCTAAATCCGGTAAACACATTTTGGACGAGTTACGTACGATAGTTTACGGCATACTACTAAATCCGTACAGATCCTTATACAGGGTGATTTGTACTCAGTGTGACAAAATTTTTTTGGCGTAAGTACAAAGTAAATGAAGTGTGATGATGCATATTAAATGTTCCAAGTCTCAAAATTAGCGTCCCAAAAAATTATTTTATGTTTTTCAAAAATAACCATGTTTTTAAACTTAATACAGCGATTTCTCAATTACCTGTATATGGATTTGAGTAGATAATGTCATTTTCGTGTTCTACATTAAATTTTGAACAAGAATAATAGAAAATGACGGAGGATCAGTCGTATAAACTCCATTGTAAATAGATTCAAAGATAAAAATTAAGATGTTTGATAAAAATTTTAAAAAACAATGGTTTATTGCATTTTTCACACCCTGTATACAAGAAAGTGTCAGAATATGTTAAAAACTGCGCCATTTTATAAGCTTTCCAACGATATGCTACACTATTGAGGTTTATGTCTGCTTATGTGCGCTTTAATGGTTTGAAGACTGCAAAGCATGGTGTATTTAACATTTAAAACATAGAAAGTCGGCATGTATTAAGCAAAAGTTGTATTTTTGATTCAGCTTGAACAGTAAAAACAGTAAAAAGTTCCCTGTTTTCTGGTATTCAAACCACTCTTACAAACAAAAAAATATCTAAACCTCAATAACGTAGGTTATGGTTGGAAAGCTTATAAAATGGCGCAGTTTTTAACATATTACGACACTTTCTTGTATACAGGGTGTGAAAAATGCAATAGACCATTGTTTTTTTTAACTTTTTATCAACATTTTAATTTTTATCTTTGAATCTATTTACAATGGAGTTTTTACAACTGATCCTCTGTCATTTTGTATTATTCTTGTTCAAAATTTTATGTAGAACACGAAAATGACATTATCTACTCAAGTCCATATACAGGTAATTGAGAAATCGCTGTATTAAGTTTAAAAGCATGGTTATTTTTGAAAAACATAAAATAATTTTTCGGGATGCTAATTTTGAGACTTGGAACATTTGATATGCATCATCACACTTCATTTACTTTGTACTTACATCAAACAAATTTTGTCACACTGAGTACAAATCACCCTGTATATTTCCACCAACTAAAGGACGAAATATCACTAGTCATAACCTCTAAGAGAGGTTATGTTTTTGTTTATAACAACCACTCACTGCCAACTAAATACAGTATAATCAGCTGATTGGTGTCCGGCAAAACTCATTGCAGAACAGTAGTACGCAATGAAACCCCATTTGAATAAGCTGGTGGCAAACAGCTGTTTTTTGGACTAAATCCTTACGTGGGAAGTTCGTCAAAATAATGTAGTGTGGCGTAAAAATATAAAACACTTGATTCTAACACCTTGACTAACGCAGAAGAGAAACATTTACTGATTAGTAAGCCATACAGTATCATAAAAATTAATTGTAAAATGGAATATTTATTCTATGATTGATTGTGTTTATCAGCTTTTTACGTATACACTGCAATCTTATATTAATAGGCCTACTATTCTGTGTTTTCTCCTAGTCTGTATTTAACTTTGAACTACCTTTTTCTTGTAATGTCACACTGCTCGATTTTCAGGTGTTTGATACTTTTGATAGTGGAAGTGGATAGCTTGAATGAATTCGCAACACAAAATGGAAGTAGTGCTAGTGCATGTGTATTTAATATTATAAGTTACTTGGAAGTTTCTCAGTGATATCCGTTTTGTAGTTTAGTTTCTGTTGCATATCCATAATACAAAAGTAACTGCGTATGTCTCGGACGGTTATGCCAAAGACCAACTCGTGCCTGCTGTCAAATGTGCGTAGGCTGGGTTTTTGGTTTAGGTGACAAGAATGTTCCACTTATGTTTGTGAAGTGCGTTTGATATTGTTTTCCGGGTAAAAATGTTATATTCCCTCTAACTGAGTATATTACTGAAAATTTCAGTTCATAAAATGGATAAGCTGGATACTCGACGCACAAGCAATCATGACAGTGATAGTCCTTTGGATAGCAGACAGGTAAGTCTACATCTTTTAATTTCATTGATTGCATGTATTTCTGTGATAAAGCTTTTATTTGCTGATAATTTTTATTGTAAGTAGACGTTTCAAGTTTTACGTTTCATCTAGGCAGGCATAGGCCCGGCTAATCAACGTCTAGGTAACTTAGGCCACTCATAAGCAGAAGAGAGTTTTCTTTTAAATCCTGTGCTATTCACCAAGGTAGGCCTAACTTACTTACTTGGTTAGGATTCTAGGTACTTACGTATTGTATGGAGGCCACTTATTTTAACTTACTGCGCGCTGCGGCGGTTATTTTAAGTTGGGTTATCATTAATATGTTAGGAGAGGACTTTCCTCGTTTTGTGATTCGAACGATACCAGTTGAATCATAAAAGATTTATGATAACCCAACGTAACATAGCCTAACCGCGGGTAAGTTACAGTTTCTTAACTGGGCTATGCTAATATCGATTAAAACTATCAAATTGAAAATATTGATTAATTTTTCGATATTTTTAAAGATATCCATTGTAAAATTAAACTATTATAACCTAACCTAACCAACCAAACTTGCTGATGGTGAAAAAATCGCATGAAGGTTTACTAATCAAATTGATAGTGTCAATCGATATTAGCATAGGCCTAGCCCAGTTATGAAACTGTAAGTTAGGCCTACCCATAACCGCCGCAGCGCGATTTTTAAGTGAGTGGCCCCCGTATAGTACGAAAGTAACCTACTGGATTCCAGAATACAGAACCTGATACCGGTAAATCAGCTAGTCGTAAAGACATGGTGATTAAAAATTTAAACTCTAAGTTATCATCTTATTTAGAATACAGGCCTAAGCTTAACATAGGCTTAGCAAATTAAATACTTAATTAATTTATTTATTACTTAATTTCCAAACGTTACTAAACTTATTAAGTTAATCTGGGACTATTGGACCTAGTCCCATTCCACTTTAGATAATAAGGTACTTTCTGGTTATCTGGTACCTGCGAAAATTTGGTTAGGTTAGGTTAGGTTAGTTTATCAATAACATGAGAGTGTTGTAAGTAAACGAACCTAACCTAACCTAACCAAACCTAACCTAAACGGTAGTATGTGCTCCAGGCTCTGGATCGATGAATGTGTTACTTGTGGTTAAAGAATTTTTTTCGCAGGTACCATATAACAGGAAAGTACCGAAATGTCATGTAGCCTAAGTTACTTTATTTAGGTTAAAAGGGTTTATCAGGTCACTTCTTGTAGGATGATGAAAATGTACTTTCGGCAGCGTACAGGCTGGTTGTTGCATGCACTTAGGCGGTAGGCATAATTAAAACCTAGGCTACTGATCTCTCTAGGACTTGAGCCCTCTCACAGCAGTTGGATCTGTTTGTTTACATTTTACCATATTGTATTAGCCTTGTTAGTAGGCTAAGGTCCACCTAAGGGTTAGGGTTAACAACGGTTAAAAAGTGTGCCTAACTTATCTAACCTCTTTTTTAAACAGTTAGGTAATTGATAATTTACAGCGTGTTTAAAGTGGACACAGTATCAGTAGGGGTACAACCAGTAGTATCATAGTTCTTTTGTTTCATATATGATGGTAAATAAACATTATCAGCAATCTGACACTAGGCCTAAGTTAAGTTTACTTACTTTCTCCCATTATTGGCCTATTGTCAACAGCCGTTATCGGTTATGAGTGGGAGTAACTCAAACTAAGGTTAAGTCCCTAAAATATTTATCCTACTTACTACTGCATGGAAATGATCACATTGCCACACCTGTAAACGCTACTTAGGCAAGATAGGCCTAACTTACTTAGGGTAGCATATTTCCGCTCTATTTCACAGTTAGCGTTTTTAACTTACCCCAACTGCGGATCTGGTACAAATTTACGTTATCGATAGCGAATATATAACCTCGGCTAAATGACTTTTTATAGGTAGGCTACACAATTAAAAAGTCAATGTGTGTGTGTTGTGAAAAGTAACTTAATTATGTTGGTAGGAAAAATCTTGTGTGTAGCCCATTTTGAGCACAAACAGCCAAATTGCCGCTTTTGAAATATAGCCCCATGGCCATAAGTTATCGGTGGTGGTAAGAAAAATTTAGTGTGTATTACGAGCACATTTATGGCTACAATGGCTTTATAAAGCCATTGCCGCTCTTGAAATACCTTGGTATACGGCCATATATACAGTTCTCGAGCGGAAATGACGTACCTAGGCAATGTAAAAAAACTTTCATCTGCAAGGCATCAGGCATGTGATGAAAAGAATCCGAAGACGTAGCTGTAATGGCCTACCACTCACTTTTTCATTCCTACATAAAATATGGTATCACCGCCTGGGATCAGCAAGCACAAGTAACATTGAAAAAATCGTAACCATACAAAAGAGTACCGGTACTTGAAATCCGGGCAATCCTGAGTCACCACCACCTAGAACGCCGCAAACCCCTCTTTATAAAACTCAAAATCCTAACAATAACCTTCCAGTATACAGTATATTTGACACAACGCTCTTAGCCAAAAAATCATCCCCCATCCCACGATCAGACATACACACCTACAACACTCGAAACAAACACAACATTAACACAAAGCAACACCGACTACAAAAAACCAGCAATACCCCCATTAATTCAGGTAGGCCTACAATTAAAATTTATTACTAGAACATATAAAATCAACAGCCACAATCAGCAGCTTCACAAAAAAACTCAAATAATACCTAATAAAAGGGTCATATTACAAAACCACAGATAAGCCTACATTGAACAGCAAACATAACACCTCAAGAGCAACTTTAAGACCCCTCCAAGAAGGGATGAAATCTTACGACTCCCCGATCCGAAGATTGTGGCGAGTACTACGTGGTAAATGGTAGATGGTAGGCCCTAAATAATAACTCAAAATCGAAAAATTTTGACGAAAACAATATTTTTCCATAGACCTTATAAGCTACTATATGTAGGCTAAAAGGGAGAGAAAGTTAAAGACAACGGGTCGGACAAGAAAGTTTAGCAGAAAATTATGGACTAGGGCCTATTTTAAAGCCTGGTAATCTTCAAAGCCAATGTATTTTTTAATTAGGGTATGGTACATTAATTTTTACCTCACATACTTATTTAAAACGATGTCATGTTAGGTACGTACATGTATTCATGGTTCTATTTCAATTGTGGTACTTATTTACTCAACCACTTTTTCCTAGATTGGTTTTATGAACTAGGTACCGGTAGTGTGTATAAAAAAAATATATCCCATATGAGGCGCTGATGCGTTTATCGAAATAACGTACCATACGATTCAATTTTCAAATGATAAGCTTACTTAAACATTCATTCCGTTGATAAAAGTACATATAAAGTAAATAAAGAAAAATAATCGCACAAAATAAAGCACTGTAAGGTAGTTAAGAAAAAAAACAGTATATATTGATTTCACATATAATTGATATGTTTTGACGTAGCCATCGATATATGCCGTAGCTAATGAGCTTTTTTCAAAGTTCAATCTTAACCTGCAGATCAGTGTGTATTTATCACAACAATAAGAAAAAATAAACTAATGGAAAACTTGTAGGTAAATATTACCTTTTGTTAGAAAGCCAACCACTATTGTTAATCAAGGCACAAATTTCATCAATTTAAATAAAAACCGATACAACGTAATAAATAACAGTAATTATATTAACTCGTTCCATAGCTCAAAACATGTATGTATTTGCATTAATTTACCTCATTATTTAAAATATCGAGTAAAAAAACATAGTTACGTTACTACAGATTTTAATTGATTTTAGATACAAAAGTTAATTGCGTGCAGCTTAGTTATGTGATACCCTCCATAGTCAAATTAAAGCGGTGTTGTAAATACACAACTAGTAAGGAGATGTAAATTTAAAAAAAAGTGAATCTGAAGTATATGATAGAAGAAAATATAAGTAGTAGCTACCTCTGGACAGAATAAAAGTAGGTACCTATAGTTGAAATTTATTTTGTAAATTGAATTAAAACACAAAAAGTGTAAAAATTGAGTTAGTTGAATTTTTGAAACCGTAATAGTATATATATCTCTTAGTTTAAAAAATCTATAAAAATCCTGATCCAAACTTTTTTTTATCAGTTCAAATTTGTAAACATAAAGCTCCCATATCAAAATTATTCTACAAAATTATACATTGTAATGATCCTTCTGTTTCCATAAAAATAAATATATTTTCATAAATATTTTAATCAAACTATGAAACTCATAACATAAAACCAACTTTAAAACCTTGGGTGCAGAACCTTTACCTCTGCTGTTCGAACTGTCAAATTATAGTATTTACAGCTGACTTCAATTAATACTTTTTACTATTTACATTCCTCCAAAATATAAGGAAACATTGAAACTTTAGAAGCCCATGGGGCGTAGCCCAAGGGAAATATAATAACAGGAATAGGCCTATATGTTAACCAGGTATATAAGCTACCATCATAAAAAATTTTATTTCATGGTTTAGTGGTTCTTGCATTATTAAGTAACAGACAGACACACACCATCTCATTTTAGCGAATTTCCCATATAGGGAATAAGCTATTACCGTAGGTCTCATGGTAAGACCTGGACCCGGGACCGATTTAGTCTGCCATGAGAACGTGAAACATGTAGTTGAATCAGTGACTGGCGGAGGAGGCTGGAATGGAGGAATGAAAACTAGAGGAGGTGAAAGAAGATAGAGGAAGAAGTTTGTTTCTCTGGTGTAGAATATATTTGTCTGCCATCAGAACGTGAAATCCTTAGTAGAATCAGTAACCAGCGGAGGAGGATGAAATAAAGGATTGAGATGAGAAGAGTCCGAAGACATTTCTTCTAATTTTTTGTCTACCATCATAACCTGAACCTATAGTAGAATAGTGACTGACCCGAAGATGGAATGTAAGAACGAGAACGTGAAGAGTTAGAAGACATTTTTTCTAATGTGCTGGACTGTCCGTTTGCCTGCCACCAGAACGTGGAACACTTTGTAGAATCAGT